AAGAAAAGGAGGGTTGACAGAAGACCTGTTCTACCATTATCATGCTTGAATTTAGAGACTATTTTAACACATTCATCAGCCAGCACAAGGAACCCATCACTTTACATCGCCTGATCATCCACCACCAAGAGGAGAGAATTAATCCTTAATTAATCCTTAATTTGTTGCCATGGCGACAAATCCAACATTTTACTTCCCCTTTCAACCACTTACCGCACCCACCAACAACTGCTGGGAGATGATCCCATCACATCACCTACACAGGCAAGGAAATCATCACTTTATCTTACATGCCAAACATTCAGAGATGGAAATCTGGGTCCCTTCACTTCTAAGCGGAATCCCATACTTTCACCTCAGCCACCAGGGAGAGAAGGCCAAAATACAACAAAACACACTGCGCACTTGGGTTGCCCCGATAACCACTCACTCTCCCGGTAGGTGTGCTGACTTACAGGATACCACAGTTCTGTATCATACAATAAGAGAAAACTGGCAACATTAAACTGGAGGATGTGATTATAGGATTATTTGAGGGGTTCTCTAGCTACTAAAAGGACACTGTAGGCACCATAACTCCATCTCTTTGAAGTATTATGTCTAGAGCCCCCTGGCGCTGTCTTTTCATTCAGCTAAACAAGAGTCCCCAGCATCTCCTCTGTGCTGTTTGGACTAATGAGGAAATATTCACCCAAGTAACAATAGGCGGCTTGCTTGTATGAACTGGTATGGTTATAATAATAATATACTCACCGGGTCCCACCCGGGCTGGAAACCCAACACTCTACCTCACCCGAGCAAAGAACCCCACACCCTACCTCACTTGCGCTACCCGGGCTGGGAACCCCACACTCTACATCACCCGTCCCACCCGGGCTGGGAACCCTGGGAACCCCACACTCTACCTCACCCGTCCCACCAATCCCGGCTGGGAACCCCACACTCTACCTCACCCGTCCCACCAATCCCGGCTGGGAACCCAACACTCTACCTCATCCGTCCCACCGGGGCTGGGAAACCAACACTCTACCTCACCCGTCCCACCCGGGCTGGGAACCCCACACTCTACCTCACCCGTCCCACCAATCCCGGCTGGGAACCCCACACTCTACCTCACCCGTCCCACCAATCCCGGCTGGGAACCCAACACTCTACCTCATCCGTCCCACCGGGGCTGGGAAACCAACACTCTACCTCACCCGTCCCACCCGGGCTGGGAACCCCACACTCTACCTCACCCGTCCCACCAATCCCGGCTGGGAACCCAACACTCTACCTCACCCGTCCCACCGGGGCTGGGAAACCAACACTCTACCTCACCCGTCCCACCCGGGCTGAGAACCCCACACTCTACCTCACCCGTCCCACCAATCCCGGCTGGGAACCCAACATTCTGCCTCACCCGCCTGTCGGTCTATTAAACCCACCATTTTAGCTCAGCCAGCAAGGCACAGACTGAGATAGCTCAGATGGTTTATACACCAACCTAAACCCCAGAATAATAAAATACAGGAAGGGCCAGATTACAGGACGGACAGACAGACACACAGCCAGCCTGGGCTGTGCAGGGAGGACGGACAGACAGACAGCCAGCCTGGGCTGTGCAGGGAGGACAGACAGACAGCCTGTGCAGGGAGGACAGACAGACAGCCAGCCTGGGCTGTGCAGGGAGGACAGACAGACAGCCTGTGCAGGGAGGACAGACAGACAGCCTGTGCAGGGAGGACAGACAGACAGCCAGCCTGGGCTGTGCAGGGAGGACAGACAGACAGCCTGTGCAGGGAGGACAGACAGACAGCCAGCCTGGGCTGTGCAGGGAGGACAGACAGACAGCCTGTGCAGGGAGGACAGACAGACAGCCAGCCTGGGCTGTGCAGGGAGGACAGACAGACAGCCTGTGCAGGGAGGACAGACAGACAGCCTGTGCAGGGAGGACAGACAGACAGCCAGCCTGGGCTGTGCAGGGAGGACAGACAGACAGCCTGTGCAGGGAGGACAGACAGACAGCCATGGCAGGTAAAAGGTTAATGTAAACTTCCTGACAGGACCCTAAACACTCCAACACTACCCGTAATGTACCCCTAATCCACCCCTCCGTGCCGCCACCCGGGGGATCCGGCCCCCGCCTCTCAGGGGTCCATACCGGGCAGCCCTGACCCCTCTCCCCCACCCCCCACCGTACCTGGAAACCGAAAGCTCCTCCCGACACCGAGCCCGGAACTGATCTCCGCAGCCTCCGCGCGCCGCCCGGACATTTACAAGCGAGGGACTGAAGCCAGGAACCCCTCGTGGAAGCTGGCAGCGCTCAGGCTCTGCGAGGTTGCCATGGCGACAGCCAGTGAGGTGAACGGATTTCTGCCCGCGCGAACTACATTTCCCGGCATGCTTTACTGGCCGCAGCCAGTGGTTTCCAGGGTCACGTGGCGCCCCATGAGCTGTCAGCTTTTCCTGGTGGAGGACACTTCCTCATAATGTCATGTGGGGGATTGGGCAATGAGAGGCCCTGAGTGGGCAACCTTGGGGGGGGGGGGGTCATTATCTATAACACTGTATGAGAAACCTGTTACTGGAAGGAAAAAAACACTCTCTATTAAACAAGGAATTCTAATAGTTTTCACTTATCTTTGTATTTAATAAAGATATATTTGTAAAAATAAAACAAAAATGTATAATTCTACCCGCTGTATCCACCTCCTTCCCTGTAACCGGGCGTGGCGGAAAGACGAGACAGGGGGATATGATAGAAACATTTAAATATATAAAGGGAATCAACACAGTAAAGGAGGAGACTATTTAAAAGAAGAAAAACTACCACAACAAGAGGACATAATCTTAAATTAGAGGGGCAAAGGTTTAAAAATAATATCAGGAAGTGTTACTTTACTGAGAGGGTAGTGGATGCATGGAATAGCCTTCCAGCTGAAGTGGTAGAGGTTAACACAGTGAGGGAGTTTAACCATGCGTGGGATAGGCATAAGGCTATCCTAACTACAGACCGGTGGGTAACATGCTTTTCTACACATTGCAATGCTATCAAAATGTCATGGGAAATGCTTCCCAGCAGTGTATAGAATCCATGTACATAGGAACCAACCTGATTAATGAGCTTTGCATTCTGTTTATCTGTGGCGTTTATATACTGCCATAGGTAAACACACACCGTGAAATAGCCAGAGGTGGGCTCACTTTTTTTGGTTGGGCTTTTTTGAATGCTTTGTGTTTTATTGAGAATTAAGGTGATTATTTGACCTATTAATTGCACTGATGCCTTCTCAATGGGGTAACACCAGTCTGTGTCTCAACAGATAAATGCTGAATATTCTTTTGGTAAATACTCCCAATTTCTTCCTTCTGATCAAGGTATTTCTAAGAACGATTGCTTTTTCCCAATGGGGAATTATTTTTCCAATATTAAAAGATATGTCACTGTATAAGGAGAAACCACTGTGTCCCATTCTTTAATCACAGTTTTATAGTCACCCTTGCACAGACTGACTCATTGATTGATAATTACTAGCGAAACGCATGAACTTGTTCCAACCGAGTCATGGGAATTGTCTAAATCTAAGCTTGTCTAAGAATACGCCGACAGGGTTTCCCCAACCCTTATAATAACTGGTTGGTTTTTTTTTTTAATAACAGCACCCTTTGGGGAATTACTATTACCCCCTTCCCTCCCCCTCCCACACACACATCTTAAAACCTGTAAAAAGTTTATTTTAATTTACCTGTCAACCAGCGCTGGGCAAGACTCTGGAACAAGTCTCACGCTGGGGATGCTACTAGCCCCAGGACACAATTAAAACTAACTCTGCATGAACAGTGCCTCTAGCAGAAACTCTGCACATCCAGACTCCTACCACCATGACCACTTTGAATCACTAAAGTGGTCATGGTGGTTGGAGTAACCCTTTAATCTGCCTAGACCACTGACATGTTCATTACAGAACTGAAACGTTATACGCTGACTTTGTCTATATTGACGTGGGATATCAGATGGAAGATGCACCATTAATAATAACATTTACCTATTTTTTTTTCCCTAAAATCCTACAAATCTGTTTTCTTATTTCTTGTACGTCATGGGATTTCTATATACTCCTATAATTTCTTTCCTGGTATTTTTATTTGCATATTCTATTGTCTTCTATTGTTATGGAGGGGAGGATCACAAGCTCTTTGCAGAAGGCTGTTAAATAAAAGTTAGATTAGTTCACATTTCCAGTGTTAGAACTGTTTTGTTTGTGTTGTTTTTAGCGTTTTTTTGTTTTTTTTAACAGGTTCAATAATGCATGATAAATTCACAGCAATGATATCGAAGACACATGGATTAGATAATATTTTTTAATAGAAGGGTAGAAGTATACTTGGAAAACCCAGGACATACTTGAAACGAGAGACATCTCAATGTATCTTTCCTGGTAAAATATTTTATAAATAATAAATATTGCAAACCAAGATATTAGAGTAAGAGATCGGGGAAGAATAACTTGTGTTCATTTCTAATTCCTAAGATGTGACACTGGCAAGTAATGTAATAAGGAAGCACTCCCATTAAATTATTCAGAGTAATTGATGTTAAAATAAACAGTGTGCAATTCCAGAAACCAGTGATAAAAAAAATCTTTATTTTCTGGTGATATTTTTTAAAGTCTGATATATATTTTTCTTTGAAAAAAAATTCTGAAAGATAACTAACATCTGATATAATTGTAAAGTGCTTCGAGTCTCACGGAGAAAAGCGCTACACAAATCACAAATTATTATTATTATTATCTTATTCTACAGAAATCACAGATTTGCCAGGTTATTTACTAAGGAATACATTCTCAGGAAAACATATTAAAGTTCAACTTTTAGGCCAAAAAAGCCAACTTGAAAACATAGCTGACTATTTAAAATTCACCAATTTTTGGCCTAAAATTTGAATGTTTTTTTAAAAGTTCACACGTCAGTTAAAAACTCTGACAATTGTAATATATACATCCCTGGTTCTCGGTCTCAAGTTTAAAATTAATATTTGCATAGTATGAATGTGTTAAGAAATTGTGTTAAAACGTGTCCTTTCCTCCTCTTTGAACAGAGCACAGATGGGAGGTGCGGAATTGTGATGTAATTCAGGAATTTAAAGAGCTGCTGAATGCTCTGTGATTTAGTACAGGTACTCACACAGGAGGGAGGGAGACAAGAACTTCCTGGTTTCGGCTATCAGGTTCATGGGACTGTAGTTTTTGTTTTGATTTTTTTTTTCTCTCTCACCTAAGGCAGAAATCTCCTGGAGCGAGGTTCGAAAGTAGGGCCAGGGGGTTGGAGAACAGGTGCCTTGTCACTTTATCGTACCTGGACACTATGCCATACAAGGACCTAATAAAATATTGGCACGAAGGGGTTCTAGAAGCAGATAAAAAGAATTATGATTCATCTCTCAAAAACTTTGGAAACATTGACGACCCGCCAGCCAAGATTTGGTTCAACATTGGATGCATTCATCTTCTGAAGGGCGAGCTGGAGCAATCCCTGGAGGTAAGGGTTTATTTACTAAACAGTGAACTTAAAACCAAACCAGGCTTGCTGTGTTTATGTGCTACATATCTCAATAAACAGACAGCAGAATTAAAAAATGTGAACTAAAACATTCAACGTGAAACTATAGCGGAGTTGGAGAATTTTACCAAACTTGGTATGTTTTTCCTACAATTCATTGTTTAGTGAATACATTCTTTTGTTTCCCTGAGTTGAGAGATGACCTGCAATGATAACCTGTGGCTACAAGCCAGGGGACATTCCAGGACACCTGTTTATGGTGGGATGGCCATAATTATAACTATGCACAGCTAGGGCAGAAATAAGTGTATTAAAAACTGAAGTGCAAAATTTAGGCAAAAAGGGCTGATTTCAAAAAATTCTCCATCTCTACTATATACCTGCTAAGTGTCCCTATTTAGGAAGGGAAATCCCTATTTTGGGCCAAATCCCTCTGTCTTTCTTTGTATGCTGATGTCCCTCTATTCTAGGAGATCCATATTGTTGAGGTGTCCGCGTGTATAACAGAGCTCCACAGCAATAATACTCCCAGTAATGTGTCTGAGTGTATAACAGAGCTCCACAGCAATAATACTCCCAGTAATGTGTCTGACTGTATAACAGAGCTCCACAGCAATAATATTCCCAGTAATGTGTCTGAGTGTATAACAGAGCTCCACAGCAATAATACTCCTAGTAATGTGTCTGAGTGTATAACAGAGCTCCACAGCAATAATACTCCCAGTAATGTGTCTGAGTGTATAACAGAGCTCCACAGCAATAATACTCCCAGTAATGTGTCTGAGTGTATAACAGAGCTCCACAGCAATAATACTCCCAGTAATGTGTCTGAGTGTATAACAGAGCTCCACAGCAATAATACTCCCAGTAATGTGTCTGAGTGTATAACAGAGCTCCACAGCAATAATACTCCCAGTAATGTGTCTGAGTGTATAACAGAGCCCCACAGTAATAATACTCCCAGTAATGTGTCTGAGTGTATAACAGAGCTCCACAGCAATAATACTCCCAGTAATGTGTCTGAGTGTATAACAGAGCCCCACAGTAATAATACTCCCAGTAATGTGTCTGAGTGTATAACAGAGCTCCACAGCAATAATACTCCCAGTAATGTGTCTGAGTGTATAACAGAGCTCCACAGCAATAATACTCCCAGTAATGTGTCTGAGTGTATAACAGAGCTCCACAGCAATAATACTCCCAGTAATGTGTCTGAGTGTATAACAGAGCTCCACAGCAATAATACTCCCAGTAATGTGTCTGAGTGTATAACAGAGCTCCACAGCAATAATACTCCCAGTAATGTGTCTGAGTGTATAACAGAGCTCCACAGCAATAATACTCCCAGTAATGTGTCTGAGTGTATAACAGAGCCCCACAGTAATAATACTCCCAGTAATGTGTCTGAGTGTATAACAGAGCTTCGCAGCAATAATACTCCCAGTAATGTGTCTGAGTGTATAACAGAGCTCCACAGTAATAATAGTGCCAATAATGCGTCTGAGTGTATAACAGGGCTCCACAGGAATAATACTCCCAGTAATGTGTCTGAGTGTATAACAGAGCTCCACAGCAATAATACTCCCAGTAATGTGCCTGAGTGTATAACAGAGCTCCGCAGCAATAATACTCCCAGTAATGTATCTGAGTGTATAACAGAGCTCTACAGCAATAATACTCCCAGTAATGTGTCTGAGTGTATAACAGAGCTCCACAACAATAATACTCCCAGTAATGTGTCTGAGTGCATAACAGAGCTCCACAGCAATAATGCTCCCAGTAATGTGTCTGAGTGTATAACAGAGCTCCACAACAATAATACTCCCAGTAATGTGTCTGAGTGCATAACAGAGCTCCACAGCAATAATACTCCCAGTAATGTGTCTGAGTGTATAACAGAGCTCCACAACAATAATACTCCCAGTAATGTGTCTGAGTGCATAACAGAGCTCCACAGCAATAATGCTCCCAGTAATGTGTCTGAGTGTATAACAGAGCTCCACAGCAATAATACTCCCAGCAATGTGTCTGAGTGTATAACAGAGTTCCACAGCAATAATACTCCCAGTAATGTGTCTGAGTGTATAACAGAGCTCCAAAGCAATAATACTCCCAGTAATGTGTCTGAGTGTGTAACAGAGCTTCGCAGTAATAATACTCCCAGTAATGTGTCTGAGTGTGTAACAGGGCTCCACAGGAATAATACTCCCAGTAATGTGTCTGAGTGTATAACAGAGCTCCACAGCAATAATACTCCCAGTAATGTGCCTGAGTGTATAACAGAGCTCCGCAGCAATAATACTCCCAGTAATGTATCTGAGTGTATAACAGAGCTCTACAGCAATAATACTCCCAGTAATGTGTCTGAGTGTATAACAGAGCTTCGCAGTAATAATACTCCCAGTAATGTCTTTAAATGGTTACTTTAACTCTTTGGAGGGAGGGGATATTTTCTGTGTAATATGTCCTATTGGACACTACGTAAAAGGTCCATCCTCTCCATGTGCAATAAAAGCTAAAAAAATAAATAATTTCTCACCTTGAATCCAACACCGGGCGAAGCTGCCCACTAATCTTCCACACGCCCTCCAACACCACAAGTGCCGTGCACCGTGCAATCTCAGACCTACTCATTGAGAAGCCTTTGATTGGGCATATTGCTGGCTCAAATGCATGCGCTCGCTCCGGGCTGGAGAGGGGAGGTCAGGAAGTGGAGTGAGAGGGTTTTTTTGTTAAAAGAAATCTGCCTGCAATGGACGGAAGCGGGGAGGGAGGACCACACACTAGAAGGGGGAAGATATCTTCCCCTTGATTTCGCTCCGCGAAAGGTCTGTTTTAGGTCTGTTGCCAGAGTGCAATGCGCAGCGACAACAGATGTAATTTATGCACAGAATTGACGTTAGGAGTTCTGGGCTGCCGATGTCACTTGTCCCGGGGGGGTTCAACTAGCCACCCGGAACACAGGTGCAAATAACCCAGAAAGTGCAGTGTTTCAAGCAAAAACACTGCACATACATACTCCTACCACCATGACCACTTCAAATCACTGAAGTGATCATGGTGGATAGAGTAACCCTGTAAACTGCAATAAATGTGTTTAGAAATCAGTCTGTGTAAATAAGATACATTGTTCTTCTAAGTTATATTTTAGTTTTATAAATTATTAGTCACTATGAAATTTCTCAGAACAGCACTGCCCCTGGCCACAATCACACTCAGAACAGCCACACCCAAGGCCAAACCCTCACTCACACTCAGAACAGCCCCGCCCCTGGCCACACTCCCACTCAGAACAGCCACACCCATGGCCAAACCCTCACTCAAACGCATAACAGCCCCACCCCTGGTCATTCTCACACTCAGAACAGCTCCACCCCTAGTCATCCCCCCACTAACCCTCAGAACAGCCACACCCCTGGTCATCCCCCACTCACACTCAGAACAGCCCCATCCTTGTCATCCCCCCACTCACACTCAGAACAGCCCCATCCTGGTCATCCTCCCATCACACTCAGAACAGCCCCACCCCTGGTCATCCCCCCACTCAAACTCAGAACACCCCCACCCCTGCTCATCCCCCCACCTACACTCAGAACAGCCCCATCCTGGTCATACCCCCACTCACACTCAGAACAGCCCTATCCCGGTCATCCCCACTCACACTCAGAACAGCCCCACCCCTGGTCATCCCCACTCACACTCAGAACAGCCCAATCTTGGTGATCTCCCCACTCACACTCTGAACAGCCCCACCCCTGGTCATCCCCCCACTAACCCTCAGAACAGCCCCACCCTTGGTCATCCCCTCACTCAAACGCATAACAGCCCCACCCCTGGTCATTCTCACACTCAGAACAGCTCCACCCCTAGTCATCCCCCCACTAACCCTCAGAACAGCCACACCTCGTCATCCCCCACTCACACCTCTCAGAACAGCCCCATCCTGGTCATCCCCCATCACACCTGTGAACAGCCCCCACCCCTGGTCATCCCCCACTCAAACTCAAGGTAGAACAGCCCCAACCCTGCCTGGTCCCCCCACCCACACACACTCAGAACAGCCCCACCCCTGGTCATCCTCACACTCAGAACAGCCCCATCCCTGGTCACCCCCCACTAACCCTCAGAACAGCCCCACCCCTGGTCATTCCCCCACTCACACTCAGAACAGCCTCATCCTGGTAATCTCCCACTCAGAACAGCCCCACCCCTGGTCATCCCCCCACTCACACTCAGAACAGCCACTCAGAACACCCCCACCCCTGCTCATCCCCCCACCTACACTCAGAACAGCCCCATCCTGGTCATACCCCCACTCACACTCAGAACAGCCCTATCACCAATTAAATCCCCCCTCACACTCAGAACAGCCCCACCCCTGGACATCCCCCACTCACACTCAGAACAGCCCCATCCTGGTCATACCCCCACTTACACTCAAAACAGCCCTATCCCTGGTCATCCTCACACTAACCCTCAGAACAGCCACACCCCTGGTCATCCCCCCCCACTCACACTCAGAACAGCCCCATACTGGTCATCCCCCCACACACACTCAGAACAGCCCCACCCCTGCTCATGCCCCCTACCCACACTCAGAACAGCCCCATCCTCGTCATACCCCCACTCACACTCAGAACAGCCCACCCTTGATGTCCCCCCCACTCACACTCAGAACAGCCCCAACCCTGCTCATTCCCCCACCCACACTCAGAACAGCCCCATCCTGGTCATACCCCCACTTACACTCAGAACAGCCCAATCCCTGGTCATCCTCACACTCAGAACAGCCCCACCCCTGGTCATCCTCACACTCAGAACAGCCCCACCCCTGGTCATACCCCCACTTACACTCAGAACAGCCCCATCCCTGGTCATCCTCTCACACTCAGAACAGCCCTATCCCTGGTCATCCCCCCACTAACCCTCAGAACAGCCACACCCCTGGTTATCCCCCCACTCACACTCAGACCAGCCCCATCCTTGTCATCCCCCCACTCACACTCAGAACAGCCCCATCCTGGTCATCCTCCCATCACACTCAGAACAGCCCCACCCCTGGTCATCCCCCACTCAAACTCAGAACAACCCAGCCCTGCTCATCCCCCACCCACCTCAGAACACCCCCCACCCCTGCTCATCCCCCCCACCTACACTCCAGACAGCCCCATCCTGGTCATTACCCCCACTCACACTCAGAACAGCCCTATCCTGGGTCATCCCACTCCACCTCAGAACAGCCCCACCCCACCAGTGTCCCCACTCACCTCCAAGAACAGCCCCATCCTGGTCATACCCCCACTTACACTCCAAAACAGCCCTATCCACAAGGGTCATCCTCCACTCAGAACAGCACTGCCCCTGGCCACAATCACACTCAGAACAGCCACACCCAAGGCCAAACCCTCACTCACACTCAGAACAGCCCCGCCCCTGGCCACACTCCCACTCAGAACAGCCACACCCATGGCCAAACCCTCACTCAAACGCATAACAGCCCCACCCCTGGTCATTCTCACACTCAGAACAGCTCCACCCCTAGTCATCCCCCCACTAACCCTCAGAACAGCCACACCCCTGGTCATCCCCCACTCACACTCAGAACAGCCCCATCCTTGTCATCCCCCCACTCACACTCAGAACAGCCCCATCCTGGTCATCCTCCCATCACACTCAGAACAGCCCCACCCCTGGTCATCCCCCCACTCAAACTCAGAACACCCCCACCCCTGCTCATCCCCCCACCTACACTCAGAACAGCCCCATCCTGGTCATACCCCCACTCACACTCAGAGCCAGCCACACCTGGTCATCCCCCCCACTCCCGCACTCAGAACAGCCCCATACTGGTCATCCCCCACACTCCAGACAGCCCCACCCCTGCTCATGCCCCCCCTACCCACCTCAGAACAGCCCCATCCTGCGTCCTTACCCCCACTCACACTCAGAACAGCCCCACCCTTGGTCATCCCCCCACCTCCAGAACAGCCCCAACCCTGCTCATTCCCCCACCCACACTCAGAACAGCCCCATCCTGGTCATACCCCCACTTACACTCAGAACAGCCCAATCCCTGGTCATCCTCACACTCAGAACAGCCCCACCCCTGGTCATCCTCACACTCAGAACAGCCCCACCCCTGGTCATACCCCCACTTACACTCAGAACAGCCCAGCCCACCAGGTCATCCTCACACTCGCAGAACAGCCCCACCCCTGGTCATCCCCCACTAACCCTCAGAACAGCCCACACACCCTGGTCATCCCCACTCACACTCAAGAACAGCCCCATCCTTGTCATCCCCCACTCACACTCAGAACAGCCCCCATCCTGGTCATCCTCCCATCACACTCAGAACAGCCCCACCTGGTCATCCCCCACTCAAACTCAGGAACAACCGAAGCCATGCTCATCCCCCACCCGCATAATTACACCCCCGCCCACCACTCAACCACACCTACCTCAGAACAGCCCATCCTGAGTCCTTACCCCAACTCACACTCAGAACAGCCCAATCCTGGGTGATCCCACTCACCTCAGAACAGCCCCACCCTGGTCATCCCCCCCACTAGCCCTCAGAGCAGCCACACACCTGAATTCATCCCCGCTCACACTCAGAACAGCCCCATCTTGTCGTCCCCCACTCACACTCAGAACAGCCCCATCCTGGTCATCCTCCCATCACACTCAGAACAGCCCCACCCCTGGTCATCCCCCCACTCAAACCTCAGAACAACCAAAAGCCATGCTCATCCCCCCACCCACACTCAGTACACCCCCACCCCTGCTCATCCCCCCACCTACACTCAGAACAGCCCCATCCTGGTCATACCCCAACTCACACTCAGAACAGCCCAATCCTGGTGATCCCCCCACTCACACTCTGAACAGCCCCACCCCTGGTCATCCCCCCACTAACCCTCAGAACAGCCCCACCCTTGGTCATCCCCTCACTCAAACGCATAACAGCCCCACCCCTGGTCATCCCCCCACTCAGAACAGCCCCACCCCTGGTCACCCCCCACTAACCCTCAGAACAGCCACACCCCTGGTCATCCCCCACTTACACCTCTAAAATCAAAGTGTCTGTCTCTGTCATGTGATAGGTTGGGCAGTGTGCTTCTACAGTTACAGCTTCACTACTTTAACCTACATTTTACAATTCACTTTTCTATTCTCTGAGCTCCACAGGCGTATTCTCTAAAGTGAATATTTATTTATTTATTCGTTAATATATTAAAGTTCCTACTGAACAATTGAAAAGTGAATGTACGTGCAAACAGGCTATTTTAATGACGAGATCGAGTTCTACGTGCATCATTAACCAGCAGATTATTGGGTAACAGGAATTCCCAAACTCACAGGACCTGATTCATTCACTGTGAATAATCAACTCTTACAGGGTTACTCATAACATCAGAAAATCTGTGCAAGTGAATATAGTGTGTAATGCAAGATTTTTCAGTACAACTGAGCTTATTAGCAAAAATTAGTAAAGAGATTGCAAATTGAAGCACAAAATAATCGAGCTGGAAAAATAACAAATTTTTAGTGTAGTATAAACCACAATGTACATATGTGACAAGTGAGTGTAGAATACATGATTATACACATATGGTAAGTTGTTGAATATAAACTGATCAAGTTACTCCTTCTAATTCTGGCAGGACCTGCGAGTCCCTTATTGTCCTGCTATCTTTTCCTGCGAGACCCGACATATTTGCCAGATTTGGGGACCTGCGTGTCCTCCTTTGAAAATTGCGTAGAGAATAGAAATGATACAAGGTTTTATCAGCTCGCTACAGTGAGTCTCCATAAAAGATGACACACGGGGAGAAAGTCTATAGGTAAAAAAATAAAACGCCACAAAGTGAACTATGTATTGGAGACGGCAATTAAAAATGTGTCAACTTCACCTGATAGGACACCAAAGGAATAATAAAGAGCAGATAAAAAAAAAAAAAAAATTAAGCAAAAATCGCACTTGAAAAAGATAAGTAAATCCTTAATTTTGTTAATTTTAATAGCAAATGGGGCGGGGGGCACTTGTCTTTTATTACGTACAGGGACAGAGAAGTGTTAGGAATGCACATTTTTATTCTGAATGCTTTAGTGTTCCGTTATGGTTAGTAAATAGGAGGAATTTGGAGAAGCGCCTTAGGCAGGGATCATACCACTCAAGTGCAATCAAGAGGAGCTGTTTTAGCCCCACCGTTTGTACGTCTGCACCTCTTCTTCTAATTAAAGGATTGTATTACATACTGCACTATATTGGTTTATCTTGTTCTCCTGTCTTCCTGTTACATACACCATTGGAGATTTTATCAAGGCGCTACACCCAACTCCTCTTCACTACCTGCTCTTTCTGCTGGATAGAGAGACTCCGGCCGGGGTTGTTTGAGCCGCCTTCTTCACATTTTCAGTATCTCCGCATGCGCTGAACCCTAATTTCTGTTGGTTCCTTTAAGATTAACTGTAACCCAGGAGGAATGCCTTTCATTCATAATATGATAATTAAACATCTTTAGCCAAGTGCCAAATAATTTGACAGACTAATACAGAGAATAATTTAATCCAGCGGTTTAAGGTACTCCTAGTGAGATTTGAAAAGTGTCTCTCATGGGACCTTCGATGGGATAAATGGTGATATTGGGGGAGATGTACAAAGGTGTCGCCAACAGAAAAGTGAGGAAAAGTTCTAAAAGTTGAGCAATCACCATGAAAACCTATGGAACGTACCTACTGATTGCACATGTTTCCATGGTGGCTGCGATGTGCTCTGCTCCATTGTTCGATTTGAATTAATCAGAACCTAGATGGGTGAAGGGACACGAAGTACGGCAGGGCCGGCAGAGACATGCCAAATCCTGGCTCTTTCTTTTTCTATTCAGCTGTGCTGGAGGCTGTGTCTCTGGATAAATCAGTGCTATCCTTCAAGTTTTTAATGTAGGTCTTACCTACCGTCTATGTTCCGTAGGCAAGAGAGACGTTCAGTAGCCTTGAAAGCGTAGGCCAAGACTGAAGACTCCTCATGGATTGCCTCCAGAATGTGCTAGATAACTGACAGAGTGTGGTGTTGAGTGAAGTTAACTGTATGAATAGTTATATGCGTAAGATTTATTACTTCACTTTAAAATTGAATTGAAGTAAGGCTTTGGGGACCAGTACTGGACCAAGGCTAGATTTACGTATGAGAAGTGCAATGCTTAGCACTGGAAAACCTTGCAGAAAAATCTCTTCTGAAATAACGTGTAACCTGGTTCATCATCTCATTCTTTTACTTCCAGGCATATAATAAATCAGTTATTAGGGACCCCTGTCTGGCTGTTGGGTATTTCCAGAGGAGTTACGTAAACTACAAGTTACAAAGGTAAGAGTTTCTGATTCACAGTTTGTACAGTTCTCTGCCTCGAGCTGGGTACACTAACCGAGTGTCACCCTCATCAGCCATTCAACACATCTGATTTAGCCAGGTTCACCCCAATTTACATTGTTACTGTTTGCTGAGTTTAAAACCATCACTCCGAATAGCCCTGTATCCTTGGTCGTAGTTTGTATTATTTTATGTGTAGTCCGGTGAGTGACGGGATTCAACTATTTAATAACGTATCACCGGCCAGCGATAATAATCAAGGTGCCACTCAGATTCAGAGCTTTCATTGTCTTCTGAACAAGAAATGTCAACAAATTCTAGGGCTGCATCAAATAAATACTGCTCCCTGTGTGCTTAATGAGAACACAGTCAATATTGCGTAATTCGGTGTAATGAAACATATCAAGTGTCGATCACACAGGGACCGTCAGAACAGCGCGGGTACAAAGATCATGTAATCAATATATCCATAATATATACATAACTCCTGATGTGCTATATACTGCAGGAAATTAACAATGGAATGGCAAAATGTAGGCTAAAACACCCATGATGAGACTATAGCTAAATTGGATAATAATGGAACGCCCCTCCCCTCTCTGTTAGACTTTCACCCAATCTCCACTCCTTCAAAAAAATCTTTGAAAACTTACTTTTTAAGGAAAGCTTATCAATTAAACGGTGAACAGCTTTCCCTTCACACACCCTGATTCCTCTCCTGAAACTGTCATCAAAACAAAACACTAAGCCCTCAATGAATACTATCCTAGCAACCTACTTTTCTACCCGACCCTTACACCCCATGTCACTTTACCCCAATCCCTCTGTTACTGTCACTATTCCCCACTCCCTCTAACATGTAAACTCACTGAGCAGGGCCCTCAATCCCCCTGTTACTGTGTCACTATACCCCACTCCCTCTAACATGGAAACTCACTGAGCAGGCCCTCAATCCCTCTGTTACTGTGTCACTATACCCCACTCCCTCTAGCATGTAAACTCACTGAGCAGGCCCTCAATCCCTCTGTTACTGTGTCACTATACCCCACTCCCTCTAACATGTAAACTCACTGAGCAGGGCCCTCAATCCCTCTGTTACTGTGTCACTATACCCCACTCCCTCTAACATGTAAACTCACTGAGCAGGCCCTCAATCCCTCTGTTACTGTGTCACTATACCCCACTCCCTCTAACATGTAAACTCACTGAGCAGGCCCTCAATCCCTCTGTTACTGTGTCACTATACCCCACTCCCTCTAACATGTAAACTCACTGAGCAGGCCCTCAATCCCTCTGTTACTGTGTCACTATACCCCACTCCCTCTAACATGTAAACTCACTGAGCAGGGCCCTCAATCCCTCTGTTACTGTGTCACTATACCCCACTCCCTCTAACATGTAAACTCACTGAGCAGGCCCTCAATCCCTCTGTTACTGTGTCACTATACCCCACTCCCTCTAACATGTAAACTCACTGAGCAGGGCCCTCAATCCCTCTGTTACTGTGTCACTATACCCCACTCCCTCTAACATGTAAACTCACTGAGCAGGCCTCAATCCCTCTGTTACTGTGTCACTATACCCCCACTCCCTCTAACATGTAAACTCACTGAGCAGGCCCTCAATCCCTCTGTTACTGTGTCACTATACCCACTCCCTCTAACATGTAAACTCACTGAGCAGGGCCCTCAATCCCTCTGTTACTGTGTCACTATACCCCACTCCCTCTAACATGTAAGCTCACTGAGCAGGGCCCTCAATCCCTCTGTTACTGTGTCACTATACCCCACTCCCTCTAGCATGTAAACTCACTGAGCAGGCCCTCAATCCCTCTGTTACTGTGTCACTATACCCCACTCCCTCTAGAATGTAATCTCACTGAGCAGGACCCTCAATCCCTCTGTTACTGTGTCACTATACCCCACTCCCTCTAACATGTAAACTCACTGAGCAGGCCCTCAATCCCTCTGTTACTGTGTCACTATACCCCACTCCCTCTAACATGTAACCTCACTGAGCAGGCCCTCAATCCCTCTGTTACTGTGTCACTATACCCCACTCCCTCTAACATGTAAGCTCACTGAGCAGGGCCCTCAGTCCCTCTGTTACTGTGTCACTATACCCCACTCCCTCTAACATGTAAACTCACTGAGCAGGACCCTCAATCTCTCTGTTACTGTGTCACTATACCCCACTCCCTCTAGCATGTAAACTCACTGAGCAGGGCCATTATTTCCTCTGTTACTGTGTCACCATACTCCACTCCCTCTAACATGTAAACTCACTGAGCAGGACCCTCAATCCCTCTGTTACTGTGTCACTATACCCCACTCCCTCTAACATGTAAACTCACTGAGCGGGGCTCTCAATCCCTCTGTTACTGTGTCACTATACCCCACTCCCTCTAACATGTAAACTCACTGAGCAGGGCCCCTAATCCCTCTGTTACTGTGTCACTATACCCCACTCCCTCTAGCATGTAAACTCACTGAGCAGGGCCCTCAATCACTCTGTTACTGTGTCACTATACCCCACTCCCTCTAACATGTAAACTCACTGAGCAGGGCCATCAATCCCTCTGTTACTGTGTCACTATACCCCACTCCCTCTAACATGTAAACTCACTGAGCAGGCCCTCAATCCCTCTGTTACTGTGTCACTATACCCTACTCCCTCTAACATGTAAACTCACTGAGCAGGCCCTCAATCCCTCTGTTACTGTGTCACTATACCCCACTCCATCTAACATGTAAACTCACTGAGCAGGCCCTCAATCCCTCTGTTACTGTGTCACTATACCCCACTCCCTCTAACATGTAAACTCACTGAGCAGGGCCCTCAATCCCTCTGTTACTGTGTCACTATACCCCACTCTCTCTAACATGTAAACTCACTGAGCAGGCCCTCAACCTCTCTGTTACTGTGTCACTATACCCCACTCCCTCTAACATGTAAACTCACTGAGCAGGGCCCTCAATCCCTCTGTTACTGTCACTATACCCCACTCCCTCTAGCATGTAAACTCACTGAGCAGGACCCTCAATCCCTCTGTTACTGTGTCACTATACCCCACTCCCTCTAGCATGTAACCTCACTGAGCAGGGCCCTCAATCCCTCTGTTACTGTGTCACTATACCCCACTCCCTCTAACATGTAAACTCACTGAGCAGGGCCCTCAATCCCTCTGTTACTGTGTCACCATACCCCACTCCCTCTAACATGTAAACTCACTGAGCAGGGCCTCAATCCCTCTGTTACTGTGTCACTATACCCCACTCCCTCTAACATGTAAACTCACTGAGCAGGCCCTCAATCCCTCTGTTACTGTGTCACTATACCCCACTCCCTCTAATATGTAAACTCACTGAGCAGGCCCTCAATCCCTCTGTTACTGTGTCACTATACCCCACTCCCTCTAACATGTAAACTCACTGAGCAGGCCCTCAATCCCTCTGTTACTGTGTCACTATACCCCACTCCCTCTAACATGTAAACTCACTGAGCAGGGCCCTCAATCCCTCTGTTACTGTGTCACTATACCCCACTCCCTCTAACATGTAAACTCACTGAGCAGGGCCCTCAATCCCTCTAACATGTAACCTCACTGAGCAGGCCCTCAATCCCTCTGTTACTGTGTCACTATACCCCACTCCCTCTAACATGTAAACTCACTGAGCAGGGCCATCAATCCCTCTGTTACTGTGTCACTATACCCCACTCCCTCTAACATGTAAACTCACTGAGCAGGCCCTCAATCCCTCTGTTACTGTGTCACTATACCCTACTCCCTCTAACATGTAAACTCACTGAGCAGGCCCTCAATCCCTCTGTTACTGTGTCACTATACCCCACTCTCTCTAACATGTAAACTCACTGAGCAGGCCCTCAATCCCTCTGTTACTGTGTCACTATACCCCACTCCCTCTAACATGTAAGCTCACTGAGCAGGCCCCTCAATCCCTCTGTTACTGTGTCACTATACCCCACTTCCTTTAGCATGTAAACTCACTGAGCAGGGCCCTCAATCCCTCTGTTACTGTGTGTCCAGGTTAAAAATACGTGTCTGTTAGTCCACCCATTGTACAATGCTACGGAACTTGTTGGCGCTTTACAAATAATAATTGTACAGATCACCTAGTTTTGCCAAACTTTTGGGATTTCATTTTAAAGTGAGAATTCAAAGAGAATTTTTGATTTAAAGGGACACTATAGTCACCACCAGAACACCTACAACATTTCTTCTGGTGAGTAGAATTATTCCCTGCAGGCTTTTTGCTGTAAAAAATGTATTTGCATAGAAAATGCATTGTTTGCAGTACAGCCTAGGGATACCTCAACTGGCCACTCCTCAGATGGCTCCTAGAGGTGCTTCCTGGGGCAGTGCTGCACATTGTGACTGCCATTCAGTGTCTCCACCCTGTGCATGCAGACACTGAACTTTCAATTTCAATTGATTCAATTCATCTCTATGAAGAGCTGCTGATTGGCCAGGGCTGTGTTTGGCTTGTGCTGGCTCTTCCCCGATCTGATTCCTTGACAGTCTCAGCCAATCCTATGGGGAAGCATTGTGATTGGCTCACAGAATCACTTCTGATGATGTCAGCAAAGCAGGCAGACAGGGGCAGAGCTTGCAGCTTCAGACTTGAATACAAGTAAGATTTTACTATATTTAGGGAGACAAGGGGGCTAGATCTTTATTTTAACATTGTAGGGTCAGGAATACATGTTTGTGTCCCTGACCCTATAGTGCTCCTTTAAGGTAAAAATAGCCAAACTGGAAAAATTCAGTCATGCTCCAGTTCAGCTGCTCTGGCCTTAAAAGCGAAATTCACTTTGAATTTTCACGTTAATGACTAACCCTGTATATTTCTGAGTTTAATGAATAATCCTGATGTTGTTCCCTTGGGGTTTTTATTATTTAATTAATATTATATTTTTTTTCAGGTATGAGAAAGCATTATGTGATTGCCATCATTCGCTGGCTCAGCTGAGAAACAACAAAGTGATTGATTATAAACAGCTGGGGCTCCACTACCTGCTGTATTCCTGGGAGGTAGGTTAAAGGCCACCTGTTCTTGCCTTTGGAGGCACTGTGTGTGACACCATTGAGGGTTATTTTAATGACGCTGTCTCCGTGTGCATGTCTTGCAGATTCTGTATAATACTGCGGTAATCCTGTGTTACCTGGGAAGGTGGGAGAATGCCCACGATAAACTGAAGGAAGCCACCGGGTGTTTACCCGGAGAGGCCAGAAATTGTAAAATTGAAGCCATGATGGATGCAGTTCAGGTAAATGCTTTGTGTCATTTCCCCATTTTACATTTTAACGTCACAGTCATTGACCCCTTCAATACCAGAATCGAGTAGAAATGTTTTTGTTTGCAGTATAAAATATTGTCCAAAAAACTTCAATTACCCTCATTTATATTCTAGATATTTTTACCAGCCTGTAGAGCAGGGGTGCCCCAAAAAAGGTAGACCCCCATATGTGGTAGAACAACAACTCGTTGAAATGCCTTTAGAATGGGAAAACATCATGGAAGCTGTAAATACTCTGACTTTAGAAATATATAACTGTATCTGGATTTACAGTGTGTGCGCATTATGCTGAATTGCAATTTTTAGTAAGCTGTACTGCTATGCCTTCAAGGTCCTTTCAAAAATTGCGGTAAAAGTGTACTTTAGCATATTTTATTATTTTTCAATTGTACTAAAAACAAATAGCGTATTTTATTATTAACAGTCATTATTAAAGTAAAATCATCATGTTTTCATTAAAAGTGGAAAGATTGTAATGAAAACTCTTAACAGTAACTGGGTCCATCTCATGGTACACAACCCTCCCGTCTAGCATTAAACTGGATCATTCTCAGCAATGACCAGCATAAATTGTGTTATGTAGCTTCCAACATTAGTGGCAAAGTGTTGTGTTGAGCAAAGTGTTGTGTTGAGTAGTAGACCGACATACTTTATACATTATTCCATCTTTTTATGGCTACCTGATGTAAATCCTTAATAGAATGCACCTGATTGACTATTTGAAAATAAAAATCAACATTGTGCCCCACGAAACCTTACATAACCTAAAGTGCTAGCCTGGTTATTTTACTATTTCAAATAAAAATTAATAATTTTCCTGTTATTTAATTTTATTGCCGTTTAATCTTAAAACTGGATATCTTCGTGTATGGCATACAATGAAGCTTAGATCAGATCTTCAACGCACAAGCTCAGCTTTGTACTTGCTACAAATACATTGCAGTGGCAGAAATAGTACAAATAAGCTATGATTTCATTAAAAAGGTGGTTTTCCAGCATAGCAGGACGATCTATTACTACTTCATGCTATATTTGTACGGGTGCACCATAATAGCAATGCAACAAAAAAAAAGTACACTATAATACACGCGAATGAAATGGCAAATAATAAAATACACTTGTACCAAAATAGCTATAAGCAAGGCGTTTGGCCATTTTTACATACCGCTATATATTTTTGTCACGTCAAAATGTAATTGTAGCTTTTATACTAGCATTTCAGACCCTGAGTGAAATATGGCAAGATAAAGGACAGTGTATACTAACTAAAGCTGTTCATTTTGCAAATATTTGTTTATCAATGATGAATGAATAAGTAAAAATGAAATATTGTTTATATTTAAGTTTGTCTGGTAAGCAATCTATATTGCTGTATATATGCTAGCTATGCATCCCTTCCGCTATATGTTATAAATCATAACATGCTCGGTTGTGAAGGGGTTAACCAGCTGGCAGATTTTTACAGTGTTTAGTCTTAGTATGGTCATTGCTACAGCTCCCCTTCCCGAGCCGTAAATCTGTCAGGAAAATGATAAAAACATGTCGACAACTTATTATACCTGTCTGAGTCAAAAAACAAAACTTTGGGGAAGAGGAATCATCCCAAAGTTGGAGCACTTTGCTGTGTCTTTAATGTAGAAATCCTAAAAGTATTATCATATTCTTTGTCTTTTTACCTGTCTTTCTATCTCCTGTTTATCTGTCTGTTTGTTTGTTTTTTTACCTGTCTCTCTCCGTTTACCTGTCTGTCTTTCTCACTTTCTGTCTGTTTACCTGTCTCTCTATCTGTTTACCTGACTGTCTCTCTTTTTGTCTGTTTACCTGTCTGTCTTTTTCTCTCTCTCTCTGTTTACCTGTCTGTCACTCTATTTTTTGTATTTATCGCTGTCTGACAGTTTACCTGTCTGTCTCTCTTTCTTCCTGTTTACCTGTCTGTCTCACGTTCTGTCTGTTTATCTCTCTCTCTCTCTCTCTCTCTCTCTCTCTCTCTGTTTTCCTGACTGTCTGTCTCCAAGTCTGTCTGTCTATTTGCCTCTTTGCTCATGCAGCATTCTGCTGGGATTGTTTTCTGATGTGTTTGGGATGGTGGGAATGTCCTGCTGAATTTGTGAGGTTTGGGGCCTTCCTAGAATATATTAAGGTTTGGTCACGTCCAGCCTGTGCCTTTAAGAAGCTGGCTAGCAGGATTCGAGTGTTTGTACTAATAGTGTTTATGGAGTATTCTGTCTGTTGCAATATGTTTAGTCATCGATGTAATACATTATAATACATGGCAATGCCTGCAATACATTGTCATTAAACCCAATAAAGCGATAAAGTTGTAATTGTCAGACATTAATTCCGTGTCCGTGTCCTCTCTCTCCCAGAACCATGTCTTCCTGCAGCCAGCGCACGTTCCTCAAGGGGAACTTTTCAAACCTAAAAAGGAGGAAGTTGAACAAATAAAATACAAAGACTTCCTGGGTAAACCGAAGGTAACAAAACAAAAACTAACTTGTCTCTGAATGAGTCACGCTGATTTATCAAACCTTCTACTGCCATTACCTGACCGGCAACGCCAAATCCCAGATTTACTCTGAATTTATATATCAGCCCTTCTACTGCCATTACCTGACTGGCAACGCCACATCCCAGATTTACTCTGAATTTATATATCAGCCCTTCTACTGCCATTACCTGACCGGCAACGCCACATCCCAGATTTACTCTGAATTTATATATCAAACCTTCTACTGCCATTACCTGACCGGCAACGCCACATCCCAGATTTACTCTGAATTTATATATCAGCCCTTCTACTGCCATTACCTGACCGGCAACGCCACATCCCAGATTTACTCTGAATTTATATATCAGCCCTTCTACTGCCATTACCTGACCGGCAACGCCACATCCCAGATTTACTCTGAATTTATATATCAGCCCTTCTACTGCCATTACCTGACCGGCAACGCCACATCCCAGATTTACTCTGAATTTATATATCAAACCTTCTACTGCCATTACCTGACCGGCAACGCCACATCCCAGATTTACTCTGAATTTATATATCAAACCTTCTACTGCCATTACCTGACCGGCACCGCCACATCATCACCCCATATAACATACAGCACCTGCATCACCCCGTATAACATACAGCATCCGCATCACCCCATATAACATACAGCACCCGCATCCCCCCATATAACATACAGCACCCGCATCCCCCCATATAACATACATCACCCGCATCACCCCATATAACATACAGCATCCGCATCACCCCATATAACATACAGCACCCGCATCACCCCATATAACATACAGCACCCGCATCACCCCATATAACATACAGCACCCGCATCACCCCATATAACATACAGCACCCGCATCACCCCATATAACATACAGCACCCGCATCACCCCATATAACATACAGCACCCGCATCACCCCATATAACATACAGCATCCGCATCACCCCATATAACATACAGCACCCGCATCACCCCATATAACATACAGCACCCGCATCACCCCATATAACATACAGCACCCGCATCACCCCGTATAACATACAGCACCCGCATCACCCCGTATAACATACAGCACCCGCATCACCCCGTATAACAAACAGCACCCGCATCACCCCGTATAACAAACAGCACCCGCATCACCCCGTATAACATACAGCACCCGCATCACCCCGTATAACATACAGCACCCGCATCACCCCATATAACATACATCACCCGCATCACCCCATATAACATACAGCACCCGCATCATCCAGTATAACATACAGCATCCGCATTCCGACAGCCTAGAACGGACACCCCTAACAAGATGAAAATGTATAATAGTAACTCATATTATAATTTTTATTATTTGCATTATTAAACCTCTAATAACGTTTGGCGTGAAGCAGTGCTATATCACTATGGTATTCTTCTAATTAAAAAGGATTTTATTTGATTTGGGGTCCAGTTTTTCCATCTCTACCATTGTAACTGCAATCAATGGACGTTTTGTAGTGACAAGCATTTTATGATACAGCTAAAACAGAAAGACTGACCCCCTTTATATTGTGACACCCCAACATGAATACTACAACAGGGAATCACTATCTCTGCTGAGCTCTCTGTACTGCAGACACCTTACAGGAAACACTGATTTTATTTTGGTTTTATTCTTTCTGAGGTCGGGTTGTTCTTTGTATGGCTTTTGTTTTATTTACACACAGGGGTTCATCTGCTAAACAGTGAATGGCCGTGAATTACGTAAATGTATCAAGAGTGCATATATGGCAAATCTGTAACCAACACCAACTTTACCCCTCTCAGGTCATCTCCTCGGTGGTTCCCAATGATCAGTACAGCGGATTCGAGCCCCTGCGTCCCCAGGTAAGAACAAGACCATCCAAGGAAACGTATATATTTATTAATAGGAAAACATTTTATATTATCAAAAAAGAGAATACAAATTGCTACACAACACATGGATTTCATAATAATGAAATCGCAATGATGTCATCCTGGTATCAATTACAGCATTTTATCAGCGTCACCAAGTCTCTGCTTGAAATTCTTCAAAGGTGTGTTTCATTCTAAAACCAAATATATATTAGATGGAACATGAATGGTTTAGTAAAGTACAGATATTATAGAAACATAGAATATTCTGCCCATCTAGTCTGCCCAATTTTCTAAATACTTTCATTAGTCCCTGGCCTTATCTTATAGTTAGGATAGTCTTATGCCTATCCCACGCATGCTTAAACTCCTTTACTGTGTTAACCTCTACCACTTCAGTTGGAAGGCTATTCCATGCATCCACTACCCTCTCAGTAAAGTAATACTTCCTGATATTATTTTTAAACCTTTGTCCCTCTAATTTAAGACTATGTCCTCTTGTTGTGGTAGTTTTTCTTCTTTTAATCACTTCAATTGAATTGAATTTAATTAATTATCACTAAATATTGCTTGCCCTATCTACATCACACAACTAGATTATTTAACAATCAGAAATTTGCTGATGTTCACCTCACAGTGTAAAAGTGATCGTTTAAAATGACCGAGGAGTATTTCAATGTAGTTGTTTGATGTGAATTCTACTGGGGTTTTTTTTGTTTGTTTTTTAGAAACCTGGATTTTATGAGCCATGTCCTGAAGCAATTCTGTAAGTAATATTGATCTTTGTCTGTCTACCTAACTGTATCTAACTACCTGTCTGACTATTTCTTTGTGTCTGTATAATGTCTGTCTACCTGTTTGTCTGTCTGTCTATATCACTGTCTCTCTAACTATCTCTTGACGTCCAGCTCCTCATGTCTGTTTCTCTGTCTGTTGTTTTCTCTCACTGTCTGTCTATCTCTCTATCTTTGTCTGACTGTGTCTGTCTTTCTCTGTCTGTCTGTCAATTTCACTGTCTGTGTCTATCTCTTTCTATTTGTGTGTGTCTGTCTTTCTTTGTCTGTAGATTTATGTGTGTCTGTCTTGCTTTCTCTGTCTGTGTCTCTCTCTGTCTGTCTACTTCTGTCTGTAGGTCTGTCTGTCTCTAAAAGATAATTCTGATAATCTGGGTAATTTTCCACAGAGGTCAAGATGCCGGGTATCATCGTGTTTTGGTTCATTATTATCCAGAGAATTCTAACGAAGTGTCTGTGAAAGCAAATACCATTCTGTTTGTTCTAAACAAAGATGGAGACTGGGCCACCGGCATCCATGATGGCCAGGTAACGTCCTCCCTGACATGCATGGCTGGAGGAGTAGGTCACACACAGCGTTAGGTCATAAAATGGGAATTGTCATTAAATTGCGTCAGGATAGTCCATTTGTAAGAATAATTTTGATGTATGTGTGTGTGTAACACTCATTGGTTAAATAAATTCAATGATTTCCTTATTTGGACTCTTCACATGCTATGCACTAGACTAGAGCACTGGTTTCTCATCCATGATACAGTTATACAGAAGAGTATTGCTTGCCTCACCGCAGAAGGGCAGTATACAATAAAGCAATGCTTGCATCTTGTGTTGGAGTATTACACACCAGAGTAATGCTTGCTTACCTGCGGGATCCCTGGGGATTGTGGAGTATTGACAACTACATTGTATATCTCATGTAAAAATAGCCAAGTTAAGCAGTATCATGCTTCTGGTTTGGTTATGTTGGCCTATAATTTGCAAGTCCTTGGTCAATTCTTAATAATTTCCAGTTTTGTGAATAAAGTCTAGGGTAGTGTATAATAAGGCAAGATACTTTGTGTATGCACAGCTTGATAGCCTCGTTTTATATATTGTTCTATTCATGAATGCTTACATTTTACAGAAAATATATATTCCAACGAATGTTCTGGAACCTGTGAACAACACTCCCAAAGCAGACATTAAGGTAATTAACAACAGACGGAACAAATTGCACCATGTTACCTGTGATCAGTAATACATTAGTAGTGTAAGAGCTTCATTGGAATCCACATTGCAAGTTTAATAAAATCTGGGCCTATCGCATACCTCCCAAGAGTCCCTATTTAGGAGGGACAGTCCCTATTTTGGGCCCAAATTCTTCTGTCCCTCTTTACTATCCTAATGTCCCTCTAGACACTCCATATTGTTGGTGTGTCAGCGTGTATAACAGAGCTCCACAGCAATAATACTCCCAGTAATGTGTCTGAGTGTATAACAGAGCTCCACAGCAATAATACTCCCAGTAATGTGTCTGAGTGTATAACAGAGCTCCACATCAATAATACCCCAGTAATGTGTTATAACAGAGCTCCACAGCAATAATACTCCCAGTAATGTGTCTGAGTGTATAACAGAGCTCCACAGCAATAATACTCCCAGTAATGTGTCTGAGTGTATAACAGAGCTCCACAGCAATAATACTCCCAGTAATGTGTCTGAGTGTATAACAGAGCTCCACAGTAATAATATTCCCAGTAATGTGTCTTGGTGTATAACAGAGCTCCGCAGCAATAATACTCCCAGTAATGTGTCTGAGTGTATAACAGAGCTCCACAGCAATAATACTCCCAGTAATGTGTCTGTGTGTATAACAGAGCTATTTTATTTATTTTTTGGTAGAAAGTGGTAAATGGGATTCCTATGCCGCCTATGAAGACTCCTCCTACTAGACCAAAAGTGACGCCAATCCGAGAACATCGAGGTACAGAAGGCCAAATCCCGTTATGTATGAATGTAAAAGTACCCACTGAGACTTACTAAGTACTGTACACTCAGTATTATTGTAAACATACCCACTGAGAGTTACTAAGTACTGTACATTTTCATAGGGCAAAATAATAGTGTTATCAATTATCAATCATCACAGTGGTATATAGAAATAAATTAATGGCTGCATTAAAATCCTGCTGACTATTATATTTTATAGGAAATCTGATATTTCCAGAGGGAATACCACCTCGACCAGATGGAAAACCTCCAGAACCACATATGGTATGTTGCTGTCGTGTGTCCACTGACTGTGTGGCCATTGATTTTGTGGCCAGTGGTTACAGACCAGTGAGCAGATTTGATGCACCTAAGATAATGAGTACCAAATTCAGAATGTACCACTGACTAAGCAGTAAACCATTATCTGGACTGCTCTATACTTGTATGACTATCAGCCACACTACCAGTTAAAATCCCTCTGTGATAATCCAAACTGGGGGGATTATCTGTATCACCAAACCTCCATTCATCCCAGGTTTAGTCAGATTACAGATAGATATTGAAAAGCCATTTACTGTTGTCATTCTAATGATGTTCCTTTCTTCCAACAGCTGAATAATGTTCTCCCAAGGAAAGGTTTTGAGGAAATATCTGCCTTTTCTACTGCAGACCCAGTGTTGGTGGAATCAGATTTTCCAAGGACAGGTCCGGTGGTGGAGAGTCCTACTTCTCATATGTTATATCCAGTAGTAGAGATAGATGTAACATTACTTGAGAAAGCAATGCCTTTAAAATCAGATCCATTAGTGGAGAGAACCGTGCCACTCACAACAGGTCCAGCTGTGGAGAGAGCTTTGCCACCAACGACAGGTCCAGCTGTGGAGAGAGTGACTCTAAAAAACAATCCAACATTGGAAAAAGATGTCCATAAAAAAACAAATCCAGTCGACGAGAGAGCTGTACCTCTAAGAACAGAGCCAGATGGGAAGAGAAATGTCTTTCTAGGATCAGACTCAGCAGGGGACTATTCTTTCCCTCAAAAAACGGATCCAGTGATGGAGCAAGATGTTTTTCTCCAGAGTGGTTTGGGAACAAATCAAAACTCTGAGAAGGTTAGTGAGGAACATTGTGCAGTTAATACAAACATGAAACTATGGATAGTCAACATATCAAATGTTTTCCACCTTTGACGAATGCCAACACAAAACTGTCACAAAGCTATTGCTGCTTCCTATTTCTGTGTCCCTCAATGACCCAAAGGGCCTTATGCCTGTTCCATATGCCTGACTCCCCACATAGTTGCTTCTCCCCCTCCTCTACCATCTTCAGTCAGTCTCATCCTAAATTACATTGTTCTTTAAGCTTAGCAATTACAGGGTAAGTTATTCAGGTGTATTGGGACAGGTTGAAACCTGTCTGGAAATGGACAAGCAATCATATCTTCATTTCTAACCACTCTCACTTGTAGCTTCAACATACTGTAATAAATCACTAGATTGAAAACCTCTAAGGGGTAGCCAAGCACACAGTATACAGGAAACAACAATACCACAAGACAAGAGTTTACTACAGAAATAAGGAATACAAGTATAATATATTTAAATGAAAATCAAATGTATGCAAATGATAAATGATTAAACAAAATACATTGAATTAAATTAAAGCTCCACGGTTAATAGAAGGTTCCCTAGGCACTCTGAAAGAATGATTATTACTGTTATTATTATTATTGGCATTTATATAGCACCAACAAATTCTGCAGCACAATTTCTTTTTACATCAAGTAAGTTACATATGGAATATTAACAGAGACAAGGTGAAGAGGCCCTGCTCAAATGAGCTTACAGTCTATATGAGGAAGGGGTAAAGACACACAATAGAAATTACAGCATGTCAGAGTGGGGAGGGATTGCTCAAACGAGCTTACACTCCATGAGGAAGGGGTAAGGAAACAATAGAAATGACAGAATGTCAGAGTGGGAAGGGATTGCTCAAACGAGCTTACACTCCAATGTAATGATTGGTAAAAGGTGAGGAGTGGAGTTAGTGGGGGCTTTGTAGGTTAGTGTTAGCAGTTTGACAGGTACAGGAAGCCGATGTAATGATTGGTAAAGGGTGAGGAGTGGAGTTAACAGGGGCTTTGTAGGTTACGAAGCCGATGTAATGATTGGTAAAAGGTGAGGAATGGAGTTAGTGAGTTCTTTGTAGGTTAGTGTTAGCAGTTTGAAGGGTACAGGAAGCCGATGTAATGATTGGTAAAAGGTGAGGAATGGAGTTAGTGAGTTCTTTGTAGGTTAGTGTTAGCAGTTTGAAGGGTACAGGAAGCCGATGTAATGATTGGTAAAAGGTGAGGAGTGGAGTTAGTGAGGGGTTTGTAGGTTAGTGTTAGCAGTTTGAAGAATACAGGAAGCCGATGTAATGATTGGTAAAGGGTGAGGAGTAGAGTTAGTGAGGGGTTTGTAGGTTAGTGTTAGCAGTTTGAAGGGTACAGGAAGCCAATGTAATGATTGGTAAAGGGTGAGGAGTGGAGTTAGTGGGGGCTTTGTAGAGTAGTGTTAGCAGATGAAGGGTAAAGCTAGTGAGGTCTTTGTAGGTTAGTGTTAGCAGTTTGAATTGGATCCTGAAGGGTAGAGGAAGCCGATGTAATGATTGCCATAGGGATGAGGTGTGGAAGTAGCGATCACTCAGGAGGATGAGCCTGGCGGCAGCATTCATTACAGATTTGAAGAAAGGCATTGTAGGTATTAACAAGGCCGATGACTAATATTGCAATTCACTAGTCATTGACCTTGTCAATAGTCAAGTCGGTGAATTAATGAGTGCATGAACAGGTGCCTTAGTTGTATCTCTAGTTAGAAAAGGGCGGTTTCTGGCAATATTTTTAAGGTGGAAGTTACAGGATATGGAGACAGACTGGATGTGAGAAAAGACCTGAGTCGAAAGTAACACCAAGGCTGTGAGCTTGAGAGGTTCGGGTAATAAGTGTCCCAATGACTTGCAGGGAGATTGATGGATGAGAACTATTTGAGCGAGGAAACATGAGGATTTCAGTCCTAGAAAGATTACATTTTAGAAATTGTGAAGGCATCCAGGTAGAGATGGACAAAAGGCAGTTTGAGACGTGTTGTAGGAGAGCTGGAGAGAGGTCAACGCAGGAGAGGTAAATATGTGCATTACCAGCATATTATCAGCAAATAGATGGTGCTGAAATCCATAGGAGTTAATAATGTAAACACAGTATAAAAATAGCAAAAGATATTGAAATCAGGGCTATACAATACAATAAATGTCAATCAATAGTCCAGAAGTCGTTGAATGATGTTAATCCACTGAAGGCTGAATTATCTGTAAATATAGAATCAATAGGACGTAGTGCTTTCCGTAAAACAAACCCTTTATTAGACATGTAACTTAAACACTTACAAAGCTCAGAGCGGTGTAGACGTAGTTCCAGTGACAATTGGCAGCCATGCAATAGTGATCCAGTGATTGTCACAGTGGACTTTTGGACTATTGATAGACATTTATTGTATAGCTTTGGTTTCAATAGTTCCATCGTGGCGATTTGTTTGCTATTTTTATACTTTGTCAGTTCCCCTGCAGGTATCTCCCGGATCTAGCCCTGAATCTATAAACCCTCTTAATAATCGCGGATATAATCTCTTGGATCTTCTGTTTTCCTGCTACAGGTCACACAGAGCACGGTGCCTCCACCTGCAGAGGACAAGGAGATAACGCTACAGATTCACACAGAATTTACTGTATCACTGAAAATCCACAAGGATATCGCCTACACAGAGCTCCAGGATCTCCTGCGGGACAAAATTCGACAACAAGGAGAACAAATGAAAATCCAGCTGAGGTACTGCATGGCTCCCATATGCTAAACCTTTTTCTATGAAGACATTGTCATGGTTGCGCTGCAGGGTGTTCCTGCACACTGCATCCCATCGGTGCTGGTGCTACTCTTGCTTAATCCTTGGCAGCCTCCTCCGGCAGTCCGATTGACGCTGGCCGCCGCGCAGTTGAGCCCCTTTATGGCTTCACCTTCTCCGCCCTGAATTTGTCTGCGAACATACGCAGCAGACATTGCGCACACATGATACCACGTCACATGACTGCCAATAACCAATCAGAGATCTTCGTAGGCTATTTAAGCTCAAATTAGATAGTTCTCAGTGCCCTGTGGTGGTTGTCCGATAGCGTGTTGTATTTATTGATTTAATTACAATTTAACCCCAACTTGTACACTAACTGTTCTTCCTTCTGTATTCCTTGATATCTGGCTTGCCTTTCCGTTTACTCTCTGTCTCCTGACCTAGTCTTGATCTGTACTATTCTATATTAGTAGTGTTAAACTCGCCATTCCAAGGTCCGGTAATACGCTGCAGTATTCAGGTTATATTTTATTGATTAATTTAAGTTCTGCGTTGGGTCTTTTTCTGACAGACATTTTTGGGAATAGTAGCTTTCACTGGTTGGCTGTAATTTGTATTACTGGAGTATTATACACAAGAGTAGGGATGGATCAGCTTAGACTGGTACATGGTATAAAGGGAAACAAAGTTACAAGAATAGAGACAGATAATCGCGGAATCATGTGTGAGCCACATATGGTCACATGCTCCATACAGAAAATATTAGTTCTATTTGTAATGCATTAGATAAAGTATTAAATCACACAATAAATGCATAAAAAAAATAGAAAAAAAACGAGTCACCTTTAAAGGACCAATATAGTGCCAGGAAAACAAACTCGTTTTCCTGGCACTATAGTATTAATAGGTCCCCCCCTCTAGGGGGAGGAAGGGGTTAAAATCTTACCTTTCTCCAGCGCTGCGCTCCCTCGGCGCTGGGGACTCTCCTCCTCCTTCGGACGTCATCGGCTGAATGCGCTTGCGCGGCAAGAGCTGCGTGCGCATTCAGCCAGTCTCATAGGAAAGCATTCACAATGCTTTCCTATGGACGCTGGCGTCTTCTCACTGTGAAAATCACAGTGAGTAGCGCGTAAGCACCTTTAGCGGCTGTCAATGAGACAGCCACTAGATGCTGGATTAACCCATATGTAAACATGCCAGTTTCTCTGAAACTGCCATATTTACAGCAGAAAGGGTTAACCCTAGATGGACCTGGCACCCTGACTTCTTCATTAAGCTGAAGTGTTCTGGGTGCCTATAGTGGTCCTTTAAAGTTCCTTCTACATCGACATAGACAAAGTAGCTGGAATGGACGTGCAAGCCGATAGAAGCTGCGGTTTTGTGAGCAGAGCTGTCAGACGAACCTTCATAGTAAGTTATGGAAGAGCCCCATGTGTCACCATATTTTGTCCAAAATAATTACAGTTTGTTACTGGAATAGTGACTTTTGTCATTTCTATGTTTTACTATAATTCTACACTGATTTCTTCAGTTACAGGGGTGCAGCTGGCAGCTCGGTGACCCCAGTGAGAGGGGACAGAGAATTACAGAGTATATTGAAACAAGCCCCCACCAAGCGCCTAACGTTGCACTGCAAGGTACTCGACGTTCAGATATTTCAATGTCAATATGTTTACCGGCTGTGTCGCAATGTGACTAGACCTGTTAGCAATATAGAAACACATATATAAATAGTACGTCTTTATTGAATATGTGCAGAATCTCTGTGGTTTAAAAATGTAAATAAACTGTAAACGACAAATATACTTGGCCTTGACAATACAAAGCTTGCAGGAGAAGGAACTAGAGTCTGAAATGCCATGTGTCAGTTCATATCTCCACTGTTTACCAGCACCACCCAGTGGTGGGAGGTTATATTACATGCTCTATGGAAAAGTAGCAGAAATTAATGAAGGGTATTTGCCGAATCTTACACTCAAATAAATGGTTGCATTTATTAATATAACTTAACCACGCTGTAGTTTATTATAAAAATAGCTGTTGTAGTGCGATCAGTACCGTTCACTAACGTTAGACCAAGATACCCGAATTTCGTAAAACTTACAAGTCTACCAATCGAATGCTACATTGGCCTTAGTTTTGCAAGTTGGTTCTTAACTCTGCATTAAAAATGTTTAAATAGTTTTTATTGGTAAATTCTGATAAACTAAAATTGATTTAAAAAATGATTAAGGTCTGGTTACAGACTGATGGGAGTAAAAATAATTATCTGTATCTCAATACAGGATGCCAATTACTGCCTAGGACGGCGTATCCTGTATAGTATGAAAGCAATTTATGAATATCCAGCGGAGGGTCCAGAGGACCTCACCTTTATCGTAGGAGACATTATCGACATCCTCTCAGAAGGTAACTCCAGTGAATCAGCTAAAGTGTTGTGGGATATCTGTGTGGCAAAATTAACATCGCCACTTGTGCCTGGAGAGGACTACTTGCCAGCCTCTTGCCATGTGATTATGGTCTCTGAGAAGTTTGGCCCTTTAAATACAGGATTTGGGCATAATGGGTTTTTATCGTGCTGCTGCTGGCCCTTTAACTCCCAGAAAAAGGATTTGTACTTTTAAACTGGCACTTCGGATACAGTCGAAGTGGCGAAGTAGTCGAAGTGGCCGCCATTCTAAAACCGAACACGTGGCGGCGGCCATTTTAATTTAGTAGAACGCGGTCAGCGGTGCGTGCCACTGAATCTATGGAACTAAAATCGGCAATACATTTGCACGAACACCGCTGACCCTTACCTTCTCATGAACTTCGACGTTTCGGCTGGAATCGAAGTACATTCGACAATTCGAACGCACTGTTAGACTGGGCTATTTTCACGAACGGCCCTGTTTGTGCATTCGAATGAGACTTAGACATTTTTCTGTGTGAAAATTGTCAGTCAAAGGTGACATATATATCTCCCGAACGGCTGAACGGATTCGAATGATTTTTGGGTATGTTTGTATTTGAAATATGCTGATTAATAATATGTGACTTTTTAATTAATATTGGATGTATAGTTTTAGAGTTATGAAAGTTGGGTAAAAAGTATGTTTTAAACTGTACGGCTAATTGTGTTAACTCTCAGGCTTAGGGGAGGAGATGTGTGGGATGTAACCAGAGTGTGATTGGGTAATTCATAATTGTCTGTGGGCGTCTCCCTTACACGGGAGAATTGCATAAAAGCAGAGTGTGCGTCATTAAAAATCTCAGTTCTTCTTCACCCCCAATCTGAGTCCTGTCTCTTATTCGGGGAATCTGCTACAAGGGATTGCTGTGCTCATCATACTCTCTTGCTATAATCACTGAGCTCTTGTAAGAGCTGTTCTGTTCCTGCAACTCTCTCCACCCACTGGAAGCTGGATCCTAGCCTTGGGTCCAGGGTGGGTGGAGACGGCGAGACACTGGCGCAGCTGCATCGCTGGAAGTGGGGTCTGCAGTGCTGATGGTGTCGGTTGGAGTCCTTGGCGAGCACTAAGAGCATCGATTGGCGGAGATACTCGGTCGGAGTGCCAGCGGTCCGTCACACTCTGATTTTTACAATCCTACAGATTGATGTATGATGGATATGGATCTGAAACATTGACGGTTTAAGGTGTGACAGGGAAACAATTAAAGTGCGTCAGTGTGGTGCGATAGCGGTTAATGACTTATTCACTGTTTAGTTTTGGATGTAAGTGTGATTGCTCCATTGTAAATGTTCAGTCATAGCTTAGTACATGGATATTAGTGGGCTGTGCCCATGAAGCATGCAAATATGTAGACATCATAAGAGGGACTAAAGCTTCCAATGCTGGCATATAATACAATGTGTGCAGGGAGACAGGAACAGAGGACCTCCTTACACCATAACCTTATAGCCAGTTATAATACACTGTGTGCGGGGAGATAGGGGAAACTCCTTACATCATAACCTTATAGCTGCAGTTATAATACAATGTGTGCGGGGAGACAGGGGACCTCCTTACACCATAACCTTATAGCTGCAGTTATAATACACTGTGTGCGGGGAGATAGGGGAAACTCCTTACATCATAACCTTATAGCTGCAGTTATAATACAATGTGTGCGGGGAGACAGGGGACCTCCTTACACCATAACCTTATAGCTGCAGTTATAATACACTGTGTGCGGGGACACAGGGGACCTCCTTACACCATAACCTTATAGCTGCAGTTATAATACACTGTGTGCGGGGACACAGGGGACCTCCTTACACCATAACCTTATAGCTGCAGTTATAATACACTGTGTGCTTGGGAGACAGGGGACCTCCTTACACCATAACCTTATAGCTGCAGTTATAATACACTGTGTGCGGGGAGACAGGGGACCTCCTTACACCATAACCTTATAGCTGAAGTTATAATACACTGTGTGTGGGGAGACAGGGGACCTCCTTACACCATAACCTTATAGCTGCAGTTATAATACACTGTGTGCGGGGAGACAGGGGACCTCCTTACACCATAACCTTATAGCTGCAGTTATAATACACTGTGTGCGGGGAGACAGGGGGACCTCCTTACACCATAACCTTATAGCTGCTTACACAGTGTGTGGGGGGCGGGGTTAACCTACACCATAACCTTAGAGCTGCAGTTATAATACACTGTGTGCGGGTAAGGGGACCTCCTTACACCATAACCTTATAGCTGCAGTTATAATACACTGTGTGCAGGGAGACAGGGGACCTCCTTACACCATAACCTTATAGCTGCAGTTATAATACACTGTGTGCGGGGAGACAGGGGACCTCCTTACACCATAACCTTATAGCTGCAGTTATAATACACTGTGTGCGGGGAGACAGGGGACCTCCTTACACCATAACCTTATAGCTGCAGTTATAATACACTGTGTGCGGGGAGACAGGGGACCTCCTTACACCATAACCTTATAGCTGCAGTTATAATACACTGTGTGCGGGGAGACAGGGGACCTCCTTACACCATAACCTTATAGCTGCAGTTATAATACACTGTGTGCGGGGAGACAGGGGACCTCCTTACACCATAACCTTATAGCTGCAGTTATAATACACTGTGTGCAGGGACACAGGGGACCTCCTTACACCATAACCTTATAGCTGCAGTTATAATACACTGCGTGCAGGGACACAGGGGACATCCTTACACCATAACCTTATAGCTGCAGTTATAATACACTGTGTGCGGGGAGACAGGGGACCTCCTTACACCATAACCTTATAGCTGCAGTTATAATACACTGTGTGCGGGGAGACAGGTAACCTCCTTACACCATAACCTTATAGCTGCGGTTATAATACACTGTGTGCTGGGAGACAGGGGACCTCCTTACACCATAACCTTATAGCTGCGGTTATAATACACTGTGTGCGAGGAGACCTCCTTACACCATGACCTTATAGCTCCAGTTATAATACTAACGGGGAGACAGGGGACCTCCTTACACCATAACCTTATAGCTGCAGTTATAATACACTGTGTGCGGGGAGACAGGGGACCTCCTTACACCATAACCTTATAGCTGCCGTTATAATACACAGTGTGCTGGGAGACAGGGGACCTCCTTACACCATAACCTTATAGCTGCCGTTATAATACACTGTGTGCAGGGAGACAGGGGACCTCCTTACACCATAACCTTATAGCTGCAGTTATAATACACTGTGTGCATGGGGAGACAGGGGACCTCTTACACCATAACCTTATAGCTGCAGTTATAATACACTGTGCTGTGAGACAGGGAACCTCCTTACACCATAACCTTATAGCTGCAGTTATAATACACTGTGTGCAGGGAGACAGGGGACCTCCTTACACCATGACCTTATAGCTCCAGTTATAATACTAACGGGGAGACAGTGGACCTCCTTACACCATAACCTTATAGCTGCAGTTATAATACACTGTGTGCGAGGAGACAGGGGGGACTGTGTTCCTTACACCATAACCTTATACCATGCGGGGAGACAACCTTTACACCATAACCCTGCAGTTATAATACACTGTGTGCTGGGAGACAGGGGACCTCCTTACACCATAACCTTATAGCTGCCGTTATAATACACGGTGTGCGGGGAGACAGGGGACCTCGTTACACCATAACCTTATAGCTGCCGTTATAATACACTGTGTGCGGGGAGACAGGGGACTTCCTTACACCATAACCTTTTACCTGCAGTTATAATACACTGTGTGCTGGGAGACAGGGGACCTCCTTACACCATAACCTTATAGCTGCCGTTATAATACACGGTGTGCGGGGAGACAGGGGACCTCGTTACACCATAACCTTATAGCTGCCGTTATAATACACTGTGTGCAGGGAGACAGGGGACCTCCTTACACCATAACCTTATAGCTGCAGTTATAATACACTGTGTGCATGGGGAGACAGGGGACCTCTTACACCATAACCTTATAGCTGCAGTTATAATACACTGTGCTGTGAGACAGGGAACCTCCTTACACCATAACCTTATAGCTGCAGTTATAATACACTGTGTGCGGGGAGACAGGGGACTTCCTTACACCATAACCTTATAGCTGCAGTTATAATTCACTGTGTGCAGGGAGACAGGGGACCTCCTTATACCATAACCTTATAGCTGCAGTTATAATACACTGTGTGCAGGGAGACAGGGGACCTCCTTACACCATAACATTATAGCTGCAGTTATAATACACTGTGTGCGGGGAGACAGGGGACCTCCTTATACCATGTTGTAGGAGCCATCTGTGTATTCTTAGAGTTTTTTTAAATAAAATACTCAAAATATGAAAACAGGAACATGTCTGAGTAAATGTGCATGTACGCTGTGAGATTTATTCTGTATTTGACTACACATGCACTGGTTACATTTTCTGTCGATATCTGGATTCATTTAGTACATAAACATGCCTCACTTAAACAAAACAAACGATAAAATAATATATGGTGCCTGTTGAGATGTGACCAGTTTATTTTTGTTTTGTCCAGTGAACGAAGAGTGGCTCGAGGGGCACTGCAATGGGAAAATCGGGATTTTCCCTAAATGTTTTGCGACAAGATTTGAGGACGATTAGATTATTCTGAGGACCTTATCAACTGCCACCACAATCAATAGTAACCAGATCTAAGAAAGCCGAAGACGAACTGACCGAATGGGAGATAAATTCTACAAGATAATTTGATCCTTTAAATTCTTTGTTTGGGTCTGTCTGTAATCTGTATCTCTGGGTGTTTTCTTAATACACACCCATTTAACACGGTTTGGTTTATTGTGGGAAAGTATTGCAACTAAGTAATATTTTCAATTCAGTTATCATGGCCCAAAATATCCCGTCACACTTCTCATCAATTCCTACTTTAGTATTATCAGCATTTATATAGCGCCAACATATTCCCCAGCGCTGTACAATTATAGAACGGTGATATCTGACAAGTACTTTACATACAGAATGTACGAGAGACGGGATGAACAAGGACCTGCTCAAACCAGCTAACACTCTATGAGTTAGTAGATGAGCCACCCCGGGTTATTCACTAAATGGAGAACTGTTGTAAACACAAAACGAGTTTAAAATTTAAGGCCAAAGTAACGAAATTGGAAGCATTGCTAACTTGGAGCATTATTCTAGCTCGACTACTTTGGCCTTAAATTCTGACCGAACCAGAAAAAAAGTCTTTGTTTTCAGAATGGCTGTTTTAGACTAAAATTCCAATAATTGAAACATTAGTTGATAATCCCGTGTAAATCCAACACTGCCTTCTCATTTCAGATAATATCGGTTCACAATATTTTACTCTATTTACATTGACGCGTAAAATTCAAATCTGCGAGATCTACAATTACTGAGATGTTTTATTTATTTATTATCATTTATTTGCTTATAGATTTTAGTTTATTGTTCAGTGTACTTTTTAAATATTGTCATACGTTTATCTTGTTATAATGGAATAAATTAATCAATTTACTGCAGAAAACAGCCCATTAGGTTTCCTGTGAATGAAGGTTTATAATTAAACAATATTATTGATGTTGTCGTACTATATGTTAAGTTCACAGATTAAGAAATGAGGCACACACTGAGGGAAATGGCCCCTGGTAAACAGGTACTGACTGTGAATGCAATTAAACATGATCTCTTACCAGTACTGTAATCTTGCTGATATTTCATGCATGAGAGGAGATAAAACATTAGAGGGAATTTTATAATCAACTACACAAGTCATGTAGATAAAAGATGGTGTACACGTAGACTAGCCTTCCAGTGGAGCAGTAACGTGATATAGAAAGGGTAGTAGATACCTGGAATAGCCTTCCAGTGGGAGCAGTAACAGTGATATAGAAAGGGTAGTAGATACCTGGAATAGCTTTCCAGTGGGAGACCTAACAGTGATATAGAAAGGGTAGTAGATACCTGGAATAGCCTTCCAGTGGGAGCAGTAACAGTGATCTAGAAAGGGTGGTAGATATCTGGAATAGCCTTCGAGTGGGAGCAGTAACAGTGATATAGAAAGGGTAGTAGATACCTGGAATAGCCTTCCAGTGGGAGCAGTAACAGTGATCTAGAAAGGGTGGTAGATATCTGGAATAGCCTTCCAGTGGGAGCAGTAACAGTGATATAGAAAGGGTAGTAGAAACCTGAAATAGCCTTCCCGTGGGAGCAGTAACAGCGATACAGAAAGGGTAGTAGATACCTGGAATAGCCTTCCAGTGGGAGCAGTAACTGTGATATAGAAAGGGTAGTAGATACCTGGAATAGCCTTCCAGTGAGAGCAGTAACAGTGATATAGAAAGGGCAGTAGATACCTGGAATAGCCTTCTAGTGGGAGCAGTAACAGTGATATAGAAAGGGTAGTAGATATATGGAATAGCCTTCCAGTGGGAGCAGTAACAGTGATATAGAAAGGGTAGTAGATACCTGGAATAGCCTTCCAGTGGGAGCAGTAACAGTGATATAGAAAGGGTAGTACATACCTGGAATAGCCTTCCAGTGGGAGCAGTAACAGTGATATAGAAAGGGTAGTAGATACCTGGAATAGCCTTCCAGTGGGAGCGGTAACAGTGATATAGAAAGGGTAGTAGATACCTGGAATAGCCTTCCAGTGGGAGCAGTAACAGTGATATAGAAAGGGTAGTACATACCTGGAATAACTTTCCAGTGGGAGCAGTAACAGTGATACAGAAAGGGTAGTAGATACCTGGAATAGCCTTCCAGTGGGAGCAGTAACTGTGATATAGAAAGGGTAGTAGATACCTGGAATAGCCTTCCAGTGGGAGCAGTAACAGTGATATAGAAAGGGTAGTAGATACCTGGAAGAGCCTTCCAGTGGGAGCAGTAACAGTGATATAGAAAGGGTAGTAGATACCTGGAATAGCCTCCCAGTGGGAGCAGTAACAGTGATATAGAAAGGGTAGTAGATACCTGGAATAGCCTTCCAGTGGGAGCAGTAACAGTGATATAGAAAGGGTAGTAGATACCTGGAATAGCCTTCCAGTGGGAGCAGTAACAGTGATATAGAAAGGGTAGTAGATACCTGGAATAGCCTTCCAGTGGGAGCAGTAACAGTGATATAGAAAGGGTAGTAGATACCTGGAATAGCCTTCCAGTGGGAGCAGTAACAGTGACATAGAAAGGGTAGTAGATACCTGGAATAGCCTTCCAGTGGGAGCAGTAACAGTGATATAGAAAGGGTAGTAGATACCTGGAATAGCCTTCCAGTGGGAGCAGTAACAGTGATATAGAAAGGGTAGTAGATACCTGGAATAACCTTCCAGTGGGAGCAGTAACAGTGATATAGAAAGGGTAGTAGATACCTGGAATAGCCTTCCAGTGGGAGCAGTAACAGTGATATAGAAAGGGTAGTAGATACCTGGAATAACCTTCCAGTGGGAGCAGTAACAGTGATATAGAAAGGGTAGTAGATACCTGGATTAGCCTTCCAGTGGGAGAACTAACAGTGATATGGAAAGGGTTGTACATACCTGGAATAACCTTCCAGTGGGAGCAGTAACAGTGATATGGAAAGGGTAGTAGATACCTGGAATAGCCTTCCAGTGGGAACAGTAACAGTGATATAGAAAGGGTAGTAGATACCAACTTTACCAACGTCTTGCCAAGTAAAATCAGAAATCAGTTGGATACACCATAATGAATGGACTAGAATTACCAACAGATTCTCATTCATTTGCCCAATCTAGATTTGTATGAAACATATGTGACAGACCGCATGAGCTGGAGAACGTCAGATGGGATACTGCATAATAAATGAAACAAAAGGAAAAACTAAACTATTTACTAAACTGAACTTTTCAGGAAAGATTCAGCAACCAACAGTCTACTTAACTGGACTAGTTATCATCCAGTTAAGTTAAAGTCAGGTATACCCTTTGGCCAGTATTTGCGCGCCAGGCGCAATTGTTCCACTGAAACATCTTTCCAAAGGGAAGCCAACAAATTAAGAACTATGTTTAAACAGAAAGGCTACCCAAATAGAATCCTTAAACGAGCCTACCAACGAGCACTACTAATAAATAGAAGTGAAAGCTTAAGGTCGAGTAGACCTAAGTCAGAAACGAAAATAACTCGCTGTGTAGGCACGTATGATTTATATTGGGACAAAGTACAAAAAATAATGACACACAACTGGCCAATACTTCAGCATGACATAGATCTTGCCGATAATATTGGTAATTTTCCTCAAATCACGGCGTAGGGCAAAAAACCTGAGAGACATCTTGGTTCATAGTCATATTGAACCTATGAAACCATCCCAATCCACTTGGTTAACCCAGACTACTGGGATTTATCGCTGCGGGCATTGCAAGGCATGTAAATTCATTAAACCCACCAAAATGATAACAAGCTCTATAACAAAAAAAGAATACAAAATTAAGGAATTTATCAACTGTAGCTCTACTCGGGTGATCTATTTAATTACATGTAGCTGTGGCATCCAATATGTAGGTAAAACCTACCAGCAATTAAAACGAAGGATACTACAACACATTTGCTCTGTGACCAACTTAAATATCTCGACTCCAGTAGCAAACCATGTTCGAAATTTCCATCAGGCTGATCCAACACATCTTACATTCCAAGCATTAGAGAAATTAACCCTAAACACTAGGAAAGGGAACTTCAATAAAATACTCCTAATGAAAGAGTCTAGATGGATTTATTTTTTAAAAACATTAGCACCTGATGGTCTGAACGAAGAGTTCAACTTCACCCCGTTCATACATTAATAAACGATGGGCCTAGCACTGAACTCAGACTACTCTGGTCCTTTTACTTTATGGCCAGCCTATTATGGACTCATTTTCTACTAATATCATATTTATAATTTTAATGCCTTTAATTTTGGTCATCTTTACCTACATAAGTACTTATCATCCTCTCTAGGCTAATGCTTTGGTGTACTAATTTTCAGTGTTTAGGCTACTATTTATTATGACAGATAGCCTTTTCTCCATTATAACAACATACTCACCAATCATTTGTGTCTTTGCATACACACATATATTTTCCTTTATGATCAGATTTTTTCTTTATTGTTTCTCATCTATATTAGTTATATTGTTTGCTCTCTTTATTCTCTTAACCAGCAATATTTAGAGAAACTCGACTATATTCATAATATCCTTCACACCTAATCTCTTCAAATATGGCTCTTTTTCTCTAATTATGATCGCCTACTAAAATTAGTCAAAGAACTTAGCAGAGTAAGGGTTAATCTACTCCTCTTGAAACGAGTTTGATTCCGTCACAACATTAACGAGTTTGCACCAATCAGGAACTTTTTTGACTAACCAATAGAAACATTGTTTCACAGATTTAAACCAGACGCAGTGTACCGACCGGTTCCCCTCTGACGAGCCAGGTCGGGCGAAACGCGCGCGTCAGGGCGTTATACAGTACTTCCCCTATGATCGGGGGTGAAGTACTTTGACCTGCAACCATGCTATTTGATTCCTATCACTTCTAATTTATATTAATCAATCCTTTGAGCGTGCGTACGATGTTTTAGCACACTCAGTTAGGTAGCTTATTAGTGATAGAGTCAACTTACATTGATTTCTCATTTTCAGTGGGACTAGCGGCAGGTGCCCTTGAAGGCACAGTTTACAGCACAGCTTTAGCTTTTATCACGGGGAGTGTTAGTATAGGATTTTTCCAGCTTGCTTATAGGCACTTCTTCTATTTCTGTCTATGGTTAATTTGAGAGCTCCATTATCGTTTTTACGGCTCTCTTTCTCTTTTCATCTATTTTACTGTCTTTAGCAGGACTATAGGTAGGTGCCCTCGAAGGCACTAGTTTTACAGCTAACTATTTATCTTCAGATTCATAGTTTATCATCACACTACGTATCAGTTGAATTTAGGATTAAGTTTACTCTATATTGAGCCTAACCGTTATTCTTACGGCTACCTTTATGCCTTACTCACCCCGTATGAGCGGGATGATTGTTAGTTGCCCGTACAGGCACTGAGGTCATTCACTGCTATAGCAGCAACACACAGCCAGTGTCAATATCTGGTTGCCAGTATGCACTTTTTGGATTTCTTTCTTCTAACATAGCTGTAGTAGTTGAAGCTGTCCACTAAGTTTTATCATGAATAATTGAATTTTGTCATCTATTAGTAGTTTCAGTTACATTGTTGCTAACGCATTCGGCGAGACCTACATCATCCTACTCTATATGCAAAGCTGTGCTTTCCGCTCTGTATCTTTTTATATTATCATCTAAATCATTTCTTATTACACTGGTTACAATCCCTGAACACTTGCTATAGCTGTATTAATTGCTGATATCCATCAGCACTTCTTTTGAATTTTGGTTATAACTACCAAGTGACCCGGTGATTACTTTCCAGTCCTGACACATAAGACTAAAACCACTGATTGAGATTCTTTTCATCTTTTTATTTGCACAATTATTTATAGGTAGTTATTGTAGCACTTTTTTTGTGTGGTCTTCACCAGTGTACACTTGTATGTCTTTGGTTTTAATATTTATTAATAAAATTTATTTATTTTTATTTTTTCCTTTTTGGATTATATTACAGTGGTATACTTTGCTAAATAGTATACCTTCTCAGCATTATTGTCTGAGATTGATATACCCATTATGTAACCACATTTTGCTCTGTACTTTAGATATATAACATGTAGGTACACTTCCTGTTTTTTCTTGATATTTACTAAATTGTTTTGGGGAATGTAGTTATTATTATTATTATTATTATTATTATTATTGCCATTTATATAGCGCCAACAGATTCCGTAGCGCTTTACAATATTTTGAGAGGGGGGATCTAACAATAAATAGGACAATTACAAGAAAACTTACAGGAACAATAGGTTGAAGAGGACTCTGCTCAGATGAGCTTACAGACTATAGGAGGTGGGGTATTAGAAACATTAGGACATGAAATATCAAGTAGGAGTGAAGCAGAGCTGGAGGAGAGAGCAAAGCACTGTCCCATAGGAGAGAGCAGGAGACAGGTATGTAAGGTAGAGATTACTCTGGGAGGCCATAAGCTTTCCTGAAGAGATGGGTTTTAAGGCCCTTCTTAAATGATTGCAGACTAGGGGAGAGTCTGATGGCAGTAGGCAGGCTATTCCATAGGAAAGGAGCCACCCGCGAGAGGTCCTGCAAGCGCGAGTTGGCCGTACGGGTGCGAGCAGCGGTCAGGAGGTGGTCACGGGCAGAGCGGAGGGTACGAGGAGGGGCATATCTATGGATTAGTGAAGAGATAAGAGGGGCTAGAATTGTTCAGTGCTTTAAATGTGTGGGTTAGCACTTTGAATTGACTCCTATAGCATACAGGGAGCCAATGTAAGGACTGAGAGGGGTGAGGTGTGAGAGGAAAATCAGTCTGGCTGCAGCATTCATTACAGACAGTAGCGGGGCAATACGGCTTTTGGGGAGACCTATCAGGAGAGGGTTACAGTAATCCATAGTTATTATAAAAATAGCTGATTTGGAAAAACTAATTCCACTATAGTTTCTGCTCAGTTATTAAAATTTTTGTGATCATTTCTCCCCAATCCCCAGTATCAGAAATATATAAAAATGAAAAAAATATTAAATAAAAATTTAGAGGAAAACCCTGATTGTTCAGTGACAGAGCACCTGTACTTCCACAGAATGACGACTAGGTGGCAGTGTTTACCAAATATAAACCAACCCATTGGTTGCCATGTCAGGAAACTCAAAACGTTATTGGCATCGATTACTTCACGTTCTTTACTGACAAATTAATAGAAATGCAATATATTAACTTCATTTTTATATAGATTTATACACACACGTTTCCTTAGCAGTAATATTCTGACTTTAGGGTTTCCAAGGTCTGAGATTCCAAGGAACGTTTATTAAAATTCCTCCATAAAACTTGCTTGCTTAAGGCTGACAAAGAATCACCGAAGTTGTAGTTTAATAAACAGACAAAAAAAAACAAAAAAAGTGTTTGGCATCCTGGCGGGTCAATTCAACACTCAATACATCAATTTAAAAAAATAATTTAAAAAAAATCTAATTGGAAAAGTCGTTTTTCTTGCTTTTAATTATGTACATTTTTTTGATAACAAATGTTTAACTTCAATTTTATTCTTTACTTTTTGACCCTCTGTTTCGTGTTGGCGACACACGGGTCAATGAGGCAGAGATCGATTATATTAAAGAAATTCCCTCCTTGTCGATAGACACGTATTTTGTGAGTTTCAGGAGATATTCAATCATTTATTCAAAGTAACAGAGTCTGCATTCACCGATGAATCTTTGGCGATTAGAACACAGATAAATTATTTATGACACGTCTCTTGCATGTCGAGTTCCTTTGGATGGGAGCCTTTTTTTAGGTTTCCTTCTCCAATAAAGGGAAATATTCTCGGATATCAGCTCCATCCCCCCTGCCCTGAACACACGTTCCGGCGAAAAAACTGCAGAGAAGTGGCCACTAGTCCGGCGGTGATACTCAGTACTATAAAGAAAAGCGCGGACACCCACATGTTGTAACTGTGGCCCTTTAGCAGTGAGGGAGCTTCAGACGGGATCCTGTTGGTCAGGTTTAGCATGTACCCAAGAGTCCAGCCAACATCGGTATTATCAACCTGTAAAACACACAAAATGAACCCAATAGCTCAGGATTAACCAGCTAAAACAAAAAGTGTCCTAAAGGGTCTCTGTAGAGTTTGCAGTAGAACACAAAATAAAAAAAGGTTCTTGTAGCATGCCTCCAAAGTGTCCCTATTTAGGAAGGTCACTCTTTTTGGGCCCAAATCCCTCAATCACTCTTTTCTATACTAATATCCCTCTATTCTAGGAGCTCCATATTGTTGGTGTGTCTGAGTGTATAACAGAGCTCCACAGCAATAATACTCCCAGTAATGTGTCTGAGTGTATAACAGAGCTCCACAGCAATAATACTCCCAGTAATGTGTCTGAGTGTATAACAGAGCTCCACAGCAATAATGCTCCCAGTAATGTGTCTGAGTGTATAACAGAGCTCCACAGCAATAATACTCCCAGTAATGTGTCTGTGTGTATAACAGAGCTCCACAGCAATAATACTCCAGTAATGTGTCTGAGTGTATAACAGAGCTCCAAAGCAATAATACTCCCAGTAATGTGTCTGAGTGTATAACAGAGCTCCACAGCAATAATACTTCCAGTAATGTGTCTGAGTGTATAACAGAGCTCCACAGCAATAATACTCCCAGTAATGTGTCTGAGTGTATAACAGAGCCACACAGCAATAATACTCCCAGTAATGTGTCTGAGTGTATAACAGAGCCACACAGCAATAATACTCCCAGTAATGTGTCTGAGTGTATAACAGAGCCACACAGCAATAATACTCCCAGCAATGTGTCTGAGTGTATAACAGAGTTCCACAGCAATAATACTCCCAGTAATGTGTCTGAGTGTATAACAGAGCTCCGCAGCAATAATACTCCCAGTAATGTCTCTGAGTGTATAGCAGAGCTCCACAGAAATAATACTCCCAGTAATGTGTCTGAGTGTATAACAGAGCTCCGCAGCAATAATACTCCCAGTAATGTGTCTGAGTGTATAACAGAGCTCCGCAGCAATAATACTCCCAGTAATATCTCTGAGTGTATAACAGAGCTCCGCAGCAATAATACTCCCAGTAATATCTCTGAGTGTATAACAGAGCTCCGCAGCAAAAATACTCCCAGTAATGTGTCTGTGTGTATAACAGAGCTCCACAGCAATAATACTCCCAGTAATGTGTCTGAGTGTATAACAGAGCTCCACAGTAATAATACTCCCAGTAATGTGTCTGAGTGTATAACAGAGCTCCACGGCAATAATACTCCCAGTAATGTGTCTGAGTGTATAACAGAGCTCCACAGCAATAATACTCCCAGTAATGTGTGTTTAACCCCTTAAGGACCAAACTTCTGGAATAAAAGGGAATCATGACATGTCACACATGTTATGTGTCCTTAAGGGGTTAAACAACAATAAATGTGTTTAGAAATCAGTTTGTGTAAATAAGACACATTGTTCTCATTCTAAATTACATTTTACTTGTATAAATAGTAATTAGGTCACTTTAAATGTCTCTGATTAGCCCTGCCTCCGGCCAAATGAGAGTAACAAACTTTAAAATGAAAGTGTCCCAGAAATCCACACATTTTGCGACATGCCGGATATAATTACTGCGGTATGGCTTTGTATAAAACGGATTAAGATTTATATTGTTCAATATACGCAATAAAATGTAAGACTCTGTAGATATATAGAATTATGGAAACATTGAGTGTGGTGTCCCTTTAAACTGTAAATCGAAAAAACCAACCAATAGCTCAGCTGCTTATCATTCTAGCGTACGCTGTAACCCGAGCCCTGTCCTAGCAGATAGAAGGATTGTAAATAAACTAAATATGGAAACAGTTTATAGATAGGATTATAAATACATAAGGAAACAGTGTCACTTATTGTAAATACACATTAATAGAATCTACAGGTGAAATTCCTGTAACGGCTGATAATCTAGTGTCAGCGAATATAATTCCACCTAAAACTGATGTGGAACTCACCTGTTGAGTAAAATGAATGTTGCCCCAGGTTTGTTCGCTAAAATTGTATCCATCGAGCAGCAAGGTGAGGATGTATATGGCGGAGGTGCAATAATGTAACAGACGATCCTTCTTTTCTAGAGGGAAGTCTTGTTCCAGCTGTGGAAAGGCCCAAAAAGTTTAATTAGGGACTGAGATGGAACGACAGGCCACTTGGTACGGTTAATTGGGCCTTAGTGGTTTCTCTCTACAAAGATATCCTGTCTGTCTGTTTGTTTAGAAGTAACACAGCTGCCAAATGTTTGTTTACAGAGGGAGCGATTGCTATTCTCCTCCTTAAATTAATGGCAATGTAATTTAATGAGAACTTTTTCCAGGATCCCAGTGCTAGGTATTCGCAGATTAAAAATTCTTTGTGTAGCTACTTCCTCTATCTGGTGCGTTGGGGATCTTGCTGGAAGTCTTGCCATTTCTGCTGTAGATGCAGGTTTTTTTTTACCAAAGTGAGAATTGTCCAGAAATTAAAGGGATTTTCAAATATAAAGAGAAATTTAGACAAAGTGGAAAATTCTCCACGTCCGCTATGGCTTTAGCTTGGTCCCCTGGGCCTTTGAAATTCACTTTAGTAAATAATCTTGAATGGTTTCGGTCAGGGGCCTCATGTAAGATCTCCAGCTCCCTATCGGTCAGGGGCTTCATGTAAAATCTCCAGCTCCCTATCGGTCAGGGGCCTCATGTAAGATCTCCAGCTCCCTATCGGTCAGGGGCCTCATGTAAGATCTCCAGCTCCCTATCAGTCAGGGGCCTCATGTAAGATCTCCAGCTCCCTATCAGTCAGGGGCCTCATGTAAGATCTCCAGCTCCCTATCAGTCAGGGGCCTCATGTAAGATCTCCAGCTCCCTATCGGTCAGGGGCCTCATGTAAGATCTCCAGCTCCCTATCGGTCAGGGGCCTCATGTAAGATCTCCAGCTCCCTATCGGTCAGGGGCCTCATGTAAGATCTCCAGCTCCCTATCGGTCAGGGGCCTCATGTAAGATCTCCAGCTCCCTATCGGTCAGGGGCCTCATGTAAGATCTCCAGCTCCCTATCGGTCAGGGGCCTCATGTAAGATCTCCAGCTCCCTATCGGTCAGGGGCCTCATGTAAGATCTCCAGCTCCCTATCGGTCAGGGGCCTCATGTAAGATCTCCAGCTCCCTATCGGTCAGGGGCCTCATGTAAGATCTCCAGCTCCCTATCGGTCAGGGGCCTCATGTAAGATCTCCAGCTCCCTATCGATCAGGGGCCTCATGTAAGATCTCCAGCTCCCTATCGGTCAGGAGCCTCATGTAAGATCTCCAGCTCCCTATCGGTCAGGGGCCTCATGTAAGAGCTCCAGCTCCCTATCGGTCAGGGGCCTCATGTAAGAGCTCCAGCTCCCTATCGGTCAGGGGCCTCATGTAAGAGCTCCAGCTCCTTATGACACTTAAAGTACATTTTTTCCCTAGAAAGTTACTGCAAAATGGTCAGAAAACATTTTAAACAAAGAGGAAAAAATAAATTAAATCCGAGCTGGAGTTCCTGAATCATAAAATGCTTTACATCAATATGCAAGCTGTGAAGAAGTGGGTTCTGATTTGCCCCTTTGCCAAATAGGATATAATCTCTGAACTTGACTTTCTAAATCAAATCAAGCCTTCTTATAATAATTATATAGCATTTTTATGTAAAAAAAACTACAGGCAAAGTTATACCAAATGAATATTTTTTTATTTTTTAGGTTAGCCTTATTCTCATCCCTGATGTAATATTTTGATGGTTTTTATCTGGTTTAGCGAGTTTATATTATATTTGTGAAGCCTAAATTGTAGCCCATTTGTCCATTGCATTGTGTCGCACCTTTAACACTGTCTCAGACATCTAGAGCTGCGCAATATCCTGATTACCACATATACTGAGACTGAAACAGACCATTTGTTACCTTTTTCCATTCAAGCGTGCAGAATTCCTGGACTGTCTGATTGGTGACACTCAGGGACTGTCCGTCGGTGAGATTTAGGAAATTTAACGTATAATAAAACGCAGAAAATGCCTGGAGATAAACAATAAAAAAAGTTTGGGGTTAAATCTGGGAACAAGGGATGCATGAGCCTCACTAAATAAAGATCATCACAAGAGATATTATTATTATTTTATTATTTATATAGCGCCATCAGATTCCGTAGCGCTGTACAATGGGATATGTACTAAACCGAATCAGCAAACTTTCGATGCAGTGGAACAAAGTTCCAGAAAATATAGGAAAGTACAGATTTATCTTCGCCAGATAATTCTGAGCTTTAGAGGTCAGGTTTCTCCCGTAGAATTTTTCCATTGGAGAAAACCATTATTAACACAGTGGGGACATCCCTGGCTTTTCGCTGTACCACTCACTCTCCCTCCATGTGGATAATGATGACATTACCAATAATGGGACAGATTTTAATTATCCCCTTATTTTTCACATGACAGGAGCTTGCTTGAACTCTGCTGGACTGCTCATCACAGCATTTTCTAAATAAGGTAAATGTATATATTTAATTTACGCTGTAAATATATTTAGATAGAGTGAATTTTGTTTTATCACTAATGTTCACCAATAATTTTCACTAATTAACGCTCACTCCAGAATATAAACCTCAGAATAATTCACGAAAAGGTTACATTACTGGCCACGATAGTTCATTTACACGTAATTGTGCAGCATTGACAAGAGAACTGCAAATTATGGGTTAAAACAGACAAAATCGGGGAGGAAATAAATTCAGTTTGACAATTTAGTTCATTACTTTTTAGCCTTTTAGCCCATATTTGCAGTTCCCTTGTCAGCTCTCTCCTATTCCCAGATTAATCATACTCTCAGTCACTGAATAAAGGACAACCGACTGGTTCTTATCTCGCCCTTCTTCGATTTCTCTGCCAATATCAGGAGTTATAGGACAGATTACTCAAGGCAGGATTAGGTATCAATATCAGCTACTCGAATATTTACAAGTTTCATAGGTAATAATTCATTAAAATGTCTCGTTTTCAAGTATAGGTTTCAAATCTAAACATAAAATGTTTAAAAGACAGTAAAAGCAAGACTCTAGGTACCATAAACACTTAATCTCATTGAAGTGGTTACAGTGTTTAGTGCGATCCCACTGTTCTCTATTTGACTCTGAATAAGAGTGTTAAGCTCAAAAACAATAAGATTATCCATAACAACTTTGATTTAAGTGGCTATGGCACCTAGACTGTCCCTTTAAACATTAACTGTAACAGCAGCTACTTTTTAATAAGGAGACAATGATTCAGTGATGAAATATACAAACATCCTCATGAAGGTCAGAAATCTTCGCAACCCTGTCTTTTGCCCTGGACGTTTAAAAGTACTGGCTAATATTAGGAGCTTTGTTGAATTATTTTTAATATAGACCCTAAGATTTAGGCGAAACGTACGTAGAACAGTCCGTGCACAGGTGGCTGATAGACCCCATCGAAGGAGCAAGGCTCTATACGACAATTGGTGAAGTTCATTACTTCCATGACGGTTTGGCGACACTGATCAGGATTCCCTGCGCCAGTCACTGTGAAGTTCTGCTCCGGAATAATGGCTCGTGGTACACACGGACTGTTGTATAGAGAGGCAGGTGATACAGTAGCAGTGTAACCCTTGGGGTAGCAAGGATGTGCAACAGCCAGTGTGTGGGAATCCTAAACAGAAAAATACACACAGGTAAAAATACTTTAGTTATGAATATTTCTTGGTAGCGGGCATATAAAGGCCTAGGATGTCTAGTCTTGAGCGTCACTCATCTGTAATTTTGCCCTTAATTCAAACCAAATCATAGATGGAAAACTAATCGTTACAAATGAAAAAAAAAAAATGATTTTACAATTCGTTAAGTTACTCTTTGTAAATTCAGGCAGTTCTTGTTTTGCATGTAGTGATGTGTAAAGTAGTAACTGTGTTATATAATTGTGCTGATCAAAGTATACACACATTTGCTAAAGTATTATATTTGCATTATGTCCAATAATCCTCATTAACGTTCTTTATTTCCGGCGTCCTTTGAAGACATCACAGCCGGCAAGTCTTACCTTTACGAGCGCTGCAAGTACTCTCTTAAAGAACTGGTCTTGCCCGTAACAAAGGTAACTATGGGTGTAGATCGTATAGTTATAGCCATACAGTCGGAAATGCATCTCTGCGTCTTTGTCTTCAATAGCTACAGAGGGAACAAAGGTCATCTGCGTAGAGGCCCCACCGAGATCCATGGCTCCTATTGTCTGGCCATCGGGATGAATCCAGGTTGACGTAAAGGAATACTTCACATAAAATAAAAAAGTCAACATGGTTATTAAAAGGTGTGAGCATTCATCTGGTTACCAACACGGACAGACTTTGCAACTAACCCGTAAGATTGTGCCCAGAATATAGTTGACCGTGATCCAGCCCAGTGAGCCCTCCTCGCTGCCCGTCAGGATCCGAGCGCTTTGAAAGTCCACGGGGTACTCTCGAAGGGTTTTCGAAATTTCTCGAAAGAGTTCCTGTGTTTGGTTTGGATTCGTCACACTGTAGGCAACAGGACCGTTGAAAATAATATTTATTAGAATTCAAAATGTACACTGAAAAACAATACCTTGAGGAGAGTAGAACAGTTCCGAACCCTGTTATGGGACTGTCTCAGTCGTGTATCTACAGGTAGTGTGTATTTAAACTGCCGCCGTTTCCAATATGAAGAGCATTGTTGAGTGGTTCTGAAATGGTTAACTAGAGACCAGAATCACTGCATAATGTTGCCTTTATAAATGACGCTGCTAGGATTCACAAAGGAGGTTGAGGACATTTGTTTCGTGAAGCTGTGGACTGTAACTCATCACACCCACACAACTCCCAAAGTCAATATTCACATCTAACCCCTTTACTTATTGCTGTTATAATAACTGCCATAGTTTAACAACGTAAAAGTTATAATGGCGCTGTGGTCTTTGGATTGACTGCATATTATGACGGACAGGTTTTGAAAATCTGCGTTTTACGTTTGCCATTTTTCAAGTATTTGCATGTGCCGGCAGCAGTCATTTCATGTGAGGATCTCTTTGAATCATTAATACGCATTATACAGCACTACAGGAAGCTTGGATCTTTGTTAATAAAATGGCACAAAACAATTTTAGCATAATGAAGTAGTTTTGGTTTATAGATCATGCCCCTGAAGTCTCGCTGCTCAATTCTCTACCATTTAGAATTTAAATCACTTTTGTTTCGGTTTATGCAGCTCTAGCCACGCCTCCCCTGGCTGTCACTCACACAGCCCCCATTAAAAATGGTTTTATTTTCAATTAGATCTTACAGCACATTGTATTTAGACATTCTTATCTCCTGGTCGGTTAGTTGAACTTTAATTCACACACAGGAGGCTGCTGCAGGCGTTAGCTGGCAATTAACAGAGCAGCAGATAATAAATTCTAAATTAAACACACAGTGCAGTAAGGGAAGCTAAAACAATGTAGACACTTTCAGGAAATGTTTAGGAAGGCTGTGGGAGTCTCAGCCAGTGGAGGTGTGGCTACGGCTGGATAAACAAAGTGATTTAACTCCTAAAGGGCAGAGAATTGAGCAGCGAGACTTCAGGGGCATGATCTATACACCAAAACTACTTCATTAAGCTAAAGTGGTTTTGGTGCTTAGGGTATCCCTTTAATATAAAGTTAAAGTAGTACTTTCTGTATTGGTATCACTGACCAATAAGTACACTGCTTCCATACAGTGCAAAATGTGTTAATACAATAAAATATAAAAATCAAACCTAGCTGATAGAGTAAAGGTTTAAGAACCGGCTCATCCACGTGTTTACAAACCTTTTCTTCCCTTTTATTATTGATTTTCTATAATTTTTCCAAGTACGGGATGACCTGTGAACTCACAGCTTTCCTTAATAAGTCGAAGTGCAATCTGTGGTCAAACATGATGGCTGTTTACGTATAAACTTAATCTGGCTCCCAACAAACCTAAGATCATTGCTGACATCAGCAGGAGCGCACCTCTCACACGGCGTACAAAGGGGACAATGTGGGTGATGTAATCGACCGCTGGAACATACTTTGTTACTGTGTTTTACAGAAAGCCAACTTTTTATTTGTTTAAGATTTATCTTATTCAAGTGAATCGGGGAGTGGATGTTTATTACTCTGAAGGTTTTGTTCCCACGAAATAAAAGTTTGGTTTTTCTTGTGTAGAAAAGTAATTTGACCGAAAAAAAAAAAGAAAAGGAGTTCACAAATGTGCATTGGGTTGTCAAGTCCATCAGGGGTTAAGACGAAATTATTTGAGGTTAAAAGGCACCATAACAATGTCAGCTTAATAAATCATATCAGCTCATTGTATTTGTTCTGGTGAATATAATCAGGCCCTGCTGGCGTTTTTATGTAAATACTGCCTTTTCAGAGAAACGGCTGTATACAATGCTGCCTAAGGACACCTCCAGAGCAGCTCCACGGGACCATCAGGGATAAAACCAGCTCTGCAGAACCTACACACACACTCAGCCAACATCACAACCAGCCCCTCACATACATATCACACTTAACCAGCCACCACATTCACACTCAGCCACCACAAACATCCTTTGGTGTATTCCTTAGAGTGAGCATGGAGGGGGGCCCTTTTTCATTCTTGCAGCGGGGCCCAGTGGATCCTAGTTACGCCCCTGTTAAGTACAATTTAAATTACTTTAAGCAGAATAACTTTAGGTATCCATCTGGCTAGCACGACGTATGGGGAAACACGTTATGGGACAATGCTGGTTTTACTCTATTGAAATCCTAGTTCTACTGGCTTTTCTGGTACAACTATTGAAATCTAAGTGTCAATTGATGTGGATGTAACCAAAACACAATCACGGGAGGGTTCACTGCAAACGGGGCAGTGGTGGGGTTTAATTCCAGAATTGACTAAAATAAAACCTCAAGTCTGACACTGCTCCCTCTCAGGTCCATCTCATTCCATGTGGGACCAGTGACTTCTGCAGTCCACAATGAAGGTCCGACCTCAGTTTGAGACCTTGTTATAACACTCAGGGCTGACTGAGTTCTGAGAATTTTAGTTCACACTCATCTGGTGTCACAGTTAGCCTTCATTGGATCACATGCAGTCCATCCCCATCACTTCTCCCCGGCCAAGAAAACGAATACCACAAGATATCCAGAATTTGTGGAAATAAAGTGTTTTTTTAACCATTTAACTGCCAGTGTGGCGGGGCGGTGAGGGGCGAGTGGAAGAGCAGAGGGAACTATAGTGTTAGGAATACAACTTTATATTTCTTACACTATAGAATAACTAACCATTAAACGATGGATTGGAAGGAAACGTGGTTTAACGTGGAAAATTCCATGGAATGCGGCGTGCGCAAAGGCTTGTACCTCAGAGGGAGTGATGTTTTATACTCGTTAATCTGGAAGAAAAACCCTCCCGTGTTTATGTTTTCGTTCAGACATATGTCTTGTAACCGCAGACACACCTCTAGTATTAGGATGTCACAGTGAGACATTGTCCTCCAGCGTGGATACAGAGAATATAGATTTAACCCTTTATCACAATTAATTAGATATTAAGATCAGTTTACAGTGCATGTCATCTCTCCATTCCAGAGCTTTTCGGCACATTCTTCGAACATATTATTTGACATTTTTAGGATTTCTTTTTTAAATTTTTTAAATTTAACCGTATTGCAGCAATCTTGTTATTACTAATTAACTTACCTGAACTTGGCGAGCTCTGCCTTTTTGTCTCTTGATAGATCGTGTTACCCATAATAGATTTTATATATTGAGATTTAAAGTTTAATTTTTATTGGAAACACTTCGTGCCATAGTCTAGTGCTAGTGCCAAGTAGTTTTAATCTAAAATACCCTTAAAATGTATTCAAGTTATTTTTTTTTTAACCCAAATAAACCTCAAAATTTTCATTTATATACATCCAAAAGTTTATTTAATAAATGTAGAATTTAGATTGTGAGCTCCTTTGGTAGTGCCCTCTTCACCTTTTGTTCCTGAATGACATACGTGTTTTATTAGCGGTTTGTTTAGTTTCACTATTGCACAGCGCCGTGGAATAGGTTGGAGATATATAAATAATTGTAATTAAATTGTAGTTAAAATTGTACTGGCTTAATCTGAGCCACAATATCGCAGTGGGAATTAATTTACCAAATCAATATTCCCAGTCCTGGTATTTTGTCCTCTGTTGTAAAATGTAATTTTCTTTATTTTACTGAAACTCGTTAATTTACTCTGGTTTTACATAATTCTATAGTGTGCAGAGACCCGTGGCCCACTAAACAGCTGAAATCCTGATCAGTCTCGAAGTCCAGGACTTACCTGAGAAGCCGCATGCCGGCCGTAGCACCCAGTAAGGTGGTTGTTTCCTTCTGTTGCGATGCCGGGATGACAGTCAAAGCTTCCTCCATGCACGGCTTTAAACTTTCCCCGGCCTGGGCAGGATTATCAGCATAGGATGAAATCCCTGGGCCTGAAAATAGGAGGTTAAAAGCAGAGTGTTAGAGAATACATACCTCCCAAGTGTCCCCGTTTAGGAAGGACAGTCCTTATTTTGGACCCAAATCCCTCTGTCCCTCTATTCTATCCTAACGTCCCTCTTTTCTAGGAGCTCCATAGTGTTGGTGTGTCTGAGTGTATAACAGAGCTCCACAGCAATAATACTCCCAGTACTGTGTCTGAGTGTATAACAGAGCTCCACAGCAATAATACTCCCAGTAATGTGCCTGAGTGTATAACAGAGCTCCACACCAATAATACTCCCAGTAATATGTCTGAGTGTATAACAGAGCTCCACAGCAATAATACTCCCAGTAATGTGTCTTTAAGCTACAATAAATGTGTTTAGAAATCAGTCTGTGTAGAGAAGATACATTGTTCTTGTTTTAAGTTACATTTTAGTTGTATAAATGTATTCGTGTCTCTCTTTGTCCATTTGTAGTATTGGGAGGTCTGGGAATGAGCACAACCTTTATAAATTATAAATTATTGTCGCCTCTATGGCTTTATCAGACTGATCTAAATCTCATCCACGAGAGGAGAACCAATAGAAACGTCGGGAGGGTTCCTCCCCGAGTTACAAACTATCATTTATATAGCAAAACGCCGCACATATAGACGTCAGGCACCATCACCACTTCAAATTGTTGAAGTGATCGCGGTTCTTGGAATATCCTTTATATTAGCCCCATCAAATAGAGCTGCCAGCTGTTAATCCCTCCCCACTCCCAAATAATACAGGACATAATGTTTGATATGTGTTATTGGCATGTAACGTGTGATTGCTAATCAATGTGATCCCGGGCAGAGCTGCAGACCGACACAGGGAAACTGCCAGAGGAATTCCCTGCACCAAATCACCGGAAATCAAAGAATTTATTCAAAGTAGGACACGTCCTGCATGGGAGCTCCCAAACATTCAGTGACAATGGAATTAAACCAGCTGGCAGGAGCCCAAACTCATCTAAACGTTGATCTTTCCAAGACCTTTAACCCTTATTGATTAATCCTTGGAAATCAACAGATCCCACAGAAAGGGCTCCCAGGCTGGGGGGAAGGAATATTAGACTATATATAGCAGGGTACAGGATACATTACAGTAACGTGTGTCTATATTTTATTTATATAGCTCTAACAGGTGTAACCTGTAAAGTGCTGAGTACACCTGTTAGCTCTATATAAATATAATATACATACACTGTATACCTACTGCACTTACTGGACCTCCCTCTACTGTAATGTAACCTGTAAAGTGCTGAGTACACCTGCTAGCACCATATAAATATAATATACATACACTGTATACCTACTGCACTTACTGTACCTCCCTCTACTGTAATGTAACCTGTAAAGTGCTGAGTACACCTGTTAGTGCTATATAAATAAAATATACATACACTGTATACCTACTGCACTTACTGTACCTCCCTCTACTGTAATGTAACCTGTAAAGTGCTGAGTACACCTGTTAGCGCTATATAAATACAATATACATACACTGTATACCTACTGCACTTACTGTACCTCCCTCTACTGTAATGTAACCTGTAAAGTGCTGAGTACACCTGTTAGCGCTATATAAATAAATATACATACACTGTATACCTACTGCACTTACTGTACCTCCCTCTACTGTAATGTAACCTGTAAAGTGCTGAGTACACCTGTTAGCACTATATAAATAAAATATACATACACTGTATACCTACTGCACTTACTGTACCTCCCTCTACTGTAATGTAACCTGTAAAGTGCTGAGTACACCTGTTAGCTCTATATAAATAAAATATACATACACTGTATACCTACTGCACTTACTGTACCTCCCTCTACTGTAATGTAACCTGTAAAGTGCTGAGTACACCTGTTAGCGCTATATAAATAAAATATACATACACTGTATACCTACTGCACTTACTGTACCTCCCTCTACTGTAATGTAACCTGTAAAGTGCTGAGTACACCTGTTAGCGCTATATAAATAAAATATACATACACTGTATACCTACTGCACTTACTGTACCTCCCTCTACTGTAATGTTATCAGTAAACTGCTAAGTACACCTGTTAGCGCTATATAAATAAAATATATATACACTGTATACCTACTGCACTTACTGTACCTCCCTCTACTGTAATGTAATCTGTAAAGCGCTGAGTATACCTGTTAGCGCTATATAAATATAATATACATAAACTGTATACCTACTGCACTTACTGTACCTCCCTCTACTGTAATGTTATCAGTAAACTGCTGAGTACACCTGTTAGTGTTATATAAATATAATATACATACACTGAATACCTACTGCACTTACTGTACCTCCCTCTACTGTAATGTAACCTGTAAAGTGCTGAGTACACCTGTTAGTGCTATATAAATAAAATTTACATACACTGTATACCTACTGCACTTACTGTACCTCCCTCTACTGTAATGTTATCAGTAAACTGCTGAGTACACCTGTTAGTGTTATATAAATATAATATACATACACTGAATACCTACTGCACTTACTGTACCTCCCTCTACTGTAATGTAACCTGTAAAGTGCTGAGTACACCTATTAGTGCTATATAAATATAATATACATACACTGTATACCCACTGCACTTACTGTACCTCCATCTACTGTAATGTAACCTGTAAAGTGCTGAGTGCACCTGTTAGCGCTATATAAATATAATATATATACACTGTATACCTACTGCACTTACTGTACCTCCCTCTACTGTAATGTAACCTGTAAAGTGCTGAGTACACCTGTTAGCGCTATATAAATAAAATATACATACACTGTATACCTACTGCACTTACTGTACCTCCCTCTACTGTAATGTAACCTGTAAAGTGCTGAGTACACCTGTAAAGTGCTGAGTACACCTGTTACTATATAAATAAAATATACATACACTGTATACCTACTGCACTTACTGTACCTCCCTCTACTGTAATGTAATGTAAAGTGCTGAGTACACCTGTTAGCGCTATATAAATATAATATACATACACTGTATACCTACTGCACTTACTGTACCTCCCTCTACTGTAATGTAACCTGTAAAGTGCTGAGTACACCTGTTAGCGCTATATAAATAAATATACATACACTGTATACCTACTGCACTTACTGTACCTCCTCTACTGTAATGTAACCTGTAAAGTGCTGAGTACACCTGTTAGCGCTATATAAATATAATATACATACACTGTATACCTACTGCACTTACTGTACCTCCCTCTACTGTAATGTAACCTGTAAAGTGCTGAGTACACCTGTTAGCGCTATATAAATAAATATGCATACACTGTATACCTACTGCACTTACTGTACCTCCCTCTACTGTAATGTAACCTGTAAAGTGCTGAGTACACCTGTTAGCGCTATATAAATAAAATATACATACACTGTATACCTACTGCACTTACTGTACCTCCCTCTACTGTAATGTAACCTGTAAAGTGCTGAGTACACCTGTTAGCGCTATATAAATATAATATACATACACTGTATACCTACTGCACTTACTGTACCTCCCTCTACTGTAATGTAACCTGTAAAGTGCTGAGTACACCTGTTAGCGCTATATAAATAAATATACATACACTGTATACCTACTGCACTTACTGTATCTCCCTCTACTGTAATGTAACCTGTAAAGTGCTGAGTACACCTGTTAGCGCTATATAAATAAAATATACATACACTGTATACCTACTGCACTTACTGTACCTCCCTCTACTGTAATGTAACCTGTAAAGTGCTGAGTACACCTGTTAGCGCTATATAAATAAAATATACACACACTGTATACCTACTGCACTTACTGTACCTCCCTCTACTGTAATGTAACCTGTAAAGTGCTGAGTACACCTGTTAGCGCTATATAAATAAAATATATACACTGTATACCTACTGCACTTACTGTACCTCCCTCTACTGTAATGTAACCTGTAAAGTGCTGAGTATACCTGTTAGCTCTATATAAATATAATATACATACACTGTATACCTACTGCACTTACTGTACCTCCCTCTACTGTAATGTAACCTGTAAAGTGCTGAGTACACCTGTTAGCGCTATATAAATAAAATATACATACACTGTATACCTACTGCACATACTGTACCTCCCTCTACTGTAATGTTATCAGTAAACTGCTTAGTACACCTGTTAGTGTTATATAAATATAATATACATACACTGTAAACCTACTGCACTTACTGTACCTCCCTCTACTATAATGTAACCTGTAAAGTGCTGAGTATACCTGTTAGCGTTATCTAAATAAAATATACATACACTGTATACCTACTGCACTTACTGTACCTCCCTCTACTGTAATGTAACTTGTAAAGTGCTGAGTACACCTGTTAGCGCTATATAAATAAAATATACATACACTGTATACCTACTGCACTTACTGTACCTCCCTCTACTGTAATGTAACCTGTAAAGTGCTGAGTACACCTGTTATCGCTATATAAATTAAATATACATACACTGTATACCTACTGCACTTACTGTACCTCCCTCTACTGTAATATAACCTGTAAAGTGCTGAGTACACCTGTTAGCGCTATATAAATAAAATATACATACACTGTATACCTACTGCACTTACTGTACCTCCCTCTACTGTAATATAACCTGCAAAGTGCTGAGTACACCTGTTAGCGCTATATAAATAAAATATACATACACTGTATACCTACTGCACTTACTATACCTCCCTCTACTGTAATGTAACCTGTAAAGTGCTGAGTACACCTGTTAGCGCTATATAAATAAAATATACATACACTGTATACCTACTGCACTTACTGTACCTCTCTCTACTGTAATGTAACCTGTAAAGTGCTGAGTACACCTGTTAGCGCTATATAAATATAATATACATACACTGTATACCTACTGCACTTACTGTACCTCCCTCTACTGTAATGTAACCTGTAAAGTGCTGAGTACACCTGTTAGCGCTATATAAATAAATATACATACACTGTATACCTACTGCACTTACTGTACCTCCCTCTACTGTAATGTAACCTGTAAAGTGCTGAGTACACCTGTTAGCGCTATATAAATATAATATACATACACTGTATACCTACTGCACTTACTGTACCTCCCTCTACTGTAATGTAACCTGTAAAGTGCTGGGGACACCTGTTAGCGCTATATATACATTCACTGTACACGTTGTATTCCTAGCAGTTCATATTTAAAGAAATCATAAAGTTTTTTTTTTTTTACAATTATTTCTCCATGTAAGAAAGTGACAGGTTATTCTGGTTTCATACATTAAATATGAAGCCGCTGGCACAGTTAGTCACTACATTGGGCAATATTTGACTTTTCATCCCACTGAGTGTAGCCTTCGGACACTCCTAGTTATGGGTTTGCTAAGTCACGTTTGGTATTACACAGTTATATTTCATGTTCACTGGACAGCTTTAAAGAGACATTACAATGGCGATCCGTGAGAATCGTGCCTTTAACCTCCATTACAGACTGACACGGTGATCCGTTAGAATCGTCCCTTTAACCTCCGTTACAGACCGACATAGTGATCCGTGAGAATCGTCCCTTTAACCTCTGTTACAGACCGGCATGGCGATCTGTGAGAATCGTCCCTTTAACATCTGTTACAGACCGACATGGCGATCCGTGAGAATCGGTTCTTTAACCTCCGTTACAGACTGACATGGTGATCCGTTAGAATCGTCCCTTTAAACTCCGTTACAGACCGACATAGTGATCCATGAGAATCGTGCCTTTAACCTCCATTACAGACTGACATGGTGATCCGTTAGAATCGTCCCTTTAACCTCTGTTACAGACCGACATGACGATCCGTGAGAATCGTCCCTTTAACCTCTGTTACAGACCGACATGGCGATCTGTGAGAATCGGTTCTTTAACCTCCATTACAGACAGACACGGCGATCCGTAAGAATCGTCCCTTTAACCTCTGTTACAGACCGACATGAGCATCCGGGAGAATCCTCCCTTTAACCTCAGTTACAAACCGACATGGAGATCCCTGAGAATCGTCCCTTTAACCTCCATTACAGACAGACATGGCGATCCGTAAGAATCGGTTCTTTAACCTCTGTTACAGACCGACATGGCGATCTGTGAGAATAGCCCCTTTAACCTCCATTACAACACGGCGATCTGGGAGAATCGTCCCTTTAACATCTGTTACAGACCGACATGGCGATCCGTGAGAATCGTCCCTTTAACCTCCATTACAACACGGCGATCTGGGAGAATCGTCCCTTTAACATCTGTTACAGACCGACATGGCGATCTGTGAGAATCGTCCCTTTAACCTCCATTACAGACTGACATGTTGATTCATGAGAATAGTCCTTTTAACCTCAGTTACAGACAGACATGGCGATCTGTGAGAATCGGTTCTTTAGCCTCTGTTACAGACTGACATGAGCATCCGGGAGAATCCTCCCTTTAACCTCAGTTACAAACCGACATGGAGATCCCTGAGAATCGTCCCTTTAACATCCATTACAGACAGACATGGCGTCCCTGTTACAGACCGGCATGAGCATCCATGAGAATCGTCCCTTTAACCTCCATTATGACATGGTGATCCGTAAGAATCATCCCTTTAACCTCCGTTACAGACAGAAATGGTAATCCATGAGAATTGTCCCTTTAAAGGTTTACTCCAACCCGTTATGTAAGTTTATGTTTTTGGGCATACATTGCACTATTGGGCATTGCCAAAAGGTCCCCACCTTAAAAAAGTTACAGTTAAAATTTAGCTGTAATCCAGTGTTGGGCAAAGTTCCCGGCGCTGATCTCCCTCCTCCGGCTGACGCGTCTCACGGTCCAATCATAGGACTTTCATAATGCCAAATATCTCTGGTTTCTAGCAGAAACTCCTACCACCATGACCACTTTAAAAAGCTGAAGAGGTTATAGAGGTTGAGACACCCTTTAACTACTGTTACAGACCAACACGGCCATACGTGAGAATCGTCTATTTAACCTCATTTACAGACCGACAGGACACCTCTATAAAATTATAGTTCTAAATACAGTATGACCGCACCAAATAAACTGACCACCCACTTCGCACTGCAGACTTTCAAGGCCTGCTCGGCACTGAAGGGGTTAAGCGGAGATTCCCGGAGTCCTGTTTATTATATGTAGGGCCATATATCAAGATATTTTCCTCACTGCGTATTTTCCATGGGTGTGTTTTATTGTTGTATAGCAATCTTTATTAGACCGTGTGAATGCGAAGCCACGAGCCACATTCTCATATCTCCTACTGTTACTATGACGTGTATAAAAAATCCCCCGTCCCCCCAGATTATAGGGGATATTGTCTAGATTGCTGTGCTCATTCACACAGGGCGAAACTACTGTCTGGGGCACTCACTGCTCCAAATGGTCCCTGAGATTATTAGGTTTTGAATAAATTTGTTTATTTTTTTTATAAGGCAATTTGCCAGATAGATAATTCTATATTGCACATTAACCTTTGATTGCCAGGAGGTTTTTTAAATAATTGTGGGAAATCAACCACAGAATAGCACATTTTAGGGAAAAAATAGACAAGAGGGAAGGTTTTTACAATGTGATTGCTTGGGGTTTAACACTTAAAACTCCTTTACAATTTCCAGTTTAGTTTCTCTCTATATTTTAATAGTTTATTCGTTGATTCTATCCCTTCCAAGGTTCAGGAGCTGAAGGGTTACACTGATGGGACACACAGACACACCTTGTATGCTGCACATGTAGATCTGGCTGACAATCCCCGTGTCATTCTCTTTATTCGCAGGCCACTTGTAAACATAAAGGGAGGTGTGGGACGAGCCGGCGTCAAACACTATTCCGTACTGGAAGAGAAAAAAAAAACAGAGCATCATGGGAAAAATTCCCACCGATCACGGAATGCTGGGTATTACAGAAACAATGTAATTCCTGCAATTAAAGCTTGATCGAAATTCACAAAAACACCAGAAAAAATAATAAATCTAATGGAACGGGTTTTTTTTTTTTTAACGCAACAGCAAGTTATGGGAACCAGACAATTAATTTGATAAATTTATCCCAATTATTCAGAATATTTATTGTGCCTTTGCCGACTTCCCAAATCTCCTCATTTGGCCTAATGTAAAATTAACTGTATAATGATTAAACCGGCTAAATAGGGGCTTGCAATACTTAGTCTCAAAATCAGAAAGTGATGAAAGAATTGCAAAGTTTATACCAATTGGGAAGGGTGGGGGGTGGGTGGGTGAAGTATTCCCAAACTCCGTTATGTTGGTTTGGTTTTTCCCCCCAGCTATTTCGAACTAAAATTTGAATATCCTTGGTTGGTAAACCCCCAGGCAGGAGTAAGAGTTCTCCCAGCTTCACCAACACAACGGGTCTATTTAATTAATCGTAATTCTAAAGAACCTTTTTGTAGATGTAGGTGAAATCTTTTTCCTCTGAGACAAAAGATGAAAGAAAAGACTCAGTCTAAAAACAGCCACAGTCTGAGGGGATGCACGAGATATGCCTAAAAATACCACATACCTTTTTTACATTTTTATTCAACCCCTTAAGGACACATGACATGTGTGACATGTCATGATTCCCTTTTATTCCAGAAGTTTGGTCCGTAAGGGGTTAAGTAACAAAAACCGCAATAAAAAAAAAAAACCTATATACCCAGAACTCGCATAACACACCTAAGATGCGATAAATGTGAATGTAACACTAAACCTGATTAACCGCCTGTCCTGCCTGCACTAAAGATAGTTTATATACAGAGCCTTCCCTTGTACACCCTGGGTAATTAGTGTATATATATATATATATATATATATATACCTACAGATCTCTGGTATAATGCCAACAAAGAAGGTGGTATATTCACTAAATGTTTATTTAGAGAGAGAAATAAATATATTTTATAGACACATTACCACTTATAGTGTGCCGGGGTTGTCGTAGGGATAGATAACTATATATACACACACACACACACTATCCCTTATAGTGTGCCGGGGTTGTCGTAGGGATAGATAACTATATACACACACACACACACACACTATCCCTTATAGTGTGCTGGGGTTGTCGTAGGGGTACATAGATATATACACACACACTATCCCTTATAGTGTGCCGGGGTTGTTGTGGGGATATATATACACACACACACACTATCCCTTATAGTGTGTGGAGATTGTCGTAAGGATTGCGATACGTTCCACTAGTTTGAGGGATTTGAATCCTTTATATGAAACCCCTGTAGATCCTTAGGTTTAGTTTGAGCAAAATCACATTTATCGCACTTTAGGGGTGCGTTAGGGAGTCCAGGACATAAAGGACATAAAGTTGTCTTTTTTTTTTTATTTTATTTTTTAATTGTGGTTTTTGTTCCGTAAATAAAGGTTTATAATATTTTTCTAGTCTCATCTCATGCACTCTTTAGACTGACTGTTGTGTTTTTTTTTTTATTTTTAACGTATCTTCTGTCTCGGATTAATTTGGGTTGTCGTCTCACCTATAGATTACGGATCTGATTACCTTGCACCCTTTCTCTATATCATTTTCCTGAATACCAGAATTCTAGTCTGTTGTACAGTCCTGTTAATGAACAGATCACTAGCTGTATGTACTCTTCCTGTAGATTTATTTGAAGAATATTGTCTGAAACACTTTTTTACTACAGATTTTTAATTCAAATATTTCCCATTGTCTGTAACTCGCCGAATGCACTTTCACCTATTCCGGATTATCCATCCAAAAACTGTTCCTAAAACTTCACAGTATTTGAAAGGAAAAATATGTATTATTACAGCTTATTGAAAGAGGTGCGTTATAGGAGTTTAACAGTAATGCAGGACCCAGCAACCATGCACTCCAGACACCATCACCACTTCAATCAGTTGCAGTGGTTATGGTGCTTACTGTGCTCCTTTTCAATAAATTAGGACCACTTGTTAAAACCATTAAGTGGTTTATTCATTAATCAGTAAATGGTTGTGGTTTGAATGAAAACCAAATGGTAGAATTCAGGTTACAAGCGATGAAATTTGAGTGGAGAATTTTTTTCAAATGAAGTTTTTTTCGAAATGTGATAATTTTTCTGAAAACAAACGTTTGCCCCCTTTCGGCTTACATTTTTTAAATTTGGTTTTCTCTATAATTCGCAAGTTTTCTGTTCTTACCCACATATTTGCATTTTAATGCAGGCTTCTTATGGCGTGATACAGTTTCATTTTCTGGCAATAGAATGGGTCGGTTTATCCTGTATAAATGTGTTATCCGGGTATTAATAACATCCGTGAACTGCAAATCACAGATCGATCCTCGCCTGACCTCGTTCCCAGATACATTAATCAGTTTTCCGTTTAGGTTGCATTTTAAACTGCATAGTAACAGGTATTTTTATCAGTCAAAGTTGACTACTGCTCTGTGCTTTAACGTGGAGGTCAAAATACCACCGAACACAGACAGGGTTTTTCACAAAGTGAAAATTCAAAGGGAAACACAAATTGAAGGACAAGCTCACTGGAAAGATTCTCCAAGTCTCCTATGCTTCAAATTCACTTATTGTAGCCTAAAAATGTAAACTCTTCCATTAGTTTGTAATTCTGAGACTCTTAATAAAGACTTAATGACTGGTAACCGACAAACAGAGGTGCAGGATCATACCCGCTAGCCTGTAGTAGGACCAAGTTATAAAAATGTCATTTCAAAAAATATTTGGTAAAACACTTGAAATTCTCTGTATTTATTTTGTAATGAAACATACATCGGAATGCCAGGTTGCAGGGGCTCCCAACTAACCCCACTTTCATTTTTATGGCATAGACGGAAACTTTGTGGGGCGATGTATGAAAATGATTGTGGGAATCCAGAGACCTACCTTGTCAGGTGATGGTAGGTAGGTATTTCGTATTTCCACAATGCTGAGGATGAGGGCTACAATCCCAGATATCACAGAGATTAAGATCAGGCATCCTACAAGCAGACCCTTTCGATTCTTGCACATTACCGCATCAACCTGGGAGGTAAAAAAAGGTTGGCTAATGGCAGATCCAACACACTGCGAGAGGTGTCACATCACACCCCACTCACCACGTGAAATATCCCCCCAATACCACCACTGGTCTGTCTCAGTTACCCCAACTCCCAACAGCAGATAAAAAAAAATCAAATAAAAAAAACAAAAAAAAAACTACCACATCACCTCCGCAGAACACTGAACCCTGCAGCTCTCCATAGACTGAGCACTGAACCCTGCAGCTCTCCATAGACTGAACATTGAACCCTGCAGCTCTCCATAGACTGAATACTGAACCCTGCAGCTCTCCATAGACTGAATACTAAACCCTGCAGCCCTCCATAGAATGAACACCGAACCATCCAGCTCTCCATAGACTGAGCACTGAACCCTGCAGCTCTCCATAGACTGAATACTGAACCCTGCAGCTCTCCATAGACTGAACACTGATCCCTGCAGCTCTCCATAGACTGAACACTGAACCCTGCAGCTCTCCATAGACTGAATACTGAGCCCTGCAGCTCTCCATAAACTGAACCCTGCAGCTCTCCATAGACTGAATACTGAACCCAGCAGCTCTCCATAGACTGAATACTGAGCCCTGCAGCTCTCCATAAACTGAACCCTGCAGCTCTCCATAGACTGAATACTGAACCCAGCAGCTCTCCATAGACACTGAACCCTGCAGCTCTCCATAGACTGAATACTGAACCCTGCAGCTCTCCATAGACTGAATACTGAACCCTGCAGCTCTCCATAGACTGAGCACTGAACCCTGCAGCTCTCCATAGACTGAATACTGAACCCTGCAGCTCTCCATAGACTGAATACTGAACCCTGCAGCTCTCCATAGACTGAGCACTGAGCCCTGCAGCTCTCCATAGACTGAACTGAACCCTGCAGCTCTCCATAGGCTGAGTACTGAACCCTGCAGCTCTCCATAGACTGAACACTGAACCCTGCAGCTCTCCATAGACTGAACACTGAACCCTGCAGCTCTCCATAGACTGAACACTGAACCCTGCAGCTCTCCATAGACTGAACACTGAACCCTGCAGCTCTCCATAGACTGAATACTGAACCCTGCAGCTCTCCATAGACTGAACACTGAACCCTGCAGCTCTCCATAGACTGAGCATACTGAACCCTGCAGCTCTCCATAGACTGAATACTGAACCCTGCAGCTCTCCATAGACTGAACACTGAACCCTGCAGCTCTCCATAGACTGAACACTGAACCCTGCAGCTCTCCATAGACTGAACACTGAACCCTGCAGCTCTCCATAGACTGAACACTGAACCCTGCAGCTCTCCATAGACTGAATACACCCTGCACTCCTGCAGCTCTCCATAGACTGAGCACTGAACCCTGCAGCTCTCCATAGACTGAACACTGAACCCTGCAGCTCTCCATAGACTGAATACTGAACCCTGCAGCTCTCCATAGACTGAATACTGAACCCTGCAGCTCTCCATAGACTGAACACTGAACCCTGCAGCTCTCCATAGACTGAACACTGAACCCTGCAGCTCTCCATAGACTGAATACTGAACCCTGCAGCTCTCCATAGACTGAACACTGAACCCTGCAGCTCTCCATAGACTGACACTGAACCCTGCAGCTCTCCATAGACTGAACACTGAACCCTGCAGCTCTCCATAGACTGAATACTGAACCCTGCAGCTCTCCATAGACTGAATACTGAACCCTGCAGCTCTCCATAGACTGAATACTGAACCCTGCAGCTCTCCATAGACTGAATACTGAACCCTGCAGCTCTCCATAGACTGAATACTGAACCCAGCAGCTCTCCATAGACTGAATACTGAACCCTTCAGCTCTCCATAGACTGAGCACTGAACCCTGCAGCTCTCCATAGACTGAACACTGAACCCTGCAGCTCTCCATAGACTGAGCACTGAACCCTGCAGCTCTCCATAGGCTGAATACTGAACCCTGCAGCTCTCCTCAGGTTGATGATTGAACTCCGCAAACCCCAGATGATTGGAACAGGTTTGTGGTAACTTTCCTAAGTGCCAGAGTTTAGGATTGTTAGACTTTCACTGGCAAATCATCAACTCGGCTAATGAACGATAGAAACAAACAAACAAACAAACAACAAATAATATATATACACGTCCATACATATACACACTCATTCTGCTGAAAGTTGCTGTTTATTCACTAAATGTTGTAAAGTTTAGCCAATTAAAGATGGATTTGGAAACATATTCCCACCCAGCCAGCCAGTTTAAATATTTTATTTTACGTTTTGGAATTCCCAATCCCTACAATTTACGGTTTAGCAAATAAACCTCTGAGATCTAAAATTGACAGCAATGAGAGACTGGGAATACGCTACAACATGAAAACTGATATAAGCAAACAGTGCACCCACTGAGGAGCCACGTGCCCATTGCCACCAACGTGGCTTGAACTAATTTCATAACACAGGAATCCCCACTCCACCCCCCATACACACACACACATATATACAGACCTGTCTTTGATGGCTTCAGCCCCAGCAGTGAATGTCCCAGCTGTGTCACTGTATCTCCTCCGATGGGTCAAGGTGCACTGTGTGATGTACACTGTACAGTGTGTGTGAGCCACCCCTCCCACCATACAGGTAACCAATCACCTGGCAAGACTGCATCTCCAACCCTCCCAGCTTATAACACAGCTTTACACTTTCTTTATTCACAGAGAGAGAGACAGAGAGACAAACACAGACAGACAGAGAGAGAGAGAGAATGGAGACATACACAGAAAAATGACAGAAAGACATGCACAGAAAGCGAGATACAGAGACAGATTCATAGAGTGAACAGAGACAGAGTGGAGAGAGACATACACAGAAAAACGACAGGGACGAGGAGAGACAGACACAAAGACAGAGACATAAAGACAGAGTGGAAAGAGAGACAAATACAGACGGCGAGAGAGACAAAGATACAAAGTGAGAGACAGACAAAGACATGGAGAAAGAGGCAGAGACAAATGCATAGACAGACAGAGAGACAAAAAAACAGTGAGTGAGATGACAAAAATTAGAGACAGAGACAAGAAGAATGACACAAAGAAAGACAGACACCAAGACAGACAAGAGAGAAGCAGACAAAAAAAACAGTGAGAGAGAGTGGCTAAGAGACCGTGAAGACCAGTCCTGCTCTGCTCAACAATAAATGGTGAACCCAGGCTATAAGTTATAAAATTAATCTGAACGCTATTATAGCATGCACAATATAATTCCTATACACACACACACAGAGCAGGTGGGGACCAGCCGGACCACCACTGTCTCATAGATAGAGCCAATCAGAATAAAGCAATAACTACCACAGTTATTCACTAAACTGGGAGTTACGTATGTAAGGCCGAACTTGCCAGTAAAAGCTGTGATTTCTGTGGAGATATTGTGGTCTTAAACTTCCACTTTGAGAAGGAAGGTCATCCTCAGACCACAGTCAGCCAAGGGTTAACTCGAGTGTGCTGCCATTATCACGATCTGGGGGAGTCCTGGACGCCGTGCTTGTCACACAATGTAGCGAGAAATGGGTCGTGAACGTCCGGTAAGAGTTCACTTGGATTTTGAAGTGGACATTCTGGTAAGAACCTGGAATTCTAGTCTCCATGGACACGGCATGCTAGGAACATGGTTTGATTAGGTCTCCGTACTGCAGGATGTAGTCCATGTTTGCGGATTGAATAGAGTGTCAGCGAGGGGTATACCAGAGCTGCACGCACATCCACACAGACAAACACAGTTGGGTAGTTTGTTTAATACAATTAACTTGAATAGTGAATAGAGGTACGTAGTGACAGTAAGCGGTTCCTCAGGTCGAGGTGGGCAGCAAAGGGTCAATGACAGTGAGCGGTTCCACAGGTCAAGGTGGGCAGCAAAGGGTCAATGACAGTGAGCGGATCCGCAGGTCAAGGTGGGCAGCAATGGGTCAATGACAGTGAACGGTTCCTCAGGTCGAGGTGGGCAGCAAAGGGTCAATGACAGTGAGCGGATCCGCAAGTCAAGGTGGGCAGCAAAGGGTCAATGACAGTGAATGGTTCCTCAGGTCGAGGTGGGCAGCAAAGGGTCAGTGACATTGAGTGGTTCCTCAGGTCAATAAGGGCAGCAAGTAACAGGGTCAATTCCCAAATCAAAGGGTGAAAAGGCCAGGGGACAGAAAGGAGTGGAGGAACAAGTAGCAGAAAACACTTCGTTACCAGCTGGACCCTGGCATTCTTCTAGTGGTCATCACAAAATGACAGCAGAGGCAGAAACACTGGGATTCTTGTCGCTGGGTTAAAACAAGGAATGTACATGTTCTGCCTCAGTTTGTGTCCTGTCAATCATACATCATAAAAGACACGGAGTGTGGCCACGCATGTGCTAAGGGCAGGCGTGGAATGGGAGCTGACCTGGAGCTGGGTGTATGTGTGAGAATCTAATCGAACACAACCTTAAACTGAGCAATCCAAGATGAACGCTGCCTTAAACTTGTGTTATTCCAGAAGGAAGTCTGAGGCTGTTTGTTGCGTAGATAACAAATCCACGAGCCACCACAGAGTCCAAATCTACAAAATCCACGATCTTGATGAGGGCTGATGGGTAGAGTTGAGCGGACACCTGGATGTTAGGGTCCGGCGGGTTCGGCCGAACTTTGAAAAAAAAAGTCCGGGTTCGGGCTCGAACTTGACCCCGAACCCAAACCCCATTGAAGTTAATGGGGACCCGAACTTTTGGGCACAAAAATTGCTCTAAAAAACTCCTGGAAAGGGCTAGAGGACTGCAAAAGGAAGTACAATGGGGGTAAGAGTAGGACAAGTGCCCTGCAAACAAATGTGGATAGGGAAATCACTTAAAATAATATAAAATACATAAAATAAGCAGCCGCTTAGTAGATAACTCCCTAATTCCCACGGTATTAGGGAGCTATCTACCAAAAGGCTGAAAGACCTAAACTGGTCTTTCAGCCACATTTAGTAATACGAAGTAAAGATTACTTAGTATTAGTAAATTCAGTGAATTTTCCCACGCTGTGTAAAATGACACAGAGCACTCTGATTGGTGGATTAAGTAACCAATCAGACAGTTATGAGTCAAATTACACAGCGTGGGAAAATTCTAAAGAACTTTCCCACGCTGTGTAAAATGACACAGAGCACTCTGATTGGTGGATTTCAAACCTTACCTGTCAGTCTCTTCATTTACCTGTCAGAGCACTCTGATTGGATGGCTTAAACCCACCAATCAGAATGCTCTGAGCCTAATTGCAGGGCAGAGCTCAGTCTGCACGAAGCCCTCCATGAGTGAAAATTTTTTTTGGGTTTTTTTTTTTTAGTGCTTCGGTTATTATGGATTTTTTATTTGGCCTTTTTTGGGTCTGAAAAAAGAAGATTTTAGAATAAAGAAAGAAGACATCAAATGGTAAGTCTATTTTTTTACATTTTTTTTTTAACAGGTATTTAGATAAGGGTCCCCCTCATTATTTTTAGGATGAGGAGGGTAGGTAGGGGTACATTTTTGGGGGGGAGGGTGGTGACTAGGGGTTTGGGAACCCCTAGTCACCTGGGGGGGGGTACATTTTTTATTTAGGGCCCCCACCCGCCGTTTAGGGGTGGGGGCCAGGGGGAGGACATTAGGTCCCCCCCTTATTGTTATTTAGGGCCCACACCCACCGCACAGGGGTGGGGGCCGGGGGGAGGACTGTAGGTGTCCCCCCCTTTTGTTATTTAGGGCCCCCACCCTCCACGCAGGGGTGGGGGCTGGGTGGAGGACAGTAGGTCCCCCCCCCCCTTATTGTTATTTAGGGCCACCACCCGCCGCACAGGGGTGGGGGCCGGGGGGAGGACATTAGGTGTGTTCCCCCCAATTTTTATTTATGGTCCCCCCTTATTGTTATTTAAGTCCCCCACCCGCCATGCAGGGGTGGAGGCCGGGGGGGGGGGAAGGACAGTAGGTCCCCCCCCAAATTCTTATTTATGGCCCCCACCCACCACTCAGGGGTGGGGGCTGGGGGGGGGCAATAGGTCCCCCCCAAATTCTTATTTATGGCCCCCACCCACCACTCAGGGGTGGGGGCTGGGGGAGGACAATAGGTCCCCCCCCCCAAATTCTTATTTATAGCTCCCACCAACCACTCAGGGGTGGGGGCTGGGGGGGGGCAATAGGTCCCCCTTTAGTTTAAAAGCCCCCACTCGCGCGTTGCGGGAATTTTTTTCGTTTTTTAACTGTTTAATAGACATGCCCCTACTAGCTGGGTCACATGCTGCACTGGCCAATCACAGCCATGCCATAAGTAGGCATGGCTGTGATGGCTTCTAAGGGCACATGAGTCAAACACTTGCTGATTGGCTGCCCTGCAGCCTTTCAAACTGCGTCATTAAATCGCCGAACACCGAACTAAATACTGCACTCTAGGAACAAAAAAAAACAAATTGCAAACAGATTTTTTTTATGTATATATATATTTTATTGTTAAGAAAGAAAACACAATGGTATTCTTGATAGATATCACAATGGTTTAGGTTATATTTCATTTCTACAGATTCACCTTTTCCCCACTTTGATAGATATGAAATGGTTAACTGGTTATTTCAGTGCCAGATTTTTATTTGAATGTATATCCTGCACATTTGCACTTTCATGGTATATAGCACTGAAATATGGAACTGATAGAGTGCTTATCCGTATCCATCCCATTACCTGGCTATTTATTTCTACGTTGGTTAATTGTGCTTTTATCACTTCTATAATGTTTCTCTCCCCTTTTCATTTAGATATCAGCTATGATAGCGGTATTTATTATTTATCATATGTTAGTCCTGTATTTACAGGATATGTTCTATATATTTTATTATATTTTCATGTTTGGAACCGACACCTAGATTTTGAGTTAAATAAACGATTATGTTTAATATCTATTACGTTCAATCTTTGATCTTCATCTATTCTTATACATTTATTTTTCCAATTGGCTATTTTCCCTATGTGCCCTTGACCAAGGCGTATATAAGGCTAATCTGTAGACAAGGACGTTCTCTTGAAAAAGTTTCACTTATGAGACGAAGCGCGTAGACTCATCGGTCCACGTCTTATCCATTTACGCTGCTCCTTTTACTTAGCCGCTGTCTTTTTTAAAGTTACCGGCCGTGGCTTTTCTACACGCTGCCAGATAGCTGTGCTACCCCAACTTAGTGGGTGTCCGACGATCGGCACCGCTCACCAACTGTGAGCATTTGTGCCGTCTAACCATGATCATCTGGGGTTGAGCTCGCTGGGCATCTCAGGATCATCCATCGATCTCCTGTATACATTGGGTCCAGGTCTCGTAGAAGGGCCCCTCCATCGATAAGGACGTTTACTGGAGTATCTTATTTATTCATATATCCAATACAGGATTTTATCCATTGTGGTCATTTCATGTTTTAGACGTTGTTTTTTAGAACGTGTTTTGCACATTTTATAGTGCATAGTGTTGTTGATATACCCCCTTTTTCATCCTTGACTTTTTTTACTCTTGGTCAAGTTTTCTCCGAGCTATATTTAGGATAACACACTTTGTCACGATTTGTTGTGTATATTTATTTTCTATGCCACTCTGATAGCGGTTTTTACTTGGTAACATTTATGGTGGTAGTTGTTTACCATGTTGCTAATTGTATCAGTCTTGCATTTCATGTTTAAATCTATTTTTTGGAGTGGCTTTGGGGTCTTTTTGTGTACTTGTTTAATTAAAATGTGTATTTTATACGGATTATGTTGATTTATCATCTAATTTTTTTTTAGGAGCGCTCACACTATATATTTTATAGATCCCTTAAAGTCGCTTTGTTTTAGTGTGAAGCAGCCCTTTTCATTCTCAGCTCTTAATTGTTTTTATGAGCCCATTGTATATTTTTCATAGTTTCTAACTGGTTTAGATTTCCAACCTAAAGATAAAAGGTCACAGTTTACTTTTTAAAGGTTTATTTTAATGTTTCGCAACTCATGAAGTAATGGTGGAATGGAGCTATACAATAAACAGTCATTATTTCTGTAGAAAATACACTCACTTGGGCTGGGAAAGTGATCTCAGCGGGTATCAAGGTATAGAGAGCAGTTAGTCAGATTCTAAGCCCTTTGATACAAGTTATCCAGTCAGTCTGTGAACAATGAATAGCCATCCTTTCAAAGGACACTATAACCTTCGTTGTCCCAAGAATTGCTCTTTACATACATGATCCAGCTAAATGTCTGGGTGTGGAATAAAGTTCTACATAACCACCAAGTGTGTGAAGCTGGTCTGCTGAAATTTTACAACATCACATCCCATGGTTTGTAGCCATTCCGGAATCATGGGCAATGTAGCTTTGCAACATTTAGGAATCTACATTTTGGGCAGCCCTGGTATAAAGTGTTTAGGAGCTGCAGGTAGAAGATTTTTGTGGAATCTTCTTATGGCTTTTATGTGCAGATAAAAGTGTTTTGTGTTTAAAAAAATAAAATAAAATAAATAATACAATGTAGACACACACATATTGAATTGGTTAAAATCCAGGTGTGTGGTGCATTTTACCAGTCTTGTAAAATTAGGACATTACAGTTTATCCTAGTATGGATGGAAAAAAAACACAGATGTAAGGCTTTAATCTCCAAGATCACGGGTCAGAAGGTAGGACTTGACATTTCTCCGATTTATAGGCTCCTCTATGGCACCTCCCCACCTGTCCATTAATTTAGAAGATAAGCGGTATTATGGAATTCCATAATTTTACTTATTGGGCAGAGGGCTTCACATCTTCACATTAAACTTGGGTGGCCACTCACTTTGAGGGACCATCATGTGGGAAAAGGTGGCGAGTAGGGGGTCTATATCTTTCCAGGTGTGTCTGCATGAGCCCACTAAATGTCCCATCCGTGGTGCAGCCTAGGCCGTTGCAGCTTTTAAATGCAGGCCGATCGACGCCTCCCTACAGACTTTGTTTGGGCAAATAGGACTCCGAAGACTGTACTCCCTCTTTCATTATTTTGACCAGCCGTATTTGTCGAGTGATGCGGTGACAAACTAAATCGAGGATGGGAATATATTTAAATGTTTTTTTTTTTTAAATAAACAAATTGAATTCTGGCACAATAGATTTTCCAATGTTTTGTCATTCATTGATGTAATGGCACGCTTGGGCCAAGATGGCTGCTTGACTTCCGATCTCAGCTACTTCAATGCCACAAACTACATTATAACCCACTAGTACTTAATGGAGAAGTCTCCTCCTCGTGTACAATGTGCCCTTAACGTGTGATTGTTATTTAATCCCTGGAACACGCTCAGATTTACAGTTTTTAACTGATGCAATATAAAATCTAAGTATCACTGCAAATTACATGTTGCTGCTCCTGGCCCGCCGCATGGCGCAGCCGTGCCCGACCGGCACGACTTCACCAATCTAACGAGCTTACCTGCTCGTTGGTGAGCCAGGAACCGCCCCTCTGCGTCTTTTGGGCAGTGCGCCCAAATCAAAGATGGCGCTGACCACGTGGTCGCGCACTTCACAAGCTCCGCCCCTCAAATTTATACGGACGTACGCGTGAGGTCACGACGTCAACGCACGCGCACGTTCTGGGGTCAGAGGTCACCCTCTGACCAATCAGAGCCCAGAGAGGGATATTTGAATCCCTAATTCACTTCAGTTCCTTGCCCTGTCGTGGTTTCCTGTTCCAGGTTCCCGAGAGTGCGTTTATCCTTGTGATTCTGATTTCCTGGTATCCTGATCTTGGCTTTTCCCTGGTTATTCCGATTTCTGGTTCCCCTGACTTGGCTTGTTTAAACGGTATCTGAGTATTTCTGGCTTCCTTGACCTCGGCTTTCCCTATGACCATTCTCTATCTCTAGCGTATTAGTCCGGCCATTCTAAGGTCCGGTTTACGCTCTGTCCTTTTATTTCCTTTCTTTTTATATGTATATGTTTACATAGTTTATGCGTGTTGGACCACACTAGCAGTCATGACATTACAGCTGTAGACACAAGGCATGTGCTGGGGTTAAAGCAAAGGATATTAAGTATTAGCACACGTGATAAATACACATTCAGGTTAATTTGAAAACCGCTCGTTCACATCAACAAGGGTCTTGGCTCTTAGTAAACATTTACAAGGACATAAAGCAAAATACGTGAGACGGCACATTCTACATCTGGAAGATATCCAGACAGCGGACGGTAAAAACGCACATAAAAAGGGTAGGAATTATTGCTGTGTAAAACGCTAATTGATGGCACGTTAGCAGTTCATTTGTGGTGATCACATGTTATATATTGAAAGGACACTGGAATCAAGTCAAGAAACTTCGAAATGAATTGCCCATAGATTCTATCTTTAAGAAACGATATCAGGGCAAATACGTGAAATACGTGAAATATATAGATCAGTAACTAGTGGCCCTGAATGCTCTGTGTTATGGCTTCTCTTATCTCCTGCCTACTTTGCCGATGGCATCACATCCTCTATATACTGAGTCACTGTGCGGGAACGCAAGGGCAGCCATAAAAAGGAACCTCCGTAGACACTCCAGTGACACAATGTTTCAGGAGCCCTTATTTCCACGTTAGAATTCTACCTACTTCAAAAAAAAGGAAGTTATTTTATCTCAGTATGTTTTCTAACTCCGTTATTAGCGGGACGATGGGTTTGTCAGGCCGAGCTACGAGCGGCCATATTATTTCAGTACAAGATGTTCACATTGAGGAATAATAAAAGTAAACAGACAGGGTTATTTTCTAAAGTGTAAACAGACAGGAATTCAGAGCAAATTTCAAATTTTAGGTTAAAATAGAAATATAGCGGATTTGGAGAATTTTAGCCAAAATTTTATAAAATTCACAGCTTGGTAGACAATCCTTTGGATGTGCAGCCCTGAATATGGAGTTAGACGTTTCCATTAGAAAATGAGAATTCTGCTGAATTCGGTGTTTGATGCAGTTCTGATGATGTCACTATCAGAGAACCAGGTAAGTACCAAGTAAGTGGATCCCTAACTATAGTTAAGTGATAGAATGAAATATTACCAGATCTTCGAATAGTGGATCGGTCATCGCTTGGAGTCTTGGCATAATTTGCAAAGACCCCCGATGGTGACATCACTGCTGGAGGTACGATGGACGGAGAGTGGGCAGTAAAGGTTAAATTTAATTAGCGGGCTGGGGGAACTGACAAACTTGGCGGCAGCAGCACCACCCAGTGTCAAGCTTTGACAGGAGGAGCAATAGTCCCTGACTTGCTTCATTTTTTTGACTGAGTTGGAATTCCAGTAAAAGTCTAATCCATTCGATCTGAGTAATCACGGATAGTGAAAACAATTAACCCGTATCAGGACAACAAACAGCAAGAATGAGCGGAACTCTAAACATGTAGAGAACAAATTACAAATGACCAAGACCTATTGCATCTAATGAGGCAACTACTGACCATATCCAAACTAGACGAGTGAAGGAGAGGACCTCTGTCAGTTAATGTGAGCACAGAGTGTCCAGCAGTTACCTGAAGGTGAGGTGGAGAGGATGACACTGAATGCTCAGTCACATCACAGCCTGTTACGTCATACACAAACATGGTTTATTCACTAAACTACAAAATGTATCCAAATTTAGGCAAAAATATCTGATTTGTAAAAATTCTCCAACTGCACCATAGTCACATATTGGGTATTTTAGCCCAAATTGTGCAATTTGTATTTTAATTTGAGGAGCTCAGTGGTTAATGTTGCATACGTCCCTGGGTTTTTGGCACGTTAAAATGACCACGTAATACGATAATGGCGCCCTGTAGAAAGAATGCAGTGCTATTACAGCACTCACCAAGTTTTACATGTCATTGCTTGGGGTTTTGGGAACATTAGGGGTGCACCATCACCCAGATGAAGTCAGGCTGAGAGTAATGGGGATTACACACTGAGCTCTACATCCTACAATCTAAGGACCTGGAGATCACTGCTGTTCCCTGTGCTAAAACGACACCTGTTATTTTAAAGAGAGCACTCTGAGTGCAGTGTCCATCCTCTGTCACTGTGACAATGCTATTACAAAGTTGTTATTTTTTATAGAACTCCTCTGCGGCTGGAATGCTGGGGTGGTATCAACTACCACAGCATGGAAGGAACACACATAGAAACATTATACAAAAACATAATTGGAAGGATTGTTCACGAGCTGTGAACGAAGGAGAGTTGGGGATTTTTTTTTAATAAAAGTTAGTAATTTGGGTTTTAATTCGGGTAACCTAAAAAAACTCTTCGCCGCCTTTTGCAGTTGAGCACCAGCAGCAAACCACAAACATCCAACTATTATTACAAAAACAAAAACATGTAACAGTCAACAAGAGCCACAACAATGGGACGATTTATAAAACGGAGAGAAACCAACGAAAGGAACGAGCAATGCACCACCACCTACTTCACGAATATGAAATCATCTCAGGCCAGGAAGCTAAGAATTTAATGAATTCACGTCTTCAATGGTTAAAAATAATGACCTTTTGTCCATTTCTTTGCTTTTTATATTTTGGAATTTTTTTACTCAGAATTTCCCCAAATTAAACATATTAATCTTGCCCAGATCGCAGTCGCAGAGAGAGAAGCCTGTTAAATTAAAAACAGCGGTATGAGTAAGTGTCCGTATTAGGGATCGTTTAGGAGAAAATGGGCAAATTTCCGAAAACTCAGGGACCCTGGCAGCTGGGCTGCAGACTGGACAAAGCAGCCTCTCCGAATGCCGATAAGCTTAGGACACACTAGGTGGCGTAGAAGCCTAAGAAAACCTTTTGATATTGCGATGATTTTATTAATAATTCTGAAGTGTCCTGAATTCAGTGGGGCAGTCATGATATGGGTTCACATTTTGCTCCCGCAATGGTTTCAGCAGGATTCTGCTAAAAGGCACAGATAAATTATACTGAAAAACCCCCTCTCCGGGTCATCAACCGCAGTACTGGCAGGTAATATGCACCTCTCAATTATTCAATTCAAGTGTTATAATTAGACCCATTGCCACAGCTGTATAAAATTAAGCACCTTTCCATACAGTCTGCATTTACAAACATTTGTGAAAAAGTTGGGTCATTCTGAAGAGCTCCGTGATGCCACCTTTACAATAAGTCTGTGAAGTTAGATATTCCACGGTCACCTGTAAGTGTTAATATTAGAAAATGAAAACATTTAACAGCAGCAACTCAGCCACAAAGCGGAAAACCACGTAACGTCACAGAACGGGGTCACCGAGTGCTGAGGTGCATGGTGTGTAAGTCGCCAATGCTCGGTGATGCCATAGCTGAAGAGTTCCAAACTTCCACTAACAAGATCACCACAAAAGCTGTGCGGTGGGAGCTTCACAGAATGGGTTTCACATCAAGTACAATGCCAAGCATTGGATCGAGAGGTGTAAAGCACGCCGCCACTGGGCTCGGGAGTTATGGACACTCCATTCTGTGAAGTCTGATGGGCAAGTCCGTGTTGAGTGGATGTCAGGAGAACGTTACCTACCTGACTGCATTGTGCCAACTGTAAGATCAGTGCAGGAGAGATAATGGAATGGGGCTATTTTTCAGGAGTTGGGCTAGGCCCCTTCCTTCTAGTGGAAGGAAATCTTACTGCTTCACCATACCAAGACATTTTGGACAACGCTTCCAAGTTTGTGGGAACAGTTTAGGGAAGGATATTTTCTATACCAGCATGACTGTATCCCAGTGCACAAAGCAAGGTCCATATAGACATGGTTGGATGAGTTTGGTGTAGAGGAACTTGACTGGCTACACAGAGCCCTGACCGCAACTCCGAACACTTTTGGGATGAACTGAAATGGAGATTGTGAGTCAGGCCTTCTCTTCCAACATCCGTGTCTGACCTCAAAACTGCTCCACTGGATGAATGGGGAAATATTCCCACAGAAACTCCAACGTCCCAGAGGAGTGGAAGCTGTTATAGCTGCAAAGGATGGGCCAACTACATATAATGTCCATGTATTTAGAATGTGAAGTCATAAAAGTCCTTGTTGGTGTAATGGCCAGGTGTATTTTGTTTATGTATGTGGGTATTTTTCACAGAAAGAGTTAAAGGTGCATAGAATGGCTTCCCAGCAGAGTTGCTACAAACTAAAAACAGTAAAATGATTCAGGAACTCTTGGTTTAACATCCTGCCACCCAGGGCTGGTGCTACAATAAGTCGGCACAGGCAGCCACCTTAGGGCGCACCAGGTTCTGGGTGATCAGCTCTGTGTGCTCCCCTCCTGCCAGTCAGTCATTGTAGTGTGACCGAGCCATGAATTGGGTTTACTCTACCAGTTCTGACAGGAAGCTCTCACTCTCGAGGGAGAGGAAACCAAACATCCGCGGTCTGGCCAAGCGACATACGGGTGGCGAGCTGGCATGGTGGGAGAAAAACCACAAGAGGCGGGTGGAGAAAGACAGATATGGGCTGGGGGGGGTGGGGGGCAGGGTGGGAGATAGAGACACAGACGGGCTGAGGGGAGAAAACAATGTGCTGGGGGGAGGAGACACAGAGTGACTGGGAAGGAGAGAAAGACATAGGGGAAAGGGGAAAAATAGATACACAAAAGGTACTGGGGGAAGAACACAGTGAGGATGTAGAAGGGGAGAGAGACACATGAAGGGGCTGAGTGAAGCAAGAGAAACACAATCCTAGCTCTGGCCCTGCTGCTTCTCTGAGCAGCAAACAGTGAAACACCATCAAGAATAAAAACCTGTGATTTTAGAAAAGATTTATAGATTTATAGACACACAATGTAACTGCAGTGCTGCAGAATGTCCGCTAGGGGGCAGGCCTCCCCCATCTATAAATCTAATCATGGTGTCATCAGAAACAGGTTTGAAACATTCTGTTAATTAACTGGGATTTCACATAGATTAGGAAGAATGTGGGTCACAGCGATGTCTACACAGAGCTGCCAGCCTGGGACGAACGGGGTGGTTTATTCAGGTAAAGACGCACATTGTGCTGAGTGGGGTTTTTTAATGCATTGCCTTATTTTATTAAATATTCACAGCTCCTGGTATAAACAGTCTGGGTAACCAGATTTCTAATACAGAGCGTTTCTATGGAATATACTGTACAGCGCTGCGGAACACGTTGGTGCTATAATAGTATAGGGTTACTTTAAAAATAATCTATGCCAAGTGAGATGTGGAAACTATAATATAATAATATAGTGTCCCCTTTAGTGTCAGCTTCCTGAAATGCTTTGGACTTGTCATTGAGCTGCATTGGGAAGTCTGTGATTGGACAGCCACAGAAAGTCTGGGCGGGGTTAGAACGGGAGAGCTTACAAAGGCTGCAGACAAGTGTCACGACACACTCCTTAGTTGATATTCCCACCTTACCTGAACAAAATGCTCTCCCCAGCTGTTCCCACTTCCTATAACCTCCGATCCAGTACCAACACTTTACTTAGTCTACCTCAATACAAAAAGAAGGCAGCCCAATCCTCCTTCTCCTACAGAGCGCCGCAATTATGGAACGACCTCCCGCACACTTTAAAATCTTCCCTAAGTCTAAAGTCCTTTAAGAGATCCCTCTCTACATACCTCAAAACAGAATGCACCTGTCATGGGTGATTATATATTTCCTACCTGTTCTTTGTTAAATATTGTATATATTGTGTATTAATATTGTTTTTGTATTTTATTGTACCCTAATTGTATCAATGCAATGATTTGTGGACCCAGAACATACTTGAAAACGAGAGAAATCTCAATGTATCTTTCCTGGTAAAATATTTTTTAAATATATATTTCTTTATTTGCACTATTCATTGTGCATTATGCAAGAGATTTTGCATTTCTATTGTGTCTATTGCATTTATTCTTTGCTAAATTGGTTCCTACATTTAAAGGGATGGTGCTGTCTCTGGGCAGCACCCCTTCATGCCCATGACAACAAGACAGATACAGCTTTTATAATGTTTTTACATATCCTAAATGGGAAAAAATACACACGTTTTAATTGGGGGTAAGTCTACTAAGTAGTGTTTGTATTTGGGTAGTGGAGTGTCGCTTTAAGAGAGTGGGTGCAAGGAACATAATAATATTAGCCCTGCAGGAGTTAACACAGAATTTAGGCCAAAATAATTAAACTGGACAATGGATCATTTCCATCTATTTCAATCTACAATTTATTCACTAAACTGGACATTCTGCCGCATTTCAACGTTTAGGTCAAAATAAGAAATTAATTAAATCACCAACTTTCTTTTCCGACTGGGCTACTTTATTCTAAACGTGAAATCCCATCTCCTGGTTTAGTAAATATGCCGGCCAATTCACTCAGAGCGGTTTACTGAAGTAAGAATTGTCAGGGATTCAAAGTGAATTTTTAATGACCTGAACTGGACGCAGTGCGGACTGGGAGAACATCCAGTCTGCCTCCGAATTCCTGACTATTCTCACTTCAGTGAATAACCCTGTCAGTGTCCATTAATCTCCTCCCAATTAACCCTTCCCTTACTGCGTGCTAGCACTTTTCATGCAGAGACGGATATTAACCTAGCGGCGCCCCATCCCCCCCCATTACGTGTAATTTGCGTCCAGTCCAACAGGAGAGAATCTTTCGTTTACAAACCAGGGGTACTTTCTTATAACAATACATAGCGGGGGCTTCTTCCAGCAGTGAGGCATGTTATACAGGACAAGACTGCTCCACTGGACTCTGTATTAGGAAAGGGGAGAAGCCCCTCCCACAGGATAATTAATAGTTTGTTAATTACTCTGAAATCGTGTCGCTCATTACTTGTATACTGGGATCTCCTTTATAATGAGAAATCCTGGGACAAAGTCTGTAATACGGAGCACCTGTCTGGATCGGTTCCAGGGTGTCCCCTGTTTTGTGCCGTATACGTTTTTAGGGGTTCTTTATTGAGGGGGACCTGGCAAATGGAGCAAATATCTGGGCTGATCTGAGAATGTTTCCCTTTGGACTGCTTTGATCCCCATTGTAGTGAATGAACCCCTAAAATCACACTCTCAGATTAGTCCCTGACCCGGTCTGACATCCCCCTTCCCTGCATCTTCCAGGGATTTGTTTAATCTCAGGTCTCTGTTACTGACACAGGAGGGTGTGAAATGATTTCACTCTTGACTGACAGGCCTGTAGTAGTAGGCTCATTAACCCTTTGTTAATCATATTCTGTAAACAGGAACCTAGTGTCCCAGCTTAAACCTTCAGAATAAGTGAGTGTCTGAGCCGTCATAACAATTCGTTTGTAGCTCCTGTTCCAACATGGAACCAGTCCGGTTATTGGATGGTTGTATAGAAATGGCAGGGCTAAATAAATGGAGCTTTTTATAGCGGTATACAGAGGTCAGGCTGTGATGGCAGTAGTTAAAGCAGGCTTCCCCAAACTCCGGCCCTCCAGATGTTGCTGAACTACAACTCCCATGATTCTCAGCCTATCTATTTCATTCATAGAATCATGGGAGTTGTAGTACAGCAACATCTGGAGGGCCAGAGTTTGGGGAAGCCTGAGTTAAAGGGTCACTGTAAGCACTATCACAACTTTGCATGATTGCACAAAGAGCACAGTGAGCCCACGTTCAGCTCTGAGACTGACTGCAGCAATTTGTATAAACACACACACAGCTATAACTCCACCCCTCTGAGCTGTCAATAAGGAATCCTGAATGCTAATTCCTGGGTGGCCTTTGTTAATTATGTTGAAGGTTTGTGTATCCTCCCCAGAGAGAAAGCAGAACCACACACTGTGCATGCATAGACAGTGGTGTAGCATACTAATTCATACCTCCCAACATGTCCCGGCAGTTAATAAGGAGAGGGCGGTCTTCCCCCATATCACCTGGACTATGCATAGAATGCTTCTGAAGCGCTGGTTAGCATTGCAGGGACACATCACTTGATGGGCAGCACATGAAATGGGTTGCCCTGTGTTATGTAGAATTCAGAAGTTGGATAAGATTAAGTAATTAGACAATAAAAAAATCCTACAGAATATGCATTATACATACTACAGGGCAACTCTTTTCATGCGTTTTTATAAATACGACAAAACGCACACCAGGGAACTAAAGCAGGACAACAGGACCGCACCCCAAAATTGTGACTGTACAACCAAAAGCAGGACAGTTGGGGGACTAAAAGGTGAACAGGGCTGTATGTAAATGAAGTGTAATTGCTATAACCTGCTATTCAGAGGATTAGGGGTTAATAATATATCCCATAGGTCATAATGTGAGGCTCCTAGTTTGAGTGTCTCTTCCTGGTCAGAAAGGGGTCAGTCCAGAGCTGGAACCTGGGGTCATTGGGCTAGAAAAGGAGGCTTATTGGCTGCCCAGTAAGCTGAGAGCCTGCCTGAAAAGGGGCCTTGCCAGCGTATGGCACCTTGCCTGTGGCACCATGACCCTGCCTATGGTACCATGGCCATAACTCCCTAATTCTGCCTGTGGCACCATGACCCTGCCTATGGCACTGTGCCCATAACTACCTAATCCTGCCTGTGGCACCATAACCCTGCCTATGGCACCGTGCCCATAACTACCTAATCCTGCCTGTGGCACCGTGCCCATAACTCCCTAATCCTGCCTATGGCATCATGCCCATAACTCCTTAATCCTGCCTATGGCACTGTGCCCATAACGCCCTAATCCTGCCTGTGGCACCATGACCCTGTCCGTGGCACCATGCCCATAACTCCCTGAGCCTGCCTGTGGCACCGTGACCATAACGCCCTGACCCTGCCTGTGGCACCATAACCCTGCCTGTGGCACCATGCCCATAACTCCCTAATCCTGCCTGTGGCACCGTGCCCATAACTCCTTAATCCTGCCTATGGCACTGTGCCCATAACGCCCTAATACTGCCTGTGGCACCATGACCCTGTCCGTGGCACCATGCCCATAACTCCCTGAGCCTGCCCGTGGCACCGTGACCATAACGCCCTGACCCTGCCTGTGGCACCATGCCCATAACTCCCTAATCCTGCCTATGGCATCATGCCCATAACTCCCTAATCCTGCTTATGGCACTGTGCCCATAATGCCCTAATCCTGCCTGTGGCACCATGACCCTCTCCATGGCACCATGCCCATAACGCCCTGACCCTGCCTGTGGCACCATAACCCTGCCTGTGGCACCATGCCCATAACTCCCTAAACCTGCCTATGGCATCATGACCCTGACCATGGCACCCTGCCAAGGAACTGAATGCAAATATGTCTAATGATGCACTTGAGCTGATTGGGGTCATTTACCTACTGTTCGCAAAGGTGAGACACCAGGTACCAAACCAAGGACAAAAGCCCAAATTCCGGAAGGTCCCACCAAACCTGTGACGGTTTCATACACAGGGGAACAACCATGAATCTGGGAGCCATAGGGGAAGGAGACACCCAGTGTGTGATGGTTTTTATGTTGTCCTTGTGTTTCTTCCACCCTTTGCATTCAGATTAACCCTTTAAGTCCCACAGCATCACAACCCGTCACATATGGAAATGTTTTTTCCTAAGTGGCATTTAATACTCCCAGTAATGTGTCTGAGTGTATAACAGAGCTCCACAGCGATAATACTCCCAGTAATGTGTCTGAGTGTATAACAGAGCTCCACAGCGATAATACTCCCAGTAATGTGTCTGAGTGTATAACAGAGCTCCACAGCAATAATACTCCCAGTAATGTGTCTGAGTGTATAACAGAGCTCCACAGCAATAATACTCCCAGTAATGTGTCTGAGTGTATAACAGAGCTCCACAGCAATAATACTCCCAGTAATGTGTCTGAGTGTATAACAGAGCTCCACAGCAATAATACTCCCAGTAATGTGTCTGAGTGTATAACAGAGCTCCACAGCAATAATACTCCCAGTAATGTGTCTGAGTGTATAACAAAGCTCCACAGCAATAATACTCCCAGTAATGTGTCTGAGTGTATAACAAAGCTCCACAGCAATAATACTCCCAGTAATGTGTCTGAGTGTATAACAAAGCTCCACAGCAATAATACTCCCAGTAATGTGTCTGAGTGTATAACAGAGCTCCACAGCAATAATACTCCCAGTAATGTGTCTGAGTGTATAACAGAGCTCCACAGCAATAATACTCCCAGTAATGTGTCTGAGTGTATAACAGAGCTCCACAGCAATAATACTCCCAGTAATGTGTCTGAGTGTATAACAGAGCTCCACAGCAATAATACTCCCAGTAATGTGTCTGAGTGTATAACAGAGCTCCACAGCAATAATACTCCCAGTAATGTGTCTGAGTGTATAACAGAGCTCCACAGCAATAATACTCCCAGTAATGTGTCTGAGTGTATAACAGAGCTCCACAGCAATAATACTCCCAGTAATGTGTCTGAATGTATAACAGAGCTCCACAGCAATAATGCTCCCAGTAATGGGTGATTTTCAATGTACTTTTCTCCACAATTCTCACCCAGTCAATAAACTGCAAATTTAAATATGTTCTCAATTTCCAATTCCATTAAACCTGGCATATATATTGCTTTAAAAACCATTTTTACAATCGCTTGTTCTGAAAAGCAATATAACACATGTTTCACATTGGCGTTCTTTGAGGGTCTGCATACCATCCTAGCAGGGGTGCCAAAGGTTAAGAATTTTCATTGGTTTAAATAAATCAGCCTTAACCTAACCGTGAAATAAAACGAAACATTAAGTATCAGAGATTCGCACCATAACAAAGTATTCATTCATTTTTACTGAGTGATTCTGCATTGTATTAACACAACTGGATCCATTTTATTCCACTTTGTGAATCCGCCAATTAATTAATCCCCCGTGTGATTTTATTAAATATTAATATATTACTTAATCAGATTGCACTCAGGATCTATTGCTGACACTGCATTATTTACACTGCAATGACCTGTTTAATGTAAATTATCACAAATTGGGCAGGTTTCACAATGACACACAAGTTCTGGGGCACAGATTTTATTGGGAGAGAAGCTCAGGACTGGCCTAGAAAAACAGGATAGTTGATAACTATGCTTTAACTCCACTATTCTGTAATTCCATTAATGTTGGTGTGTTGTTTTTACATTTAAATAACACAGATTCCTATGGTAATTTGGGAATGGAACTAACTTGGAAGTAAAGGGGTTAATAAGTGGTGATTACAAAATAACTGTTTATGTAATATATGCTTTTTATATATATATATATATTTTTTTAAATTCGCTAAACTTTCCTGGCATGGCGATATTTGTGCTGTATCACATATGGCCATGGTGGCGTCATCTCAGGTGCTCTACAAGAATTTTAATGGCTTGCTGCTTAACCTCTCCAGTAGAACCCATAATAAAATTGTGGGACAGACCGCCCCCCCTGCCCCCCCCCCCCAAACAATGAGAAGCTCCAATCAAGGATTTAAGGACTGTGACTGATTAGAAGGACCTCTTTGGTTTATTCATTAAATCTGGAATTCTGGAGAACCTAGAAAGAAATTGTGAATTTTAGCCAAAATAGGTCAACCAATTAAGGCTGTATTTGTGATTATATGTAAAATTGATTGCAGTTTTTTAATTCCGTTCAACCAAACTAAAGCATGTAAATCTTCCTCAGTTTCTTGCGGGCAGTCACATTTGGGTACACGGTACGGCAGGTGCGGACTTGGTCAAAAATCCTACAGGAGCGGTAGAGGTACATTCTGGGGGCCGCTTGTCACGTACAGGAATGTGGAGTTAGAGCTATTTGGGGAGGGGTGGCTCCAAGAGTCGGGTACCCCCGTTTTGCTAATCTCCTGTAGAGATAATGATTCTGCTCTGGATTTTTTTTACTTTTTTAGCACAAGTTTATCTCCCACCAAATATCCAGCTGGTGGGTGTATTTGTTGTCTGGCCACTGAGGATATTACACAATAAAAATGTCTTCCACTGCGGACTGTCAGAATATCCATTAACACGGAGGTTGGGTGTGTTCTAGTCAGCCGTCCTTTGCACTCTTATGTAATCCAGCAGGTGACTAGCGCCGTGTGCCGGACACATATCACCGTCTGGCTGTCCTGTAGGGGATCTTCTTTCAGTATAATTCCTGTGAGACGTTGAATGTGTTTGATAATCCGTTTCATGTCCTGCAGTGGTCTCTGCCCAATCTGTCTAGCGGCAGTAGATATACAGCATGATCAAACCCAACACCGCGCTTAACACTATGAAGATAACGGACGCAAGCCAGAGGTCATAGTTCTGGGCCTTCATGGGCGCCACGCTCTCTGAGGGGATCATGTTGGTGAGGTTCAGCATGTACCCCAAAGTCCAGCCGATGTCTGTATTCGACGCCTGCAACACAAGGAGAACATTATACGATATAATCATGGCCTTCAGATATCTGGGTAGTGTAACTGGAAATCCCCATGTTTTACGGATTACAACTCCCATAAATCTCTGCTAAAGTAGCTAAAAATATGGCATGTGGCTGGCAACACTGGGTATAACATGATGATAATGTTTGTTAAACATGTCCCTCATTTTGGTAACAAAAGATATATTAATGAATCGAAATAAGCACCAAGACTGCTTAATCTCACTGAAGTGGTCTTGGTGCCGTGGCCCTGATATTTTTGCTGTTTTGGTCACACAATGTAAATACGGCAATGTCTTAATTAATTTGGTAAAACCTCTAGGGGCTGTTACACTAACAGCCACTAGATGGTGCTTCCAAACTCACAACCTGGTCAGACTCAGATCTTTGTCCTCACACTGAGTCAATGTATCTCTACGAGAAGGATTGGACGAAGTGTCATGTAAAACATCCCGCCTTTCCTGGCAATGAGCAATATATAGCTGGTGTATCCACGAGGACGCCGTGTTGGAGTGACCCCCGCAGCCAGCGAGGTTGGTTCGACCATCCATGCCGACCACTTACATTCATGCGAACAGCACCTCTGTTTGCACGAACGCCACTTACCAGATACAAAAGGAAGAACTTCATGCGTACGAAGGCCACCTCTGTTAATGCGAACGCTACTCACCTATACTCCAGATAGAACTCCAGAACACAGCAAGAACAGAAGTCTGGAAATGAGAACGCTGCTGCTTCCACGTGCGACCACACGAGTGCGTGTGCCCCAACACAGAGTCTTTTAAAGGTACAGGATTTGGAGACCAGGGTGGAACCTCAATTAACAAGACCACCCACTTCCCCTATTTTAGTTGCACTCACTCTTCGCTCAGTTGTACTGTGCTCCTGATTGTGTACAGACCTTCAGAGACTCTCCTGTTGGATCCTGTTCCTGATTTTGACCCTTGCCTGTATCATCGCTTCTGAACCTGTGCCGCCATTCCTGACCTTTGGCTTCTCCGACTATTCTCTTCGTCTAATCTTTTGATACTGCGAACTTGGTTCTTTGCCTTCAGCATCTATCTGCATCTTGGGCTCCGTCCACTAAACTGTGTTCCCGATAGGTGTGTGTCTGTCTCTTTCTCATAGCTGCGTGATTTTTACAAATGGCTGCAGTTTGTAGCTGTTCGCAGGGTTTAGCGCTGAATCAATTTGCTCTCTGCATCATAAAGATTTTCTGGAATTTACCTGGGTAGATCCAGAGATATGACTTACTACTGGAAATGGCACAATAATTACCTGTTTCATGAAGCTGATAGAATTCCAGTTGTCCTCATTGAACTTGTAGGCGTCCAGCAAAAGGCTCAGGACATAGTTCCCGTTGGCGCAATAATCCCGCAGACGGTCAGCCTTCTCTTTGGGGTAGGAAGACTGGATCTGAAAACATACAAATCAAGGCTGCATTAAACGTGGCCCTCTGATGAAGTTGGCAACTTTCTTAGACGTGAGACGGAGCAGGAGGGGGGACATTAGAGAAAATGAAACGACTACATAGGGCTCAAAATCAGGACTGCCCCGCCAAATGACCGTTAGTAAGTATGTGTTTCACCTCTGTACACCATAATGTGCTTACTTGGTTCATATAAAAAAGTTCCATTATTTCATATCTGTGAGTGTGATTTCTCGTAACACTTAATTAAGCAATTAAATTCGTACAAATCAAAGTCTCAGTCTGGTGTAAGCAGTATTTAAAGGACCACTATAGGCACCCAGACCACTTTAGCTCAATGAAGCTGTCTGGGTGCCAGGTCCATCTAGGATTAACCCTTTCTGCTGTAAACATAGCAGTTTCAGAGAAAGCTGCTATGTATACATTAGGGTTAATCCAGCCTCTAGTGGCTGTCTCATTGACAGACGCTAGAGGCGTTTCCGCGCTTCTCACTGTGATTTTCACAGTGAGAAGACGCCAGCGTCCATAGGAAAGCATTGAGAATGCTTTCCTATGGACTGGCTGAATGCGTGCGCATTGAAGTGGCATATTAAAGACCGAGAAGTCATATAGTAATTAAAGGGATATTATAGTCACCAGAACAACTACAGCTTATTGAATTTGTTCTGGTGAGTAGAATCATTACCTTCAGGCTTTTTGCTGTAAACACGGTCTTTTCAGAGAAAATGCAGTGTTTACATTACATCCTAGTGATAACTTCACTGGCCACGCCTTGGATGGCTGTTAGAGATCCTTCCTGGGTCATGGCTGCCTAAAATGCATCCAAACATTCAGTGTCTCCACCCTCTGCATGCAGACACTGAACTTTCCTCATAGAGATTCATTGATTCAATGTATCTCTATGAGGAGATGCTGATTGGCCAGGGCTGTGTTTGAATCATGCTGGCTCTGCCCCTGATCTGCCTCCTTGTCAGTCTCGGCCAATCCTATGGGGAAGCACTGTGATTGGATCAGGCTACCACATGTCAGCAGACTGCTTGTTTTTCTTAGTCTAACAGCATGCAGAGTTACAGCTTCAGGCTTGAATACAGTAAGATTTTGCTATATTTATGGAGGCATGAGGGGCCCAGGGGGGCTAGATGGTGGTGTTAACACTAAAGGGTCAGGTATACATGTTTGTGTTCCCGACCCTATAGTGATCCTTTAATGAAGAGGACCAATCGGGATCTCTGTTTACCTCGGACCAGTCTCTCGCACAGAAGGTGTTGATTGCGGTGTTCACTGTTGACAGACTTTGCCCCGATGTCAAGTTGAGAAAATCAAAAGTATAAAAGAACGCAGAGAAAGCCTGGCAGACCAAAACAAAACCAAACAGTTGGATAAGTTAAAGGACAAACCATTTTGTAGCAGCCAACAATCATTGAATTCATATTTTTATGATCTGCCAGTGTTTAGTTCACACTTTCGGCATATTCTTTTCTACCACTGATAGAAAGTCAAAATGGCAGCTTCCAGTGACGTAGTTGTGCTCCTATTTAGTCACCCTTTCTGAGCATAGAGAATGGCAAACATCAAATACGCAGGTTGGAGAAGGCAATGCATGTTTTAGAATGATAGTTATGGCAGGCTTATTATATATAAATAAAGCCCTTTAAATTCTGTATCCAACAAAGTGTATGATCTAAAAACACAGCTGTGTAAACCCTCATCGAGCCCCATGGCCCATGTGAGGCTAATGGAAGAAACTTGGAGAGGTATGAAACAGACCTACTTATTGCTTTTAAAACGTTAACAAAATAAATAAAAAATAAGCACATACTCTGTAAGTTCTTGCATTATTGTATAATTAAATCCAAAGTCTGTACTCCAGGTCGTTCCCTTAAATTCACATTTACATTTTTTTTTAACTCCTGTAATTGCAGAAATACAGACTCTCAGAGATAATGCCACTATAGTCCTAGTTTTGATCATTTTTCACGTATCAGAACCTACGACCATAACACACAAGGGTGGGGGTGGGGGGATTATGTTCACTAATAGAGGAAACCAAAAAGGAAATTGCACATTTTTGGGAACAATATGTAGTAGCTGCAAATTTTTTCTTTTTTTAAATTTATTTATTTATTTTTACTATTCTGCTCTTTTCCCATTCTCTACAATTCCTAATTTAGTGATTTAAAGGAGGACTGTATTAGTTGTAATGTTAGATATTTTCAGAGAACTGCCCCCACCCCCCATTTGTGTTGTTTTTTCCGCAATTAAACTTTACTGTAATCCAGCTCCAGGTCAGACTCCACGCTGAAGCCTGATTCACTTTATGTGCGATTTATTAGACTTGACGATCTCCGATTTAATACTCTCATTCAGAAACCTCAGGGACAAAGCCCCCCTTCCCCACACACCCCAAATCCAATGCTTCTCATACAGAAATACTGAATCCAACACGTATCTGTGAGAAGCTTTACTGGCGCTGCATGTTGTCATGGTGTATGTGATGATGTTACGCATGATACCTTTTAATAATCAAAGGTCTTTATGAGGAATCGGCTGCGGTGGCTGTCAGCCTGACCGGCACATTGTCAGAGTACAGAAACTGTGTGTATGTACCAAAACCACTAAATTAAGATGTCAAGGTTTTGGTACTTGGAGTGTGCCTTTAAACCTCACGGTCTATTCACTAAACACTGCATTTTGTCTGGACAGACTAAATTCTGCGAAAATGACCGAATTAAGACCTGAATGCCAATTCTCCTATTTTCTAAGCCAAATCTGGTTGTAATTTGATCCTCCTGATTAAATCTGAACTATTTGGCTGGATGCTTTTGGTGTCTGGTTTAAAATCCATGCTTTTTACATTTAAACCCTATACAAAGTATTGGACCTGGAATATTAACAAAACAAAAATGCATCTGGTAGGACGCACATTCGCATATTATCATTCACGTTTTAAGTACCATTTCCTCCTGGCAGCATTGGCAGATGGAAAAACAATCTCTTGGGAGCGAGGGTTAACCATGTGGCCATTTGGATTGTGTGTGTGTGTGTGTGTGTGTGTGTATATGTGTGTGTGTGTGTGTGTGTATGTATGTGTATATATATATATATATATATATATATATATATATACACTATCATGGATTATACAGATCTAACGACATTTCTCCATGTTAGACCATGGTTATAATTGTACAAACTGCTTAGAACAGTAACACAGTAAAACTAATTCATTTTAAGATATTTAACTCATGGACAACGAGAGATCATTTTCTACTGTAGTTTCACGTCCCACAATAAACTCCCAGAACTGTTCCGTAGCAGCTTGTTAAGCATGCACGGGGAGTTAGCCAAGAAGATAAATTTTGAGCTGTGTAAATCGTTGGCATCTCCCACTTTGCCTTCCTTCCTACAGTCCCCAAGCTCCAAACATCCAAGGTCACACACAATTCATCCAAGTTGCTGACGTATCCCAAGAACGAGAAGATAGCAGAATCAATGTCCCAAGCAGACAAGGCTTTCTCTTACCTCCAGCTCTATTCAACTCTGTCCTACAAATCTGAACCATCCCCAGCCAGAACCCTCCCATCCATTTATCTTCCTCAATACTTACAAAAAAATTGCCAATGACTGGTGGCTGGTAAACGCCATCGAATGAACAGGACGCCTGGCCGCTGCAGGCGCTGAAGTTGAAGATGCTCTTGATCAGCGCTCTGCATTTCGCAGAATCACCGGTGCCTACTATAGCAATCTGTGCGGAGCCGGATGTGGAGGGTGCATTAGCGGCCGTACAAGGGCTGTCATACAGAGATTCGAGGGGGACGGTCGCAGTGTATCCATTGGGGTAACAAGGAATGTTTACTGGCTGCTTTAAATCCTGTCCCTGCAAAAAACAAACATATTGTGATTTTTTTTTACACCAAGTAAAAGCTGGTATCGCACCTACAATAGCTCTGGACCCCTTAGAGTATCTTAAACTGTACAGCAAATCCTAAGACTCATGGCTTCCAGTGATGGAGTCAGAACTTGTCAGTAATGGTTACACTGTTGAAGACCTTCCATGGAAGGAAATGTCACTCTGTTCTTGTTTCAGTTAGACAGAAAATCTACCTCTGGTTGTCCTCTGTTGCCCTGTTAATGGCTATAAGATGCCAAAGAGTTTGGTTTCTTCACTTGCTGTTGACTGAGTGTAGATCATATGAAGACATATGTCTGGAACCTCATCTGGTGCAGCAACAATCCCCATTTTACAGATACAATATGCCCAATATATTGATGTCACCATTACCTTGTAGAGAAGACCAGCCTGGCTTTAAAACAGGTCAGTCTGTCACCATGATGCAACAATAAACTCAACCGCCTAATAATTGATCCTAATTTCACATTGATGCATTATTACTCCCACGGTCCCACCTCTGAGGTCCGTATTTTTGTGACTTCTGTGGCTTTTTCTTTTTGTTCTCACCGTAACAGCTTTGACAAGCATCTGTTTCAGGGCCTGGTTTTGACCATAACACAGGAAGCTGTGCGTGTAGATGGAGTACGGGAATCCATACAGCTTAAAGTCAGACTTTTCATTGATGTCTTCAACGGCTTCTTTTGGGATAAAACTAATTTGTGTGGACGCCCCTCCCAGGTCCAGAGCACCGTAGATATTGGAGACTGTTGGCCGCACCCAACGACCGCTGAAAGAGTACTAAATAACAGGGAATATAAGTTAGAGGTTAGATAAAATGTTATAAATAATATTCATGGGTTGACATGGTAAGCACTGTGCTTCCACAATCTCAGATAAATTCCCAGGTGGCCAGCAGAAGACGCGGTCACAGAAAGAAATATATTATATATATATATATATATAATTTTTTTTTTTTTTTTTTGATCTTAGTCTTAAAATTAAAACGTTCCTAAGCCCAGACTTCTCTATACAGTATTAGTTAAGACTGATATTTAGGCTTTAGAAGGAAATCTGCAATGTGTGGCCCCATGTTTATTGGTTATCGGTTACAATCTGGGAACTAACACATTTCTAAAAAACAACTATTTAACTCCAATATTTTGGGCTTTATTGTGGCATTTCCTTGTTATCGTTCCAGAATTATTAATTGTATCAATATGTATTAGTGAATAAATGGCAGGGATTGTGATAGAAATGGAAACTTATGAGTTTCACATTTTAGTGAATTAAAATCAGATTGCAACGCATTCACCAATTCTACCAGAACCAACGCATCATACCCTTCGCAGACCTCCCCCAACAGACCCCTCTCACCACACAAGACTTCTTTCGGTACCTACAAATTCGCAGCTTTATCGACAAACCTGCCATACAAAAAGCAAGCATCACTCCCCTCACCCCGCTAGAGAAGGCATGTAACAACCACCCACTCCACAAAGGACAGATATCCTCTATATATTCCCTACTAAGCAGGAGCACACGGGAAGGCTCAATGCCTTATATGGCAGCCTGGGAGAGGGACCTAGGCCCCATAGGGGACCAAAGCAATTGGGCAAACATATGGGAGGCCACTGCAACAATATCGATATGTGTCAATCACAAAGAACAAGCATATAAAACTCTCTTACGATGGTACCTCACTCCACTACGTTTGAAACAAATGAGACAAACCGACAACGACCTCTGCTGGAAGGGGTGCGGGAACAGGGGAACCTTCATACACACGTGGTGGGAGTGCCCTCGGGTAGCCACGGTGTGGCAACATATAGCGCAATTAGCATCACAGGCACTACACACCACTATCCCGATGGACCCATGGCTATGGCTCCTTTCCAGGCCCCTCAGAGACACCCCAAGGGCACACAATAAACTGATAGCCAAACTGGCACTAGCCACTAGGCGAGCGATCGCGGAGAAATGGGGAAGCCCAGACACCCCACCCGTAGATCATACAACAAAAAATTAACGAAACCATGAAAATGGATAAACTTACCGCCCTGGTACATGATACCACCAGACACTTCGACAAAATATGGGAACCATGGATCTTCGAATTCCCAACACTATAAGGCACTTACCGCCAAGGGAGGCACCAGGCGGGGGGTGGCCCCTGGGGAGGAATAACCTCGAAGACCACCCCGGGCACCACACTTCGCCAACTAGGCTGCTTCTTTCCCGGAACCCCTATACCCACAACAAGAGACACCCAAACCGCTCACCCCAACCACACTAGACAAACACAGTCACACCGCTCAACATAAGATCCACCACACACAACCCTCCCTCCCCATCGCACCAAACCGACTGATCCCCCATGAACCGCCCCAACTGCGCCAGCACCAGACCACGGACACTAACCACACAAGAATATACGAAACAATCAATCAGCGCGAACAGGAGCTCTACCCGGAGCACCCCCAACACAGACCACCATCCAGTCGGGGGCCCTAAACGCACCTACCACAAGCACCACACCTCACGAGAAAGACAAGTGGGAACCACTTCCAGACCACCCCCGACAGAAATCACAACCCCGGATACAAAGTGCAAATAACCAATTACGACATAACCAACAGAGGCCACCCACCACACACCACACACAGAACAAGGAACATCTACCATGACCCCGACCAACACACTCTACCCTAGATGTCAGCCCAAGTTGAATCAAACAAAAAACCCACGGGAAGGCCCACAATCGACTTCAGACCAGCAGGGCCCACTCACTAGGGACCCACAAACTAACAGAGGCCACACCAAAAACAAGACATCAGGGGACAACAGGCCTACACACTAGGCAAACAGTCTAAAACCCCCACCAGACCCACTCCCTCTCCTCCCCCCATGCTAACCCTCACTCCCCCCGAAAAGAACCTCATAAACACACCGACCAAACACTGAACCAAACGGCACACTACGCACACAACCATGGAACTTTCGAACCAAAAATGTACGTGTTATAACTGTTGAAACATCAAATACTGCAACACAATGTTATACCTATCTACAAACCAGCTTCAGAACCCTCTCTCGGACTCGAGACCGAAGTCTTACAGCAACAGCGAAGGACAGCAACAGTCACGGAACTAAAACTCTATAACTGCCTTTCCTTTAGGACTGTTTTGTAACGCATCAATGCAACTCACGGTCTCTATGAAAGTATGTTTGATCCCAAGTTCTCTTTTCTGTACCCTAACCCCCATATGACTGAAAATCCAAAATAAAGAATTTATAAAAAAATCTGATTGCAAAAATAGATTTAGAAAAATTCTCAATTTTGCTTATTTTAGCATAAATGTAAACATTTCTTTAACTTCAAGACTTTCAATTCAGTATTTAGAAACAGAAAACCTTGTGAGATTTCTGAATATTAAACCCCTAAAACCAGGGAACCATCCGTCCTTTCAGACTAATAGACAGGAACCCCGAATCAGCATGTTTACTGGGACAGAGACACTTACTTTCATGAACGATTCCAGGAGGTAGTTAATTGTGATCCAGCCATAGGCCCCTTCTTCTTGGCCGCTGATGATGCGAGCGCCCCTGAAATTGAAGGGGTATCTGCTGATCACCTTGCTGACCTCACGCAGGACCTTGTCCGAGGTGGTCGGGTTCTCCAGGCTGAAATGAAATTAATAGGAAGGATGTACAAGGTTTAAGATACTTGGAAACATACCATGTGCTGGAAATATACAGATGAAGATATATTATTGGAGATATAAAAACCTAAACCACATTCAGCTATAATCCAGTGTGTGCGTTCTGCGTTCCAGCCTGTTATCGTGAGGAATGAGGTACTCTGTGTAAAGGACACAATAAATCCCAGAAGAAGTGGTCTAACAGGCAGCCATGGGATGTACCTGAGGAGTCTCATTCCAGCTGTGGCCCCTAAATAGACCGGCGCCTCTCTCTGGCTTTGTGAGGGTATAATGGCCATGGCTTCATCTAGACAAGCCACCAGAGACTGTGCAGCGGCAGGTGGGTCCTCGGCGTAACTGGAGATCCCGGGACCTGGAAGATCAAAATTTATTAACTAAAAACCACAAAAAAAAAAAAAAAAATTATTCTCTATAATAATAGCCACGTTATGGGCTTCTGGATTTTTGACTACTGGTTACAAATCGTGGCCAGAGCGTCTATTCACTGAACTTGGGAAGAACGGACAAGGAAACTTGCCAAAATCAGAATGGGGGGGAATGCTCTGCTAAATGGACCTAAAATGCCCCGTTCCACTGCAATTATATTTTCCCTGTAGATTTAACTAAATAGCGAATTGTAGTGAAAATAAAACCCACTATTGAATATAGTTTGCAGTTGGTTTGCTGTTTGCTGCAATTTACTGTCTAGTGAATGAACTTTTACCCTGAAAGTAATCCGTTAAAGTTAAACAATCGCTAAATAAGAACATTGCTCGCCTCTCTGATAAACGCTGGAATGTTATCCACACAGAAAAAATCCAGGATTCCAGTGCAACGCATTCACATGTTGTATTTTAAGACTCTGTGGGATTCGTTCACCTAAAATGCTGTGGTGAATTAAAAACCAAATCACATAATGCAGGCCAGAGTAGCGGGGCTGTGTCACTAGCCGGGGGACTACTTTGCCTTCTGAATTGTTCCTCCTCCTGACAAATGGTCGCGTTTAAGTCAATCTCCACTTCCTTTATTAAGTTCCACATTCTCTCGGTCCGTCCTCCGTCTGCCCCCAAACGGCTGTTCAGCAGCCGACACGGGTTGGAATTACATTGCGGGGCAGAGTATTGGCCGATGAAGGCAGAGAAAATATGTCACAGCCAAGATCATCAAAATGGAGGCGCATGGCAATGGATCCAGTGCCACCAACAAGAATACATTTTAAACCAAATTTAAAAACAACAAAACAAAAATGGGGGACCAGAGTAAATCGTTTTCTAATTAGTTTTTTCATTTCAGTGTATTTCAGGGTTTGGTGAATGATCCCCCTATTTACTGAGTGACTTCTGAAGGGCCACTAAATGGCTCCATTTCATCATCTTATCTTGTAACAGTTTCTGCACAGAGCTCCATCCCGTGTAACACATTTTTTGGGATTTCCCATGTTTTACAGCTAAATAGGGCGATACAAATACTCTATTTATTGTCTTTTTACAGCCAATGTTAAAATACACTATTTTTCTTTCTCTTTTTTTCTGAATTTGACCCATTTTATATATTACATGACTTAGTGCTGTAACGCTCCCAGCTGTGAGGCTTTCGAGGATGGACATTTCACTGCGTTGATGTAATATTCTGGGAAGCTGGTTCGATGGTCGGTTTGGGTTTTTATTTTTTTTCACTTTGCCATTTATTCTCTAAACAGTGCATTGTGGTAAAATGAAAACCAAATGGCAAAATTCAGGTTAGCCAATCTATGACTATATAAAGTCAGTGGCATTTTCCTAAAAAATTATTATTATTATTATTTTTTTAATATTTCCCCTAAATTTCACAATTTTCTTTTCTGAGCTGCATGTTTAACCCATTTGGCTGTGGAATACAAGGTTTGTGAATGGCACCTACCTTTGACGTCACAGACATGCGCCTGGCTCACCACTCCTGTGTTATTCTGTTTGTCCGTCGGCCATTTGTAAATAAACAGTGATGTGTGCGAGGAGCCGGCGTCGAATACCATTCCATACTGCGTGGAAAAAGAGATGAGAAGAAAGATATTTTACAAGTACAGGTGATACTCGAAAAATTTGAATATCAGGCAAAAGTTCATTGATTTCTGTAACGCAACGTAAAAGGGGAAACTAATATATAAGATAGACGCATTACATGCAAAGCAAGATAGTTCAAGCCGTGATTTGTCATAAGTGCGATGATTATGGCTTACAGCTCATGAAAACCCCAAATCCACAATCTCAGTAAATTAGAATATTGTGAAAAGGTGCAATATTCTAGGCTCACAGTGTCACACTCTAATCAGCTAAGTAAGCCATAACACCTGCAAAGGGTTTCTGAGCCTTTAAATGGGCTCTGTCTGGTTCAGTAGGAATCACAATCATGGGGAAGACTGCTGACCTGACAGTTGTGCAGGAAACCATCATTGACACCCTCCATAAGGAGGGAAAGCCTCAAAGGTAATTGCAAAGGAAGTTGGATGTTCCCAAAGTGCTGTATCAAAGCACATTAATAGAAAGTTATGATGAAGGGAAAAGTGTGGAAGAAAAAGGTGCACAAGCAGCAGGGATGACCACAGCCTGGAGAGGATTGTCAGGAAAAGGCCATTCAAAAGTGTAGGGGACTTTCACAAGGAGTGGACTGAAGCTGGAGTCAGTGCATCAAGAGCCACCACACACAGACGGATCCTGGACATGGGCTTCAGATGTCCTATTCCTCTTGTCAAGCCGCTCCTGAACAACAAACAATGTCAGAAGTGTCTTACCTGGGCTAAAGAAAAACAGACCTGGTCTGTTGCTCGGTGGTCCAAAGTCCTCTTTTCTAATGAGAGCAACTTTTGCATCTCATTTGGAAACCAAGGACCCAGAGTCTGGAGGAAGAATGGAGAGGCACACACTGCAAGATGCTTGAAGTCCAGTGTGAAGTTTCCACAGTCTGTGTTGATTTGGGAGCCATGTCATCTGCTGGTGTTGGTCCACTGTGCTTCATTAAGTCCAGGGTCAACGCGGCCGTCTACCAGGAGATTTTGCACTTCATGCTTCCTTCCGCAGACGAGCTTCATGGGGATGCTGACTTCATTTTCCAGCACCAACACTGCCAAAAGCACCAAAGCCTGGTTCAATGACCGTGGGATTACTGTGCTTGATTGGCCAGCAAACTCGCCTGACCTGAACCCAATAGAGAATCTATGGGGCATTGCCAAGAGAAAGATGAGAGACATGAGACGAACAATGCAGAAAAGCTGAAGGCCGCTATTGAAGCATCCTGGTCTTCAATAACACCTCAGCAGTGCCACAGGCTGATAGCTTCCATGCCACACAGCACTGATGCAGTAATTGCTGCAAAAGGGGCCCAAACCAAGTACTGAGTCCATATGCATGGTTATACTTTTCAGAGGTCCGATATTGTTCAATGTACCCTCCTTGTTTTATTGATTGCATGTAATATTCTAATTTACTGAGATTGTGGATTTGGGGTTTTCATGAGCTGTAAGCCATAATCATCGCACTTATGAAAAATCACGGCTTGAACTATCTTGCTTTGAATGTAATGTGTCTATCTCATATATTAGTTTCCCCTTTTACGTTGCATTACTGAAATAAATGAACTTTTGCCTGATATTCAAATTTTTCGAGTATTACCTGTATAGCTCCTCTCCCCATGAGATCCGACTTCTCACTAACACACGATTCCAGGATACTTCCCTTCCTTCCAAAAAGTCTGACCCCATCCCTTGTATCTAACCCTATATGTGCAAAAAGAATAGCTTAACTAAAACCCACCTAGAAGTCTGGACTCCGTGTGTGCTGTTTTATTATAATCCAGGAATTAATGGCAAATAAGAGCCACTATCGAGTCTGCCCATTTATCTTATTTGGCCTTTAATGTTTGTCATTTTTTATTGAAATGTCATGTATCTGATTATATTTGTGTGTTTTATTGATTGTTCTGTCTTTCTCCCATTTTTTTTGTTTTATTTTCCCCTCTGCGTGCTCTCTCTAAATAGTTGTATCCTTTTCGAATTGAAGTCTGTCTACCATAAACAAACATGACATTTCCTCAGGGTGCCATTGATTATCACAGGCATGGATCCTATTGGATACCATAACCTGTGGGAACTCCATGTCAGGAAGTGTATTCAATGTATCCAGAGAGATTTTATATGTGGAGGTTCCACAGGGGCGGTATTACCTTCTCCCCAGGGGGCGGGGTTACTTCAACATTATTAGCCAATCTCAGGATAAGGGCGAGTATAATGGAAATGAGAGAGGCCGCCAGGAGCACCAGCAGGTAGGTATGCTTGGACTCAGACCCCATCTTGGAACCCTAAAATAAGAAATAACAGATATTAGGAGCACAAATTACTAAGGATGATATATGAGTAATTGTTCTTTTATTAAATTGTTCTGCAGTACAGATTATTTGATTTGGGAAATAAACTGAGTTATTCGCTAAGGTGAGAATTGTCTTTGCCCAGTTTCACTAATTCACTTTGAATTCCTGACAATCCTAATTTTTAATGAATAGCCCTGTACAGACGTCCATAAACTGCTCTCTCCTTAATCCCTATGTACATTTAGACAAATGGAGGTCATTTAGTTGCTCCAATGGCCATTGGAAGGGTCAGTGTAGGACCCACTTTAGTGGGGTCTGCCTTGACGTTGGCAGGCGGGCATTGCCTCCAATGGCCATTGGAGCAACTAAATGACCTCTGTTTGTCTAAATATACATAGGGATTAAGGAGAGAGCGCAGGTAACTTTTTCTTTTCTTTGTGTTTTACTATATATTGGGGCTGATGTGTACTGTAGTCATTGCTGCCGGCCCAGTAGTGATGGGAGTGAGTGCAGGACTTATCTTTTTGTATTTGCATAAACTGCTTTTCCCTAAACAGTGGACATGCATCATGGGACATGTAGTTCAGACATCTGCAGTGCCGAGGACAGCTGTGTCTGATCTGTACACCTGCTACCAATTACCCTTAAAGTACGTCTAGCCATATGTGCCTAAATCACAGGGGTTGAGAGATAACAAGTAGGAGGCAAATGTCTCATTGCCATGTTGTAATTCAAGGAATCTGACCTGTGAACTCTGCCCTTGCAGTACCACTGGGCACTGGCCACTGGGGTGTTTCTTGCTCTGCAGTAGCTGTATTGGCCAAGCGATGCAGATGTATAACTGTCTTGTAATATCATGTGTTATTTAATGACATTTTTCGGTTAGTTAGACGAGATGTGTCTGAGCGACATACTCCGCTTGCCTTCTGCCTGGAGTTCACTAGCCTGTCCTTGTAACAATGCACATTCATATAAAGAGCCCAAAGTAAAGTCCATACATGTAAATGTGCAATATCTTTTTTTTTTTTTTTTTTTTACACAAACACGTTGTACTCGCACGGGACACTTAGAAATTTTACTTAGCCCATTTTGTGCGGGTTATTTTATAATGCCGTTCTGTTTCTGGGTCCCATTTTGTGCGGGTTATTTTATAATGCCGTTCTGTTTCTGGGTCCCATTTTGTACGGGATATTTTATAATGCCATTCCCTGTTTCTGGGTCCCATTTTGTGCGGGTTATTTTATAATGCTGTTCCCTGTTTCTGGGTCCCATTTTGTACGGGTTATTTTATAATGCCATTCCCTGTTTCTGGGTCCCATTTTGTGCGGGTTATTTTATAATGCCGTTCTGTTTCTGGGTCCCATTTTGTACGGGATATTTTATAATGCCATTCCCTGTTTCTGGGTCCCATTTTGTGCGGGTTATTTTATAATGCTGTTCCCTGTTTCTGGGTCCCATTTTGTACGGGTTATTTTATAATGCCATTCCCTGTTTCTGGGTCCCATTTTGTGCGGGTTATTTTATAATGCCATTCCCTGTTTCTGGGTCCCATTTTGTACGGGTTATTTTATAATGCCATTCCCTGTTTCCGGGTCCCATTTTGTGCGGGTTATTTTATAATGCCATTCCCTGTTTCCGGGTCCCATTTTGTGCGGGTTATTTTATAATGCCATTCCCTGTTTCTGGGTCCCATTTTGTGCGGGTTATTTTATAATGCCGTTCCCTGTTTCTGGGTCCCATTTTGTGCGGGTTATTTTATAATGCCGTTCTGTTTCTGGGTCCCATTTTGTGGTTGTTAATGTGAAGTCACTAATTCGCCCAAGACGTGCGAGATCAGGTGACTGTGGTAAGGGTGACTGCTGTGATATCTGAGAATTCTTATTTCTATGCATTTATAGGGCAAGATTTCAAAATGACCTCTGGCATTAAATGGAAGTAAGGATCTGAAATTAGCTAAAGTACTCCATTTACACAAAAGGGTTAAAATATGAATTATAAATCTCATAGAAATTAATATAGATTACTTTATGTTAACCTCTAGAATTTAATGGGTTATTAATAAAAAAGTAATTCTGGGGCAAAATTCTCAAAGTGAACAAATGGAATGTTCCTGTGAATTCCTCTAATTTTGGAACTTTGCCCCAAAATGTCTTCTCAAAATCAAAAATGTTAATTTCTGATTATTTTTTTTTTAATTTATTTTGTAAAATGTAAAAAATTATAATAATAATAATTCTCTACACATGTATTTATTTTCCCAGACCTCCCATGAATGTGGGAAGCAAATAATGAATTCTGTGGCCTATCAGCCGTGTCCAAATAGACCATCAGTCTTGGTAAAGGATGGAAATGGATTTGTTTTAGTTGGGATTTTTTGATGACATTTCAGTGCTGTACATACGGTACAACGTTCATTATTTATACAGCAGCTCTGGAGTCTGTGCTTTCATGTGGTGCAGTTTGTCATTCTTATCGCCTCCGCCTTCCTTTATTGCTGTGGAGCTCTGTTACACACTCAGACACATTACTGGGAGTATTATTGCTGTGGAGCTCTGTTATACACTCAGACACATTACTGGGAGTATTATTGCTGTGGAGCTCTGTTATACACTCAGACACATTACTGGGAGCATTATTACTGTGGAGCTCTGTTATACACTCAGACACATTACTGGGAGTATTATTGCTGTGGAGCTCTGTTATACACTCAGACACATTACTGGGAATATTATTGCTGTGGAGCTCTGTTATACACTCAGACACATTACTGGGAGTATTATTGCTGTGGAGCTCTGTTATACACTCAGACACATTACTGGGAGTATTATTGCTGTGGAGCTCTGTTATACACTCAGACACATTACTGGGAGTATTATTGCTGTGGAGCTCTGTTATACACTCAGACACATTACTGGGAGTATTATTGCTGTGGAGCTCTGTTATATACTCAGACACAACAGCAATATGGAGCTCCTAGAAAAGAGGGACATTAGGAGAGAATACAGGGACAGAGAGATTTGGGCTAAAACGGGACTGTCCTTCCTATAGTGGGACACTTGGGAGGTATGTAAAGGGCTAAAGGTTTTACAATATAGAGCTTGGGTATTAGTTAATTTGTATTTACCTGTTTAAGGTCACACAGTGGATGCACAAGGAATGAATGGTTGTTGGCAAAGTATAATGATATGAGTTGTGCAGAGTGTATCGTGGTACAGTTTGTAAAGGATGATCGGTTTTTAGTAGATCATGCTTAATCTGAAATTCTTGCATGTAGGCAGCCATTTTGTCTGTATAAGACACACCCCTCTGCGCTTGCAATCATGTGGCCTGTTTACATACAGCACGATGACATCCTTAGTTTTTAGCTAACTGAAGTACTTAATGTGTGAAGAGTGTGTCCTCTTAATTTCATTTTACACAATGTGCAGATTTCAATAGAAATTGACACTTTTATAAATTAACCTTGTCACACCCCCTGGCTGTCAATCAGATACCCAGTCCTGTTACTTCCTGGTTTATTTAGCTCAGTGGAGATAAATTCAAGAGGCAGCAATTGCCCAGAGCACCTGCCTCATAAAGACTACTCATTGATCTGCATTGGGAAGTCTGTGATTGGACAGACACAGAAAGTCTGGGCGGAGTTAGAAGGGGAGGGCTTGCAAAGGCTGCAGACAAGAGAACTGCATGTTTTGCAAGCTGTTAGACATCACTCCTATTAAAAAAAAATACATATTTAAATGCATGCATGTTTAATTGGGCGCATATCTACTAAACAGTAAGCAGTAAGTGTCCCTTTAAGACATGGCCTCCCCTTCCTAGTGCCTAGTGTCTCTCTTATTCCCGGAGAGATGAAAGTAAAGACATTTCTGCACGTGCAGGGACTCCTACTTTCCACTCTGTGCATTAGCTGCAGAGAGCCTACAAGTATGACCCCTGCAGGAGTCCTGCGCATGCAATGGCGACTTCATAGGGAAAACAGGCTGCATCCCCTTCAGTTATTTTATTTATGTTCCTTTTAAACATTGACCGGGTTGTTTGTTCCAAAACAGCCCACATTTTGCAGACAAGTAAAATTTACCATAGAACAGGTAGGAAACCTATAATCACCCATGACAGGTGCATTCTGTTTTTAGGTATGTAGAGAGGGATCTCTTAAAGGACTTTAGGCTGGGGGAAGATTTTAAAGTGTGCGGGAGGTCGTTCCACAATTGCGGCTCTCTGTAGGAGAAGGAGGATCGGGCCGCTTTCTTTTTGTATTGAGGTAGAATAAATAAAGTGCTGCTACTGGATCGGAGGCTATAGGAGGTGGGAACAGCCAAGGAAAGCATTGTGTTCAGGTAGGGTGGGAGTTTTCCAGAAAAGCTCTTAAACACAATGCTGGATAGATGAAGAGTGCGTCTGGATTCCAGTGACAGCCAGTTTATTTCTTTTAGCATGTCACAATGGTGGGTCCTGTAATTACATTGTAGCACAAATCGGCAGATCGAGTTATACAATGTGTTGAGTTTATTAATGTGGGAATTCAATGCAGATGCATATACTACATCCCCATAATCAATGATTGGCATCAGCATTTGTTGTACAATCTTTTCCTTTACTGTAGGGCTTAGGCAGGATTTGTTTCTGTACAGGGCACCTAATTTTGGATAAAGCTTAGATGCAAGCTTTTCTATGTGCAGGCCAAAAGATAGATTGGGGTCTAACAACATACCCAAGTATTTGAAAGAGGGGACTGCAGTCAGTGAGCCATTTGAATTTGTTTTGATGGATAGGTGGGAATTGTGAAATTTGTGTAGTTTAGGTACTGTTCCAAAGATCATTGTGACAGTTTTGTCAGTGTTTAGGAAGAGTTTGTTTTTTGCGATCCACTTTTCTACCTCTGTAAACTGGTCTTGGAGCACAGCCTCCAAGCTGCGGTAGATGGGATTTGCTCGCATAGATTACCGTGTCATCTGCGTACATGTGTACATTTGAGGATTGGCAGACATTAGGCAGATCATTTATAAATAATGTAAATAGTAGGGAGCTGAGAATGGAACCTTGGGGAACACCACACGTAACTGGGAGAGGGAGGGAGTCGCTGTCAGAAATGGACACATATTGCGAGCGATTCGACACATATGATTGAAACCAGGTTAGCGAACGATCACCAATACCTGAGTTTTTGAGTTTGTGCAGTAGAATGTCGTGGTCTACTGTGTCAAAGGCCTTTGCAAAATCAAGGAAAATAGCTCCAGTTAGGTCTCCTTGTTCCATGCCAGTTTGGATGTCATTGCAAACTCTTAAGAGGGCAATTGTAGTGGAGTGATTCTGGCGAAAGCCCGATTGATCAGGGGTCAGGTAGTCTGATTGTTGGTAGTACTCACAAAGTTGCGTATGGACACATTTTTCTAAGATTTTTGACAATACTGGGAGCAAGGATATTGGGCGATAGTTAGAAACCGAAGTAGTGTCCCCGCTTTTATGGATAGGCACTACTCTCGCAGTCTTCCAAAGTTTGGGAATGTATCCAGACACCAAGGATTCGTTAATTAGAGTTGCGACGGGTTTAGAATTGCCGGTGCACTGAGCTTCAACAGCATTGCTGGGATTTGATCAGGTCCAGACTGGTTTTTCATTTTTAGATTATTAAGGTGTTTCTTAATGACACTAATAGGTAAAGGTCTAAAAATGAACTTGTCTATATTGGGCCTTTGCAAATTTAGTGGGGCCTGATCCACATTTGTAGTTTCAGGATGCGTGTCATTTATTAGCTTAGCAATCAGGGCAGTAGAGCATCCGACAAAATAATTGTTAAAGGCATTTGCTACATCTAAGGGGGCATTTGCTACATCTAAGTACTTTATAGGTGAACATTTTATTCATATGGCTGATTACTAGACCTATAACCAGCCGTATTGGAGTTATTCCTGTTTAGCAATGGAGTCTATAAATCATTTTCCAAAGTATCACTAAAAACTTTATCAAACTGTTGCACATACATATATTAATATAACTCCGCCATGTTTATAAAATAACAATCAATATTTGTAGAAGATTGCCAGCATGGGACACATATAGAAAGAGTATTTTATTTTTGTCACTAGTTAATTATAAACCTAATTTTTCACTAAACCGTGACCTGCAGTCAACATCAATCTAACGCCTTTAACCATTTTATAGTCTTTTCCAAATGAATCAAACCTGTTGGAAAAACTTTTCAAACTGTTTATGTACAAAAATTCCCGTAGAGTTTAATGGTGACGGTAGAAGATAAAGAGTTTAGATCGTTTATCCAAAGGAATTCAATCGAAGATGTTGAAAGATTATTTTTCTGTCTCTGCTGTTTTTTAGGCTAAATTTGTAAATGTGTAATTTTACCAAAACTCGCTGTTTAGTGAATGATTCTGACTCTGTCACGTCCCCAGGTGACTGACTGAAAATCTACACCATCACCCCAGATTTCTTGTAACCCACGTACGAAGGATGGCGAGAAGGTAACGCGAGAAAACTTTACATTTTCTTTATCAGAAAACTGTGAAAATGTAAACGCACAGTAACGGTATAAATAGACTTTCAGAACTTCCTACAGAATAGTAAAACAAGATTTGACAAAAAAAATTCCATGAAGAAACCGTTTAATTACTGAATACAGTAATAGAATCCCTCCGTTACTTGGGGGTTTGTCTACTAAACAATGAATTGCGATAAGTTCACAACCCACTCCCCAAATGTAAGCTGAAATCAGCCGCTCTGGGGGTCTGAATCATAGTGAATTAAACATGAAGTGCAAAAGTCTGACTACAATAGGCGGTGATGATATATTTTTAATTTAAGTTATATAAAATAGTTTTTCCAAATCTGCTATTTTGGACTGACTTTTCAGTTTACCACAATTTGCAATTTAGTGATGTGTGTATGTAACCAGTGAAGATGTTATGAGGTAACCCTGGGGATACTGGGGACACTAGGACTCTTGCGGTGATCATAGGGACACTGGAGCACTGGAACCTTGCAGGGAGCTCTGTGAGCAGTAACCATGGGAACACTGGAGTTCTGGGAACCTTGTAGGGAGCTCTGTGAGCAGTAACCATAGGGACACAGGAGCACTGGGAAAATTGCAGGGAGCTCTGTGAGCAGTAACCATAGAGACACAGGAGCACTGGGAACCTTGCAGGGAGCTCTGTGAGCAGTAACCATGGGAACATGGGAGCTCTGGGAACCTTGCAGGGAGCTCCCAGTAACAGACACTGATACATTGTTTACAAGCATTGATTAATAATGGCATATTTTTCTCAGTCTGAATTCCCAGCATTGGTAGACCTATAATTCCCATGACGCTCAGCAAACCTGAAGACAAGCAAACCAATAGGGGATTTGTAGTTCAGTAATAGATGGTGACCCCTGCTGCAGAGATCAATAACCATCCATCCATCATTAGAACAACTAAGACAGAAACTCACATTTCAGTGGGGAACCCCTTCTGCAGCAATGAAGGACTTCACATGATATTGTTTAACCCCTCACTGACCATATGACAGGCAGATCCCTTGCTAACATGACATATCATTGGTCATTAAAGGGTTAAGTAGGTCTCCAGTCTACAAAGATCCTGCCAGGTTTTGCTAATGAAAGAGTATTGGAGCATACCATTGCTACATACCTTTATCCAGATTTTGGCAGTGGAGCCAGGCTGTTCCTTACTCTGCAGGAGTGCACTCACAATGAGAATCAGGCAGAGGAGGAGAGCTCTTTATTTACAGAATTTAAATTCTCCCTCCCCCTATCCTTTCACTCTCTGTACCTTCATGCATCTGGTATCTTACTTAGATAATTCTGACTGTTCAGGGTCCTCTTCCCTAAGCCCATGCAATATGATACAGATGTGGGGTGCAGTAAATATATGCGTGTAAAGATTCTGGTCGACGGAAATTGGGGGGCCTCTTCCTAATTTATGTCACCAGATGTTTCCAGTGAAGCGGCTTGTAGAGGTCGAACTGTACTTTTAAATCAAAGGTTTGAGGTTGTGTTTGTGTGTGTATGTTTGTGTGCGCGTGTTGTGTTTGCATGCGTGTTGTGTTTGTGTGTGCATGCGTGTTGTGTTTGTGTGTACACACTACCTTTACTGGATCACCTGTTTTTTCTTGGAGCAGCACTTGTTTGGCACTGTTGTGCAGTTCATGAAAAGCGATCCCTGGCAGAATGTTCAATTCATATGTTGCAGGAGGGGAACCAGAGGGACCTGTCGTGTTTAATGAATTCCATTTCTTCCTCATGTTAACCAGGCAGCCCTTTTCATGCGCTCGCCATAAAGAAACGTTCCTTGTCCAAGAACACCTCTAGAAATCAATGAGTTTTCCAGAAAAGGATCATTACCCCTCTGGGCCCCAGGCAATTTACTAGTTTGGGGCCCCAGGCAAATTACTAGTTTGGGGCCCCTCTTCAGTCTTCACATACGGTTGTGGCCAAGCAAATTCATTGTTCCGAGTCCCCTATCTAACCATTGGGCCCTAGGCGGCTGCCTATGGTCGCCTTATCCTGCTCTGGACTTCTCAAGAATCAGTCTTGCAATGGGACCAGAATACCATTTACTTGCTAGCATTAATAGCAGCCCACACCAGTAATCTGGCAAAATCATATCCTGTCCGAGGGACACCAGTAATACCCCGGCTGTGCTAATTTTGAAAATCTAATTTAATTATTTTAAATCAAAAGTATTTATTTTTAACCCCTTTACTGGGGTCCCGAAGGGGTTTCCTCCGCTATTGTCAGTGGGCCAGCATTGGTTGGAATAAGACACACAATAAACAGGTCACTGGCCTTGCCCCAGCTTATGAATACCCTCTGATACAGGGTAGTTTTGCAGGATTATTACACTATCAATATCACGACTATAATACATGGTCTCGCAGCTCCCTGGCCAAGTCGGGTTGAGTCACCACTGCATTGAGATGAAATGGTCTGGGTGACATTAGTGGCCACCATTGGGCATCGAAAGACGTTACACAGTAAATTGAAAACCAAACCACAAACCTTGTGCTAATATTGGTGATCTGAAGAAATTCCCTAGTTCTGTTCTAGTCAAACCCTGAATATTTTAGTCTGAATTCTGGAATGTAGTTTTTCTATTGTGGAGTGTATTTAATCCAGGTGACAGGCTGTCCAGCTGGGCTTCCACATTACCTGTTCCTTTAGAATACGTGTATGAACTTACAATGCCCTGAATTTAACTCTAAGGGCACAGTGAGCGTGGTGAGACGTGCATTCTCTCAGTACTGGGTGACAGAGCCAGCCTTGTCGGGGGGCGGGTGGGCGGAGGGGGCTGGGAGGACTGAGGGAACATCAGGCGTCAATTAGCCGTATGTTTAATTATAAGGTGAAGATTAATATCAGATATTCCGGGCTCTGATGGAAATATGATTATTATTGGCAACATATTCGGCAGAGCTTTTCACTGATAGAAAGGGTGATATTAGATCTAGAGATTGTCCTGTTTAAACAAGCTTATAATCTATGAGGCTTTGAGGTAGCTGGATATATATCGTTGGGTGTCTTGCCCAGAGAAAACTAGTGAGATGGTCTAACAGGGATTTGAACCTGTACCGGTCGATTTACGCGATAATTGGGGTTTGGCTCAAATTGCTTCAGAGAGATGTTGGCTAGACTGATGGCCATTGCTTCACATGGCACATTGCGTTATGGTGGACAACCGGAAGAAATTATCCTCTAAATTGTATTACTGATTTATTGCACTCTTTGAAAATGTATCGCAGAATGAACTAAATGGATCCAGAGATAGTTTTATAGAGATTTTTTTTAAAATTTAGAAGCACACCTTGGCACCTACCTGTTTGATAGGAGGGGAAATAATCTGAGTTTGGTAGAGAATTGTAGAAATGTGGGAGAGTTCGAGCTACGTCTGGTGAGAAAAGGTCAATGTGATAAAGAGAATTTATGAATACAGCAATGGGCACCAGGTTGGACCTTTAGTAACGATCAGGAGATCTGCATGATTTGCAAGTCAAGGTCAAGGGTTTCTTGAAGTAATAAAAGCTCCTGGTTGGAAATCATCTTCATTCATTCTATAAATATACAAAGTTTTAGCGAAGTCCTTGAGAAATTCTTTCAACGACTGGTCTGGAACCGATATGGCTGCACCCCACAGACCATGGGAGGGCTTTAACAATAAATCTAAAGTGTAAATGTACAACCCAATAATACACCCAAAATACAGAGGGGATATGGCAAGTCACAAAATCCAGTGCTGGCAACCACTCGCTTTCATCTTCAAGTGAAATAGAAAAATACTTACTGGCTCTACTCCTCCTATCGGTTAAAAGGGGTAAGAAATCTGTAAAGTAATATCACTTTTATTCAATAACGTTCCTTATCTTCCGTCTCAGAAATGGACACTTGGATAAATATCGTATATAGGAAAAAAGAGTGACTGTACTTACTATCTGTGGATTATCTTGTTAAACCTGGCAAGATATAATGTTGTTTTAGCATTATGTTATCGCTATACCAAAAACTCCACTACCTAATAACATTGAAATTGGCATATTGGCCTACAGATATTCTTCTTAGGATGACTTTTTACAAGTTGCATTACAGTGATCATCAACAGGGATGATAAGTTAGTCTAGACTTTTATGGATGACATAGACCATCATATATGTGATTCTGATTGTTGATTTATACAAAAGTGGATTACTTATTCATGTTTCAATTTACTATAATAAGGGTTACATTAGACTTGCAATCCATATTATAAGATATTTATTTATCTATAAGTTCACCTGATGATTAGATTATATTGGCATTAGACAATCAGACCTGTTTCTAACTATGCCGATTTTGGAGATCACCATCTAGTCTGGCTACTTTTCATCTTTTTGAGTCATCTCGACCACCGTACTCACTTACATGCCCTGATTCTATCAGTAACCAATTAGATTCAGGGGCGGGCTTTTTAAACCCGGGAAAGTGGTGAATGAGTTCCCCCTGATGAGCCTCTAACTCAAGGCGAAACGCGCGTGGGGGCTCGATATGTGCCACTCTACTGTTATATTCTAGCTCGGTCTTCTGTGTTTTCGGGCACCTTCATTTTACGTGGCGGACTTGGACCATGGGCTACATCTAATAGCTACATCTAATAGCCATTGAGGCACCCGATGAATCTAGTTGGCTGACAGCCATCTGGGCATCACAGATAGACGAGTGACTGATCAGGGTGTTAGGAGCAGTATGATTTAGCAATTATACCATCTTATTTTCTGCTAATATAATGTCTCTATACTAGGTGCCCACGAAGGCACCTTTCCAATCATTTCATACTATATCTTGATATCTTATTATCATCAATGTGATTACGGACACAGATTATGGAGTTCGTTTGTGGGTGTACCTATATCTGTAACACTATCTTTGTATAGATCATAGTAATCTTTTGTTATACTCATTACTTTATTCTTATGTAAATTATATTAAATATGCCCTTGACTTAGTGGCCGGAGGATAAAGTTAATATTAGCAGGTAGGATATTCATATGCTCTCATCATAGACTAAGTGGTTTCGGACTGTCTTTTTGAGCAGCAGTCCCTCTAGTTATTTTGTACGGCTATTTTATATCGCAGTGGATTCACTGTTACTATATGGAGACAACATCGCATCGGATTTGGGATTTCTCCTTGATACATTGTTGCTTACTAGACGATCTATGCTGCATATTTAGAGGGTATCTGTTTCCAAACTAACTAGATGATTCTATTGGGATCTATTATTGTATTCCCTAAGACAGGGGTAGGCAACCTGGCACATGTGCCATGCACGGCACTCAAGGTGTCTTTGCACGGCACTCAAGGCTTGCTCTGGCCTATCAGGAGACCCAGTGAAACTTCAGATATCTGCTAATATGAAAAGGTGGTGAAGGACAATCCTCAATTTATGCATTGCAGCACATAGAGGAAGTGATCACAGATTGCTTAATTCCAGCACTTGTGAATAGGAATCCACACTGGAGTACAACAGCCCTCAGCTGCTGTTGCAGCTCCGGTCCTTGACCTGTACCTGGTCAGCCTGGTCCCCACTGGACCCCAGGGAAGCCACCCACACTGCTAGATATACAGAGAGCTGCAGAATAACCCTCACCTCATACAAATAATACGAACAGCCCACACACAAACGTACAATCCGCACAGACGTAACACCACTAACAATCCACATACATACACACAAACCCACATGCAGTCTCTCACATGCAATACCCCAAACAGTCCCACACATACACACACTACCAAACACACAATGTGACATGTCCATCCACACACAATTCCACAAGCAGCCCCTATACACAGCCCACATTCATAGGGACACGATACCACAAACTACTCATGAACATATACAATATAATAGCTCATATACGCACAAATACAACAATACAAAGCAACTGCAGTATAAATAACACAAGCAGAATACGGCAACATGCACACCTCAATTTAAAAAAATAGGACCGGCACGCTACGGGACATCACAATCCTATATCGGCACAGTGCTGCTAAAAGCTTGCCTACCCCTGCCCTAAGACACGGATTGATATCGCTATGGCGATCTTTTCTACTTAGTCTTGTCTTATTGATATGTTATTGAGATATGTTTAATCTTTTCATTTTTTATTCATTTCTTATTTTGTACTCTTTTGCTTGTACTGCCGAAATCGATTCTTTTACTGAGTCAGGCAGTCATAGCCAGGGTTTATTAAGTATCTTCTAGATTTTTAACCAATTATCATTTATTTCAACTGAATGTTATGACAGCAATAGTTGGAACAGAGTTCTGTTTTTCCTCGCTTTATAACCAATTTTTATAGAATTACCCCTTATCTGTTCCTATAGATTTTTGGGATATTGATTGTTTGGCCACCTCTCATTAATTAGGAAAAAAGAGTGACTGTACCTTTAAAAGCCAATCCTACATAAATAAAATGTAAAGTGTAAACTGGGAGCGCCTTAGTTACCCTGGCACGATCTCCCTAGCTATAAACTACTTACTGGAACCACTTCTAATCCTCTCTTTGTGCGCAGCCTGTGTATTGTGACACTGTGCAGAGTGCTGTACATTGACGGCAATCACATTACACACAGTCAACGGGAAAACGACGGCAATCACATTACACACAGTCAGCGTGACAAACAACGGCAATCACATTACACACAGCCAACGGGACAAACGACGGCAATCACATTACACACAGCCAATGGGACAAACTGCAAAAACTGAAATAGGGATGGTAATCCAAATATAATCATTCTGTAAAAAAGGCAAATATAGGACACTGATCTGAAGGTTGAGCAATTCCCGTGTAAACTAATTGATCAGATATTTGATTGTTTGAATAAGATACTCTGTGCTCTGATCTTTTGTTCTGCATTTCTATCCCTTTAAATACGCACAGTAAGATTCCATTATCTCTCTAAAGTACAGCCATTCTGGGGGCGATCCATCGAAGTATCACCAACACTTTCACTAGTGCTTTTCATTAAAGTTTTGGAGCAATTTATTAAATCTGTTTGTTTTTTTTCATGACTAACAGATTTTATCTTTTGTTTTGTTTTTGTTTTGTTTTGTTTTTCACACTTTTTCTTAAACAAGTGTTCGTTTCGGTTCTGGTTTTATTTCCAACGTAACGTTGGTTTCTTCTGTAAATCTGTAGACTAGAAAGTAATGTGAAAACAGGCAATATTTACTAAGAAAACCATTACTTTAGTAAATACTATGAAATAGTGGGGAAGTTATCACTTTTCACAATGTCAGTAAACGTGTGCGCAATAGGAATACGAGTTAAGGGGAAAGAAGCATTGTTCTGAATTATTTCATTATTTTGCTTGATTGAATCATTTTTAGACTAGCTGGCTTGCTCGATAATGTACATTTTTGTAAATTGATCAATTACATTTGCGAGCAGGTTAGGCAGCGATGGGAGCAGCTTTAATCACCGAATAAAGGAAATATGAGAAGATATTTTTACTAAAGTTCAGGAGGGGATTTTGTGAGTGACTCATGGAATTGGGGGAAACACAGTGACACGAACCTCGATGACAGAATCTTTTATATAAACTCCACATTCAGCAAAATCCAAATATCTCAAACTAGTTATCAATTCAAACAGTATTACAGCACAATTCCCCTAAACTAAATAAATGAAAAATAGACGGTATGTTCATTATTATGACTAGTTGTTGTAGCTGTTATTTTTATTTTTTTAAAGAAGTTAGCCAGCTTTTTGCCAGTTAGATCATCTCTACCCGAGCAACACACTCACTGCAGCTCCCACACCTCCTATAACCCACACTACCTGAGCAGCACACTCACTGCAGCTCCCCACACCTCCTATAACCCACACTACCTGAGCAGTACACTCACCTGAGCAGCACTGCTCCCCACACCTCCTATAACCCACACTACCTGAGCAGCACACTCACTGCAGCTCCCCACACCTCCCTCACACTACCTGAGCAGCACACTCACCTGCCCCACACCTCCTATAACCACACTACCTGAGCAGCACCCACTGCAGCTCCCACACCTCCTATAACACACACTACCTAGCAACACACTCACTGCAGCTCCCCACACCTCCTATAACAAACACTACCTGAGCAGCACGCTCACTGCAGCTCCCCACACGTCCTATAACACACACTACCTGAGCAGCACACTCACTGCAGCTCCCCACACCTCGTATAACACACACTACCTGAGCAACACACTCACTGCAGATCCCCACACCTCCCATAACCCACACTACCTGAGGAGCACACTCACTGCAGCTCCCCACACCTCCTATAACCCACACTACCTGAGCAGCACACTCACTGCAGCTCCTCACACCTCCTATAACACACACTACCTGAGCAGCACACTCACTGCAGCTCCCCACACCTCCTATAACAAACACTACCTGAGCAACACACTCACTGCAGCTCCCCACACCTCCTAAAACACACACTACCTGAGCAGCACACTCATTCTAGACAATTTTTAACCCACACTCAGACATATGAGTTCATGTATAGTAAAGATAAAAAGGGAATTGGGGTTGCATAAGGAACTTGCATTTCTCAGCAATGGTGCTTCCGTAGAGGCAGTGGCCTAGCTAGAGCTTTTACCATCCACATCGTGTCCAGTGCATCCGCGGACATAATGTGGCTGCGCTGGATATGACGTGAGTGGAGATTTCTGATGGATCCAGAAATCTGACAGAACACGAGGTGTTGGTGGAGCTCGGCCATTAATTGACCGGTAGGAGAGAAGCGTTAGTGCTCCTCACACAAACACAAGCCTCACTCATTATAACAACGTTCAGTGCATGCGCACTGGGATGACGTACCTTTTGTAGGTGAGGACACAGTCCATGACGCAAATTGCACCATTGCTGTACTTGCCGTCCATGCCCCCTATATCGGACCGGACAGGTTTGCACCCTATCTAACCGGCTTTAGACTTTGTAGGTTTCTGCCACGTCAGTCTAAACACATACGTTGAAATAACGTTTTAATCTATTCATGTGCTGGCAGTCTGGCACTTTAAACTGCGAGTGATTTTATTCCCTATAAAGTGACACCAAATCCGATGGGCCGTGATGGGTGCAATTCTAACTGCATTATCCCAGCTGCAGGAAACCATTTAAATAAACCTGTAAAAACATGCTCGCATACATAGTGCCACTGATTGATGTAACAGGTACAGTCTGTGTGGAAATCCTTATTAGACCTCCAGAGTCAGAGTGTACTGGGATTCACGGACCGTTATAAGACTTATAAAGACACCAACTACATGTCCACTTTTATCTTCAGGGGGCATTTCTTTGTGTTTGACCCCTCGGTGTCCATATTCCCACAATCCACAGACTCGATGTTTGAAGGGTTTTTTTTGGCTTGCTCACAGCTGTATCGCAGATGGGGTGGGACAGGGTCTCAATATGTTTTTATTTGATGTTGGACAACGCCGGAACTGCACACTGCGTGCCGGTTCACTGTCAGGAGGGACTGCGGCGACAGTGAACATGTCGCTTTATCTGACTGAGCGGCCATTTTGGGTCGGATTTGGGTCAGATTCATCCTACTGTTATCTGACCAACTGCTTCTCAACCTAAACTGCTGCGGCTGTGATTTGTTCTGAGTGAACCTGTAGCAGCCAACACGTTAGATTGTGGAGCAGATGGTCACCAGTGGAATCTGACCCAACAGTCAGGTAACATGAAACTGTCTAAAAAAAAAAAATCAATATACAATTTACAAAATAATTAGGGATTATTCTATCTTTAGTGACTGAATAATCTTAATTTTATGGCATGACATGATTCTTTATATAAGCTTATCTTTCTTTACTCAACCTCCCAGCAGCAAAGGAATAGTTAACAATGATGTAAAAAAAACATTAACCAATCAGAGTGTACAAGCATAGAATATAGTGTCCTCAAGCTCCAATTCCTCTTTCTTTCTGTAGCTGAGCGTGGTGTAGATCAACCGTGTAAACCATAAACTTCGAAACTATGTACAATTAGGAAGTCCTGTGCGTTGGTCAACCATGTAAACAAAACTGTGAATTGCTGGACTCTTCACACTAGAAAGGAATAGAAGAGAATCATGAAAGTATGGATTCTTGTACCAGAGTAATATTTCGCGAACTTCCTTAAGGTGTATATTGATTAGTTAGATAGTTCAAAAGGTCATACTTGGAGGTGTAATCGTCTGATGTAACCAGTGTGTAAACCCATGTCATATGATGTGAGTATGTCTTATAGAGATGTATGGTTTAGTGTGGATAAACTTACCTCGACGGGTGGGATAGTTAACAACGGGTGGGAAAATATTTGTCTCCTGTCGTTAATAAAATTTAGATTATTCAGTCACTAAAGCTAGAATAATCCCTAATTTTATGGCGAGGATCCATTTGATCCATCGTGCGACAGTAGGAGTGGAGACCGGTTTGTGTGGTTTGACGTAGGAAACAAGGAGGGGCCCAGTAGGGGGGCATAAGGTAGCAGTGGAGTCCATGTAGTTTTGGACATAACGGGCTACGCATAGAGCAGACCTGCCCGGGAAGTAAGGGCAGAAAACTGAAGAAGAATTATTTTTTGTGTGTCTGGTGATGTTAAATTTGACCCCTTCAGGTGTAAAACTTACAGCATGAAAGTCAAATGCTCGTATATCCGAAACTCTACGAAAGGAGACTAGACATAAAAGTAAAGCTAGTTTGGCCGAGAGTTGTCGAAGATTCAAAGCTTCGTTGGAAGTATAAGCGTGCGCAAGCGGTGTGCCTAATCCCCGCGGCACGCCTATGGATTGAGACCAGCGGGGGAGATCTCAGGATCCACCCTGTCGGCTCATGCAGAGCCAGCGCTATCTGAGCGCCGGCTCTGTTCTAAGCCACCATGGGCCGGTGGGAAGATCAAAGATCTCCCTCACCGGCCCACAGCAGCATGGAGGGAGGCAGGAAAGGACCCGGTGAGCTCTTGCCAGCAGCTCTGCCGGGTTCCTCTCGCGAGGTCGGAGTGTTGCCATGGCAGGCTGCGGGGCTAGAGTTCACTCACCACTGGACCACCAGGGATGGCAGCAGCACGGTCCCCCCCTCCCTACAAAAGGTAAGAAGAGAGGGGGGATATTACATAAATGGCCCCCAAACATTACACGGCGGCGGGTAATAGATTGAAGATGGGCCGTGGTCTCTTCTGAGGAGAGAGCCGCGGCCAGCTAATTAACAATTCCTGCGAACCTGCGTGTGGGAACGTGTATGTGGTGAATACTTGTTCAAAATAATAGTGAATAGATATGTGATATAACTAAGACCAGGTGTAAACAAATGTATCCCATAAAATATAAGTTAGCTGAGATAAAATCTAAATATACAAGTAAAACAAAAAAAAAGGCAATATAATTGGAATAGACTCACCTGGGAGGCAAGCAGCAAAGAAAGAGGAGTTGGGAGGAGCTCGAGGACACTATATTCTATGCTTGTACACTCTGATTGGTTAATGGTTTTTTTACATCATTGTTAACTATTTATTTTCTGCTGGGAGGTTGAGTAAAGAAAGATAAGCAAATATGAAGCCTCCTGTTTTGCCATAAAATTTAGTTTCATGAACTGTAATAAACTGTCATCAGCAGGGACTCTCAGAGACCGGGTGAATTTTATATTATAACCTGGTAACACCCCCCTGGCTGTCAATCAGAAACCCAGTCATGTTACTTCCTGGTTTGGTTAGCTCAGTTGAACTAAACCCAAGAGGCAACAATTGCCCAAGAGCACCTGCCTTGCAAAGAGTTCTCATTGGGCTGTATTGGGAAGTCTGTGATTGGACAGCCACAGAAAGTCTGGGCGGGGTTAGGATGGGAGGGCTTGCAAAGGATGCAGACAAGAGGTCTGCACCTATTGCAAGCTGTTTTGAAATATACCCCCAATGAAAACATGCATAATTAAATGCCTGCATGTTGTCACTGGAGGTAAATGTACTAAGCAGTGATTTTTTTAAAAATATTTTTTGGATTTAGGCAGTGGAGTGTCCTTTTAAAGTAACACTCAAAGCTCCCACACGTTAGGTGCACTGTGTAGGTTAGGTTACAGTTAGTTATACTGGGTGGGTTTATATTATTAAAGGGACACTCCAGGCTCCCACACACGTTAGATGCACCGTGTAGGTTAGGTTACAGTTAGTTATACTGGGTGGGTTTATATTATTAAAGGGACACTCCAGGCTCCCACACACGTTAGGTACACTGTGTAGGTTAGGTTACAGTTAGTTATACTGGGTGGGTTTATATTATTAAAGGGACACTCCAGGCTCCCACACACGTTAGATGCACTGTGTAGGTTAGGTTACAGTTAGTTATACCGGGTGGGTTTATATTATTAAAGGGACACTCCAGGCTCCCACACACATTAGATGCACTGTGTAGGTTAACTGAAGGTTTCTCTTTATTTTATTTATTTAATGTGAATAGATTGTTTATGGTTTTGTTTCCATAATAAACTCAGTCATATTCCTAATTCCCTTTCCTTTTCAGACCTTATTCCTCTCCTGTTATTTTAGAGGGGGTTTAGAACATTTTCTGTGAATTCTGTAATGTAAATGCTCGTCCTGTGGTCGCCCCTGTATGTGCTTGTTATTAATACTGTATGTAAACGCACTCCCGGCTGATTCATGTGATAATACATATGGAGTTGGTCAGACTTGCTGATTACGAGTTTTAAATATCTAATTTCTCAGAATATGACGCACTGGAATATAAGACAAACCCATATATTTTGACTAGAAATTTATTGAAGGAAAAATAAAACGACCTGTACCATAATTACAATAAATTATAGTTAGGGGATGTAGTGATGTGGATAGAGAGTGATATAAAGCAAGTGTGTGTGTGTGTGTATGTTTAGGGAATGCAGTGTGTGTGCGTGTAGGGAATTCAATGTGTATAGTGAATGCAGTGTGTGTAAATTTGTAGGGTGGGATAGTGACTATGATGTATGGGGTGAGGAATGTGAAGAGCTATTTTATATTTTATTATAACTGATTACATTTTTTTTCCCATTAAAGGATCACAAAGCGGTTTTCCTGACACTATAGTGCTCTGAGGGTGCCGCCACTCTCAGGGTCCCCCTCCCGTGGCGCTGAAGGGGTTAAAACCCCTTCAGCCACTTACCTTAATCCAGCGCCGGGCTCCCTTGGCGCTGGGGACCTCTCCTCTCCGTCCGATGTCAACTCCCCCGTCCGTCACTGGAGCCGAATGCGCATTCACCTTCAGGGAAGCCGAAAGAGAAACTGCTATGTTTACATTAGGGTTAATCCAGCCTCTAGTGGCTGTCTCACTGACAGCCGCTAGAGGCGCTTCTGGCGCTGGATTCAGTGAGAAGACGCCAGCGTCCATAGGAAAGCATTGAGAAATGCTTTCCTATGGACTGATTGAACGTGTGCGCATTCAGCGCTGACGTCGGAAGAAGGATATTCCCCCAACGCCGAGGGAGCCTGGCGCTGGAGAAAGGTAAGAGATTAACCCCTTCCTCCCCCTTCAGCCCGGCGGGAGGGGGTCCCTAAGGGTGGGGAGGGACCCAAAGAACCTATACTGTCAGGAAAACTAGTTTGTTTTCCTGGCACTATAGTGGTCCTTTAAGTTTTTGAGGCCATTGTCCAGTCCCCCTAAATAGTGGCATGTTAACCCCCCTACGCGTAAATTCTCCCTGGGTGACTAGGGGTGCCCAATCCCCAATAGACCACTCATTAATACCTACCACCTCATCCTAATAATAGTGATGGGGGGAATAACAAATACCTGTAAAAGAAAAAGGGTACTTACCGTCAGATTTTAACTGATACGTTCTGAAGTCTTCTTTTTGCTAATTCTACTTTATTTAGCCCCAAAAAGACCAAATTAAAATCAATAAATCACGATGCAACTAAGAAAAATCTGGCTATAGAATTACGTTTTCGAAAAATACCGTTTTCCATTAATGTGCTGTAGACTTGGGACCGGTGTACGCATATCGACAAACACAAGAGGTCTTTCAGCCCCCGTCTGGTCACAGAGAGTGTAAAATGGCTGACTGAGCGCCTCACTCGGTTTATGTGTGAGGGAAATGACCTGTTTTGCTGTGTCTCCATTCCAGCTCTGGGAAGCTTGTGATCTAAAGATTGTTACTACAGGACTGTACGTTAAACCTTTCCAGATGTTTTCCTAACCTTTGTCTTCGGAGTCTCCGATGTGTCTCCACAATGAGCAAATCCCAAAATGGAACCAAATCAATTTTTATGCAACCCAGACATATTATATAATGGCAAACCAGTAGAGTATACACACTATACAAATTGTATTACGATCATATATTAGGGAGAGATCCCAGGTGTACCTCACTAACACCTAAAACATATATATTGAAAAACAAAGTGGAAACACCTCCCAAATACGTGATAATATAAGAAAAAATACAAATAACCTGAAATATAGGTCGTGATTCATAAACGGAATCTGTACAAAAGATTAGAAGACTAACATAGCGTAATACAGTACTGAATAGGTGAGTGATATTTAGTGAAAATAAGTGCACTCACAAACAAATATGAAATCAGGCTTCTCACCCTCCCAAGGGTAGCAATCTTATGAGTAGACGATCCTCCGTGGGATATATAAAAAATAAAAAACCAAATATAGTGAAGCATGTAATTAAATTACAAAATAGTATTTATTGGTCTCACTTACAAGTGAAGAAAAATAGCAGGCATATCTCCATATAACATGGAACTCCCAGAACGATGCAGAAGAGAGTCCAATAGTAGGCAGGCAGAATACAAATAAAATAAAAATAAAAACTTCATACAAAATTACATTAAAAAAAAAAGAATAAAATATAATAGCAGCATACATAAACTTAAAATATCTATCCAACGCGTTTCGTCCAACAAAAGGGGACTTCCTCAGGGATATAGAAGTGATGATACTTCCAGATATATAGAGAGCGATATCCATAATCATCCTGAATTCGAAAAACCCGGGTATCCGGCGTCCGTGCGTTTCATCTGTGGCACGCATGAAACAGGATATAGTTCTTTGCGTTCCGGAAGTACTGTCATTTCTGGTAACGTGGAACGCATATGCGTAGTTCGTGCGCATGCGCATAATAGACGCGCATGTGTGTCATAAACGCACATGCGCAGGTGTTATTACCGGAACCTATAGGGGACAAAAAGTAGAGAAAACGGGCGGATAATCCGCCCAAAAGGGCTAAGAACCAGGATGAAACAAAAAATATATAGACAAAAAGTAAAGAACCAGGATAAAAATATATAACATAAAATAAATTAAATTGAATAAAAAAATGGAATAAAAAAGCAAATACAATTTTCGAATTTAGGATGATTATAGATATCGCTCTCTATATATCTGGAAGTATCATCACTTCTATATCCCTGAGGAAGTCCCCTTTTGTTGGACGAAACGCGTTGGATAGATATTTTAAGTTTATGTATGCTGCTATTATATTTTATTCTTTTTTTTATGTAATTTTGTATGAGGTTTTTATTTTAATTTTATTTGTATTCTGCCTGCCTCATTGGATCTTCTATTGGACTCTCTTCTGCATCGTTCTGGGAGTTCCATGTTATTTGGAGATATGCCTGCTATTTTTCTTCACTTGTAAGTGAGACCAATAAATACTATTTTGTAATTTAATTACATGCTTCACTATATTTGTTTTTTTACTTTTCATATATCCCACGGAGTATCGTCTACTCATAAGATTGCTACCCTTGGGAGGGTGAGAAGCCTGATTTCATATTTGTTTGTGAGTGCACTTATTTTCACTAAATATCACTCACCTATTCAGTACTGTATTACGCTATGTTAGTCTTCTAATCTTTTGTACAGATTCCGTTTATGAATCACGACCTATATTTCAGGTTATTTGTATTTTTTCTTATATTATCATGTATTTGGGAGGTGTTTCCACTTTGTTTTTCAATATTATATAATGGGCATTGTGAAGAAATACCCCTTTTAGTACCCTATTTCTGCCTATTGCATTCGGTAGATGTAACTACCGAACAAAGACCACCCCCCTGGCTCGTTAAACATCAAAGATTACTTCAATTGATGCCTCTGTCTGTGCAGCCAGCGTTCATCTGCCGAACGCCACGTGGCAGAGAAAACCGCGGCCATCTTTGTTCATGCGAACAAAGGCAGCGGGACTTGGTCGTCGAGTGTATGGAACTGAAATCGGACACTCGACTTCCCGAACACCGGACTCAAACGGACGAACGCTGGAACTCTACTTATCGAATAGCTAGAAGAGCTTGGTGCATTCGACAGAGGGGGACGATCGCTGCTAAGAGCCAGGAGGATCCATTCGGTAGTTTGTTCGTTTTTCTCCTCTTTCTAAAGTGATCGGCAAAACCCAACAAACTCATGGAACTGTTTTGGGCATACAGCCCAGGGTGAGCAGGTCACAGAAGACCTCCATAGCTTTTGCGAACCCCTGAACCGATCTGGGTGAAATTCGAATATGTTGGTCACCCAGATCAGGGCTATCAGGGGACATGTTATTTGTGGGGATACGACAAGTATAAAGGGGTGTCCCAGTAATTGGGGAAAAAGGTGATTTTTGTGCCTGGAGATAATTAAGTTATTATTTTATCAGACTTAATTATCTCCAGAGCTAGGGGAGGGAACTGTGGGTGTGTGTTATGGTTTTACAGTATGTGATTGGTTAATGTTTGTCCCTCCCTGAGGGATGTCCCCTTGCATGGGGACTTGCATAAAAGCCTGTGTGCATCCATTAAAAGTTAGTTCATTTTGTACCCTTCTTCTTGACTTCGGCTGATGTTTGGGGATTCGTGTGTTTCACTAAGGGAATCATCTTGTGAAGCTATTGGGATTACTATATGGTTCGTCTACTTTATCTACCGAACGGAGGGCTATAATCACTAAGGCTCTGGCGGTTCGGGAGGAAACTACCGAATGAGGTTTAAATAGACTTGGTTTCCTTACAGGCATGGGAGGCCGGACTAGGGCACCGAGACCAAACAATGGCACAGTGTTCAAATACCCAACCTGTTGGGGCCTGGTGTATGGTAATTGGCAAACTTCCTTATCATGGGATCTCTTATAAGGAAGTTTAGGGGCAGGCTTAATCAACACACGGCCGTTAGTAAAACGTATTGATTTATACAAATAGATTAATCATAGTTGTTGTTTACTGACTGAACACTGAACCCTGCAGCTCTCCATAGGCTGAACACTGAACCCTGCAGCTCTCCATAGACTGAGCACTGAACCCTGCAGCTCTCCATAGACTGAACACTGAACCCTGCAGCTCTCCATAGACTGAACACTGAACCCTGCAGCTCTCCACAGACTGAATACTGAACCCTGCAGCTCTCCATAGACTGAATACTGAACCCTGAAGCTCTCCATAGACTGAATACTGAACCCTGCAGCTCTCCATAGACTGAACATTGAACCCTACAGCTCTCCATAGACTGAGCCCTGCAGCTCTCCATAGACTGAACCTTGCAGCTCTCCATAGACTGAATACTGAACCCTGCAGCTCTCCATACACTGAACCCTGCAGCTCTCCATAGACTGAATACTGAACCCTGCAGCTCTCCATAGACGGAACACTGAACCCTGCAGCTCTCCATACACTGAACCCTGCAGCTCTCCATACACTGAACCCTGCAGCTCTCCATAGACTGAATACTGAACCCTGCAGCTCTCCATAGACTGAATACTGAACCCTGCAGCTCTCCATAGACTGAACATTGAACCCTACAGCTCTCCATAGACTGAACCCTGCAGCTCTCCATAGACTGAACACTGAACCCAGCAGCTCTCCATAGATTGAATACTGGACACTGAACAATGCAGTTCCCTATAGAGTATAGGCTGTTGTAATTCGTTGTAATTAAGTGTGGTTATCGGTCAAATTATGACTTCCAGGAAACTCCTGAACCGATCTGGGTGATTTTTGGATATGTTGGTCACCCAGATCGGGGCTATCAGGGGATATGACTTTTGTGTGTTTAACCCCTTAAGGACCAAACTTCTGGAATAAAAGGGAATTATGACATGTCACACATGTCATGTGTCCTTAAGGGGTTAAAGGTATTTTAGCGGTTCTGTAAAAATGTTTGTTTGCTGTACCTGGAGATAATTGAGTTTAGTGCAGTTCCTGACTCAATTATCTCCCAGACACAGAGGAGGGATTATCTTGTTTTGTGTGGGAGTGTCCTGGACCTGAGAGCCAATGTAATCGTGTGTATGTTTTTACTGTAGTCTACTCTCAGGTCCAGGGGGAGTGCCCCTTGCATGGGGACCTGCATATTAGGCCACTTGTGGCTGCCATTAAACCAGTTCCAGTTTACCCTCAACACAGAGCCTCATCTCGTGCTTGTAGGGGAAAGCTATACCAGCTATAATGCCTGCTCCTGGGATTGTTCTTTGGATTGCTATAATCACTAGCTCTTGTAAGAGCTACACTGCTATACCTGCTATACTCTCTTGGAGGAGAGGTCTTCTCACTGGGAGCTGGATCCAGAAGTTTGGTCCAGGGTGAGAAGGGACGGCGAGACCCCAGCCAAGGTACGGCGGCTAAGGGACTACTGTGCTGATGGTGTACGGTGTGGTGCTTATGGTGCTTATGGTGCTCAAGGCTTACTAGGAAGAATCGATTTGTGGAGGCACCCAGTTGGGGTGCCTGGTGGTCCATCACAGTGAGCCTTTATGTTAATTGGAAGATTGAATTCCCCACCACCATATTAGCCTTTGGGCCTGCCCATAAAATGGCGGCCGCTCCTGAATCTCAGCTACTTCCTAAACCATCAGCCACTTATCTGAAGGCCTTTGACGACTTATGTACCGCGTGCCTGGAACAGCGCAAGCAGCTGCTTTCTCAAGACTGTTTCAATGTCGTGGACACCCAACCAGCTAACCACACATCGGTCTACTTACAGCCTACTAACTGCTACCACGCTGTGAGCATCTGTGGGAGATCCCCTTCCACCGATGGGGGCGCAGAGAGTGGCCTGATCCATGGGCAACACGTGATGGCTTGCACAAGGACCTGGGGCTGGTGGCACGCCAATTTCTCCTGCACCATGTTTATATTTCATGATATGAGGTCGGGGTGGACTGATAGCTCACCATTTCAGGCTGGTCCTCATAAACGCTATGAGCTGTTTTACTGCTCTTTTTATTTCAGTCTGCAAATTGCTCCTTTTTTCAGTTTTTCTCTGAGCCTTGTAATACGGTGAGGATGACACCCTCTTATTGGGCAATCTGAAGCCTAAGTTCGAGCACCCAGTGATACCTTTCTACATAAATAACAATTTAGCTACATGTATTGTACTTTCCCTTTACGTTTTATCAATAGTAGCGATATGTTCAGTTAATCGTTTACTATTATTCATTCAAAATGTGCAGCCTACTGTATACTGTACTGTATTCCTGCAAGAGACCTTACTTGGAGAACTGGAATCGCACTCCATCCTCTGTCCTCGGCCTTTCGAACACAGAATAATCCGAACGCTCTCCAAATGTGTAAAAATGACAATCTTGAATTATATTCTCAGACTAACAAGTCCTTAGCTTCCTGTGAGCATTTTTACACTAGATTCCATATGGCGACCACTGACCTCTGTTACTGAAAATTTATTACTTTTCCAGAGATCTAAAGGTTAAAGAATCTGCACTGACACCGCTGACTAATTTTCAAAGACAAAGTCATGATTGTGCTTCTTATATTTTTTTTTTTTTTTTAAATTTGATTGTTTTATCACTTAATTTTGTAATTTGTTGCCGAAAAACTTTTTAAAATTTTTTTTTAGGTTAGATGTGTTTTACTGTTTTAGATGTTACTGGCACCCCTCGGTTTAAACAAAAAACAAAACATAAAATCGCAATTAAAGGGGCACTATTGACACCAAAACAACTTTAGGTTACTTAGCTTTTTGTGTATAGATCATGCCCCTACAGTTTTACTGCTCAATTCTCTGCCATTTACAAGTTAAATCACTATTGTTTCTGTTTATACAGCCCTAGTCGCACCTCCCTTGGCTGTGACTGACACAACCTGCACGAAAACAAAGTTTTTATCATTTTCAATCAGATGTTAACTTACTTTAGAGGTTGTATTTTCTGCTCTGTAAATTGAACTTTAATCACATACAGGAGGCTCCTGCAAGATCTGGCAAGCTACTAACAGAGCAGGAGATAAGAAATTCTAAATTAAACAGAGTGCAATGAAAGAAGTTTAAACATTAGATGATTCTTTACAGGAAGTGGTTAGGAAGGCTGTGCAAGTCACATGCAGGGAGGTGTGGCTAGGGCTGTATAAACAAAGTGATTTTACTCCTAAATGGCAGAGAATTGAGACTGCAGGGACATGATTTATACTCGGCTTCATTAAGTTAAGTTGTTTTTGTGACTGTTGTGGCCCCTTTAAAGTTATCTTTATTCCAGCAACAGGACAGAAACCTCACTGTTGCCTACCCTATATTATTGAAGTCAAACAGAAAGGTGAAACACTGGTTGATGAATAAACTACCAGCATAATTTTCTCATAATATGCCGTCTTTTAATAAATTTCAGAAGACAATGATTTATACCCACATCGTGTCTAATTAAGGCAGTGTAGCGGAGAGCTGGTCTTTCACAGGTTATCTCTGTAATAAAATTTCATATAACAATAGTCACAGCAAGCAAGGTAATCCACGAATATCCCCGTACAGATCCCAATGACTGGACGACACACAGCATCAGGAGCAGAACTAAACTTTTAATCCACACAGCCTTCTTTTAAAGCTTTCTCCAATGCAAGGGAGGGATTCACATTAATTAGTACAATATCCAATAGTGTAACTGTTACCTCCCACACATCTCCTCCCCTCAGTGTGACACACAATCCCATTAAACATACTGCAGTTTTACCTGATTTCTGGATGTACCCTGTTAAGACACTCCCGGCATAAAGGAGTGAAAACCACCGTTTAGTAGATTTTCCCCCTTTTAGAGACACAGGCACAGTTACTATAGGCCGCTAATCTCCCGAACCGAATACAAGGGAATGCTCCAAACTCCCAAACGGAGAATCATGCGAACTCCTTCTCTCCTGGAACAGTCAAAAGAATACTCCAAAGCAGCAATTCCCCCAAACACGAGATCAAGCACCGTCTTGAGGGTAAAACAGGAATCTGGTTTATTAAGGGCTATATGCCCGGTATTTATGCAGGTCTCCTACCTGGTGGACACTCCCCTAGGGGACCAGATGGAAGACTGGGACAAGTATTTTAAATTAGCCAATCACAGTGGCTCAGGCATAAACCCTCCCCTTGGTACAAGCATAGAGGCAAAACGCCATTTTAAATGATACAGTAAAAATACATAAAATTCCATAACTGTAAAACTACTGAATGTATTCAGTACATATAACGTATCCCCAGATAGCCTAGATCTGAGCACACATTATTACCGAATGGCGCTCAGATCACATACACACAGTTCAATCGCCATGGAGCCAAAGTCTTTCACAGTGTTCTTTCGGTATACGAAGGGATCCATGGGTTGGCTATCTGGGTTAAGTCTATTCGTGCAATAAAAGTTCCGAACGGACCGGTGTTCGTATGCCAGATGACAAAGAATGGAGGTCGGCGGTTTCAGTGGTGTTCGGGAGAAAAAGTGTCCGTTTTGGGTTCCATAAGTTTGTCGACGACCACCGCTGTGTATTCGTGCCTTTAAGATGGCCGCCACCTCGTGGTCGGCATACGAACGACGACCACCCAGCATACGGTTTCAATTAAGAGGTGTCTGCGGTTAACCACAACGTTCGAATTGGGGCCAATAGGTTAACCGGCAGCACACTCCTCTTCTGGGTGGCTGGCCATTCGGCAGTTTGTTCGGTAGATTAACAAATAAACGAACAGGGAAGTACGGACAGGCAATTACACGAATCCACACGAATCAACCGGGATAGTACTATAGTTCCAAGACAGAGGGATATGTCACATACCCCAAAACAGTCAGATATAATTATATAATGGGTACCCCCTGGTAGCCCTGATCTGGGTGACTAACATATTAAAAACTCATCCAGATTGGACCAGGGGTTCGGGAGTTAGGTGGAAGAGACAATTTGACCGACCGCACACGAGGTAGTATCCGAAAAAGGCTCCATGTGTTTTGGCCTTGCGGTCGGTCTCTGTTCGAGAGATAAAATGTATAGAAATACTTGCCATCCAAAGTTAAATCTGTATTCGTATTAATTCCCTTGTTTGGGACATTTATTTTACCGAACGAGGGGCTGGTTGGCCCCTCCGTTCGGGAGTTACGGAGCTCTGGAGGTCTCAGCGGTGTTTGGGTAAATGAGTGTCCGATTTGAGTTCCAGACACTCGATGACCAAACACCGCTGAGATTTTCTTGTGTAAGATGGCCACCGCCACGCGGTTCGTATGCCAAACGGCGACCACCCAGATATATACAAAGTAACGATTGCATGGTCAATAAGTTTGCGGTTAGAGTGTGAAAGCCTAACGAGGTACACACTTCTCTCTGGGGTGGTCTGATGGTTCGGTATTTTCATTCGTATGGAACACGGAATGAAAACTACCGAACAATCAGACGAAGGCTACATACAACACAGCTATACATGGGAATAATTACACGAAATGTATTTTTAAAACGAACTTTTGAGGACAGCCCAATGCCATCCGCTACAGGCAGCACAGGACTTTTTTCTTTTATATTTTTCATTAATTTCTGTTTGTTTAATTTTTGTTTTGTTGTTTTATTATTCTGTTTAATAGAACCACTTGTGTTTCGCATTATAACGTACAGTAATGGCTGATCTTTGTAAGCTCTGTATTTCTATGTGAAACGACTACAAGATTAAACACTGTAGTTGTTATGGTTAAGTGAGATCATTTAAGTTGTGCTCATTTAGTTATCATTTTATGAACTCCTAATAACTCGTTCAAAACTATTGTTTGTTTACCATTAATTTGTATCTTGTATAAAAAATCTTCCCACTCATACAAACTACAATTTCAGAAAATGTGCAGGTGAATTTCTGTGCATAATTCTAATTTGTCGAGTGAATCTGTATCTGTTTGATTCTAGAATCGCCGTATCACGGCACGTGTGAGAATAAACATGATGGATTTCTGGAATTTAACTAATGTGTGAACTTGTGGTTGGGTCACACTTTGTTAGGGCTGGAGGCTGGAGCCATTATATCATTTTAAAAACCAGTTTGCATTTATATTATCCTGCCTCACATGATATGATATTAATACATACTATTTGGAAATAAAGCAGACGGAAAAGACAGTGACTGGAGACCTGCTCAGATCAGTGTTTGTATCCTGGAAATGGCTTTTTGTGAGTATAACCAGGTTTCTGGGTGCATTCCGTGCCTATTGCGTTCTGCGTTCTGTGTCAGCGATCAGTTTGCCCATTGCGTTAGGTGTCCGCAATCATATAGCCAACTGAAGAAGCATTTGGCAGCGAAATGCGTTTTGGTTTACAGAGACTGGACTACCTAGGCTGGATAAGTGCGTGTTATTTGTATTTTAATCATTGTTGGTTTTTACATAATAAATGCTGGATTTTAGCACCTCTGGCAGTCTGTCTTGCTCCAGGTTGGGGAGTGTCACCCCATAATCTGACACCAAGCGCCTCCACCTTAGAGCCAAGGCTATAGCAGACTCTAGATAAGGTGAGAGTCTTTTATATATTCCTCTAGAATGTAAGCTCATTGAGCAGGGCCCTCCATCTCTCTGTCCCTGTACGTCGAGTTGTCTGGTTACAATTGAATGTCTGTTAGTCAACCCTTTGTACAGCATTATGGAATCTGATGGCGCTATATAATTAATAAAATAATTATATTGATTTCAGTGTAATATTCATATAGATATACTGCACCATTATTTTTCATATTGTTTCCGCTTGCCTTGAGAGGTGTATCCATTTGAAGAAGGTGGGGTGCTGCCTATATTAGCACATCTGCGTTTTTATAGAGCCTTACCCTCAGGCTCTGAAACATGTGAGTGTACCTACTGTATTCTGTTGGCACACCTGCACTTTGTATTGCACCAATCTGCGCTCGTGTCGTTCTACTTTTTTTCTTTTTTACATCATTCTGCATTACGACCTTTATGTATTAAGGGTAAGCGATTCTTTTATGTTATATATTTTCTAGGCGCTCCACTCATTGATTACAAGATTATATCTTGTTAATTGTTTTTGGTTTATTTGATTGTAAGGGTGAAGGAGGGAAAGTGTTCCCTGACGGGTGGTTTAAGAGCTCTTACATTCGTTCACATAGTTCACTTTGAAGTGGTTTTTTTCACATAAGACTCCTATTTTTGTGTTCGCAATCAGTTCGCCTGGTGCATTCTGTGCCTGTAACCAGTTTGCCCGGTGCCTTCTGTGCCTGTAACCAGTTTGCCCGGTGCATTCTGTGCCTGTAACCAGTTTGCCCGGTGCATTCTGTGCCTGTAACCAGTTTGCCTGGTGCATTCTGTGCCTGTAATCAGTTTGCCCGATGCATTCTGTGCCTGTAACCAGTTTGCCCGGTGCATTCTGTGCCTGTAACCAGTTTGCCCGGTGCATTCTGTGCCAGTCACTAGTTTGCCCGATGCATTCTGTGCCTGTAACCAGTTTGCCCGATGCATTCTGTGCCTGTCACTAGTTTGCCCGGTGCATTCTGTGCCTGTAACCAGTTTGCCTGGTGCATTCTGTGCCTGTAACCAGTTTGCCTGGTGCATTCTGTGCCTGTAACCAGTTTGCCCGGTGCATTCTGTGCCTGTAACCAGTTTGCCCGGTGCATTCTGTGCCTGTAACTAGTTTGCCCGATGCATTCTGTGCCTGTAACCAGTTTGCCCAGTGCATTCTATACCTGTAATCAGTTTGCCCGGTGCATTCTGTGCCAGTAACTAGTTTGCCCGGTGCATTCTGTGCCTGTAACTAGTTTGCCCGGTGCATTCTGTGCCTGTAACCAGTTTGCCCAGTGCATTCTATACCTGTAATCAGTTTGCTCGGTGCATTCTCTGCCAGTAACTAGTTTGCCCGGTGCATTCTGTGCCTGTAACTAGTTTGCCCGATGCATTCTGTGCCTGTAACCAGTTTGCCCAGTGCATTCTATACCTGTAATCAGTTTGCCCAGTGCATTCTATACCTGTAATCAGTTTGCTCGGTGCATTCTCTGCCAGTAACTAGTTTGCCCGGTGCATTCTGTGCCTGTAACCAGTTTGCCCGGTGCGTTCTGTACTGGTAATCTGATTGCCCAGTATGTTCCGTGCCAGTAATCAATGTGCAAGATGCGTTCTGCTCCCGTAGCCAGTTTCCCAGTCTGTTCCTTGTCTGTATCCAGTTTGCACCATTGCGGATTTTTAAGATGGAGTTAATGGAGTGTTAGTTGTTTTGAGGGAGCACTAGTTGATATGATAGAGTTGATCTGAGGGAGTATTATTTGCTTTTAAGGAGTATTCGTTAATTTGACTGAGTATTATTTGATTTGATTCCTTGTGAATATTTCTATTGGAGCTTAACATTCTTACTGTGATTTTTTTTTTTTTTCCTACAGGTGAAGGAGCCTCGAAGCCCAAACCGTGTGTGAACCTTCTGCAGCTCCCCCTCCATGATATTGTCACGGTAAGAAATTCCCATCTTTACTATTTATACAGAAAATGCAAAATTCAGCAGCTAGATATGTAGAATTAAGTAATATGTAAAGGGTTTTATTGAAAGGATCGTCGCTATGTTACGGGGTGTCTTTATATATAAAACAGTGATGGTTCCCCATAGAGATCATTGGTATAATGAATTTCTATTAGGAGATGCTGATTGGCGCATTGCTGTGATTGTCATGCATGCACATTAAAAGCATTGGATTGGCTGAGATCATCACCACTGATTATCTCAGCCATGGGTGGGGAGTGAGTTACCCTTTACATTTTCTCATTTTATAAAGACTGCAATGTCTCCCACGCTGCACTCTCTTGTTCAATGTGATCTGGACGTATTGTGTTCCTGCCCTCCCCACGACCTCTGCATCGCCATGTTTAATGGTATATACACCAACTCAAACAAATGCTACACTTTTTTAATAGCCAGTAGGGGCTAACAAGGCGTTTGCCTTGGGCGGCATTTTCCAGGGGGCGGCAAAAAAGCCGCCCCCAAATGCCCATGGAAAATGTCTTGTTAGCCCCTACTGGCTATTAAAAGTGTAGCATTTGTTTGAGTTGGTGTATATACCATTAAACATGGCGATGCAGAGGTCGTGGGGAGGGTAGGAGCACAATACGTGCTCCTGCGTGAGTGTGTGTGTCTGTTAGTGTGTGTGTGTCTGTTAGTGAGTGTGTGTGTCTGTCAGTGAGTGTCTGTTAGTGTGTGTGTGACAGTGAGTGTCTGTTAGTGAGTGTCTGTTAGTGAGTGTGTGTGTGTTAGTGGGTGTGTCTGTGTGTGTGTGTGTCTGTTAGTGAGTGTGTGTATGTCAGGGAGTGTGTTACTATGTGTGTGTCTGTGAGTGAGAGTGTATGCTTGTCTGCTAGTGACTGTATGTGTCTGTTAGTGAGTGTGTGTGTATTTAGAAGGTGGGGCAGAGGGGAAGGGTGGGGTGGTGCGTGGGGAGGGGGCACAAGTTTTGTCCTGCCTAGGGCAGCACAAAGCAGGATACACCACTGAGTAGGGGGCAGACTTGTATCCATTGTGGGTTATATGGCTAAATACCCAGAATTATAATCACATATTACATTTTACTGAACTGACCCTTCCTGCTGGTTTGTTTATTAGACAAATCACCATAATTTGTGATGTCCTGTTTTATTTTAAATATTCACCATCACAATCCAGTTCAATCAGGGCACAGGTTGCATTGAAAGGGTGAGAAATAGAACCATTGTCTCCTCTTCTCTATATGCTCTCAGTGCTGACTGACAGGCGCAAAGGGTGGAGCTTGTAGCAATGTTTTAATGGCAGCCATTATGTAGGTACTCCGTTCCAGGATAGAAGTAAATACAGCACTGCGAATTTCTATATTTAATTTTATATTTCCAGACATCACAATTATTATTATTTTTTTAATACAGGGGTAAGTAAACAAAATATTAATAGATTCAGGAACTGGCAATTCCTCTGTAAGTCTTTTTTTAACCTTTATTACTATTTAGCTGTGAAAATTGGAGTACAATAGAGGTCACGGATCGGGGCGCTCTCCTACATTCAGTTCTACAGTAAAATAAATAAATAAAAATCTGCCGGCTGTTCTCTCTGGGGACCCCAGGTTCTGACAGTCCGCTAAGATTATTCAAACATCTGGCAGAACCTCGGAGGATATTATCCGTTATTTTCTCATTACTAAATGTTACAGCTGCAATCGCTGTGCGTAGAATTCATGGCCCCTATAGGGAGCGTAAATGAGGGAAATGGTAAACCATCACTCCCAGGAAATAAACTCAAATTCTATCATTTTGCTGTTTATAGCCCTGTCTTTTTGTTCAGTATCGTGTGCTCCTTTTCTTATCAGTGAGAGGTAAGTTTGCTGTAAGACATTCAAAGCACCATAACCACTGAGAGACTGTCTATTAATACAGCTCATTGCAGCACTTATGGCGCAAGACTTAGCTTGGTGCAGTTTTTTGTTAAACCATTTTCTAGCGGTTTCCCTGCACCCAAAGCCCAGCAGTTAATTTGCCACTTACACAATGTGATAGGCTGTAAACTCAGAGCTGACCCACCCACAGCGCTCTCAATGTATTTTCACCTTCTCGTACAAATATTTTTAGACTTAACTCGCGTTCTGTACTGGGTGCCAGTCTTAAGTGTATTTTGTCATTGTCTACACTGTAATGTAGGTGTTTTGCCGAAGGGGTTATGTTTCTGGTACACACCGGGTTAAAGTCAGAATGAAATTTGACATTACACAGGGGTGCGGAATAACCAGACGCAGCCACTGGAATGTGCTCACGGCCTGTAAATTAGGAAAATGTTTTTTATTCTGGAATCCGGATCGTGTACATGTGTTCTGCTGATTAGGGTCTGCCCAGGGAACTCGAGTATTGGAAAAGCCGGCATCATTTTCAAGGATAACATTGCACTATCTGTGAAAGGCATTGTGTGATTTGTTTATATTTTGCCGATGATGTCATGTTTGTTTGTTTACTTTTGACATCATTCAATAAATGGTACAGGAATCGTATATTCTCCAGTATTTATTACAACGTATCCGCTGTCACAACGTTTCCACCAAAACCCACTCTGAACAAACTAAGCAACATTAACGGATTTATTAGCGAAGCAATCATGAACTGCAATTTAATATTCGTAATATATTTCACTCTGTACTTTTACCAGTTATCGAGGATATTATTCCTTCATAGCCCCAAGCGATGCGTTCCTGAGCCACTGGACTCCTCCAATACGGTAGTTTTTCCCATCTCTTCCTCCTTGGCAGGAACGCAGGCTGGCAACATTATTTAATAAAATATCCTCTGCCAGGAATTCCAAATAAATGTCAAACTTTAATTTCTGGTAAACAGGAGCGAGAAAAGAGACAAAAACTGAGATGGTGGATCAGGGGTCCCATATTGGGACTGTCCCCCTAAATACAGGACTGTTACATGCGTGAAGTGGATAGTAGTCCCATGTATAATTGTACCTTACTCCCAGTATTTATATATATATATATATTTTTTTTGTTTTAGTTTTATTTTGTTGGACGGTCATGTCCAGAGATATCTGTGATATAACGCCTTGCGTCAGGGTGAGAAGAGGGAGGATATAATTTGGTCTATTCCCTCAAGTCTTATTTGTAGCTATCTGAATTCTGGATGGAATCTGCGGTCTTCATTGTTTGCCGTTTGGATCGCAGTTTGCTACACTTTGGTATTACGTGAATAAGCCTGGAAGATTCTCTTGGAAGGAGAGCTGTTATTACCGAGATGAATCTAACGCAGAGCTCTGTTTATCGATTATTTCATTTCAGCTGGCATTCTAGGAATCAAGCGAACATCTGTAAACTATGTGTTTTGGGGATTTTATTGGCTCTTTAAAAGTTATTCCACAGAGGGCTAACATTATTTAGTAAAATTAAAACAGCACAAGGTCTCTTTATTGCCTCTATTACCCGAGGAATGTTTAAAGGGTTTCTCTAACCCTTTTTCACTGATAGAATAATTCCCTATTGGCATTACACTATCAGTCACCCCAGCAAAAACAATCAAATAGCATTTTAAAATAAAGTTTTAATTACCTTAATCCAGCGCTGGGTGAAACGCCTCAGTACTGTTCGATATATCGCCGTCTGCCATCAAGGGAGCCACACCAAGGTCCAATTGCAGTATTTGACCAGCTCAAAGCGTATGCACGTGCTCCGAGCCTGTGAATATAGGTAGAGAGGGAGGATTGGATGGTGGGGATTTAAAAAAAATAAATGTTACTGGGATTAGGAGGACAGAAGGCTTCCCTCGCTGACAGAGTGTCACGGCTCGCGGTGATTCTGCTGGCGTGTTTGCACATAAAGTAAGCAACCACGCCGACAAACAACCTTGCTCGCGACAGATCACTGCCCAACATCCATCCGGTCCGGTCCCCAGCGGGTGCGACGCTCTTAGGAGCGCCGACTGCTGCGGTACGGATCTTTGTTATAAACTTGCCTTCTCCCACACCACAGATGGCGCCAACGTGCGTGCAATGTCACGTCAAAGACACGCATGCATGTTTTGGGGTCAGAGGTCGGAGGCAGCCAATTACAGCCAAAGGCGGGGTA